TCAGGTTGTCTTTGCCTAACAATTGTAATTACAACTACTTCCGCAGATACAACCTGTAGATGAAACTGATCATTTCATCAATAAGGGAGACAATTGGGACCAACTCATTTCAACTTAAGAACTAGGCCATAAATCTAAAGACTCTGACAATCAGATAATTACTTTTGAGAACAGCATGGTTCCTGGTTAGCAATATTGTAATTACCAAAGAGGGTGTAGTGATTTTCAGAGTTTTCAGGTGTTCGCACTTTTGAAGAATATCCGAAGTTGTGAGTTCTAATCTAAGATACACATAGTTGTATAATAGATAGATGTAGTCCATGGATACTCTGACGTGGAATATAAATATCAAATTGCCTCCCAAGCTTTTAGACATTATCAAGCAACTCAGAAGAGACCATAACCATATAATATTGTCTTCCTGATTCTATTCTACTTTACATACTTTACTTTGCTCATTGTAGTCATAAATAAAACAAATGTACTTCGAGACTTCCTAGACAATCTCTGCCTGCAAAAACGAATCTTGGTTGGCCTAGACAACTCTAAAGGCTATCAGGTTGTCTCGGCCTAACAGCTAGAAAGAAAAGTGTAAAGACAGAAAGCAAGGAAGTATAGAGCGGAAAAGAAAATTCAGTTGCTTAAAACTGAAATTTATTCCCACCATTAGCAGCCAAGCAGCAGATTATAATATCTGGCAATTTGACAATTTCATGATTGATTTATTCAACTGTAATCTTGTCCCCTTCCTCCTGAAGAACTCGTTCTATTTGAGATGTGGTAATTCATTCAGCTCCATGGTATCGCAGAATCCCCCATTTTATAAGCCTCTATATATACTCAATTAGATTTAAACCTGGTAAGTTTAGAGGCCACTTGTTAGGTGGAGACAACCTGTTAGACTTCAGAGTTGTCTAGGCCAACCAAGATTCATTTCTGTAGACGAAAATTGTGTAGGAAGGCTCAAAGTACACTTGTTTCATTTATGACTACTAAGAATGAAGTAAAGTAGGTAAAGTAGAGTAGAATCATGAAGACAATATTATATTGTTAAGGTCTCTTCTTCATTACTGGATGATGTCAAAAAAGCTTAAGAGGTACTTTGATATTTATATTCTGTATCTGAGTGTTCGCAGACTATATCTATTAATTATACAACTATGTACCTTTCTGATTATAACTCACAAGATCGAATGATCTTCAAAGATGCGAATACCTGGAGACCCTGAAAATCACCACACTCTCTTCGGTAATTACAATATTGCTAACTAGGAGTCATGCTGTTCCCAATGGTAATTATCCAATCATCAGAATCATTAGACATATGGCCTAGTTCTCAAGTCGAACTGAGTTGGCACCAATTATTTCTGTCATTGATTAAATGATCAGTTTCATCTGCAGGTTGTATCTGTGGAGGTAGTCGTTATTGTAACCATTCTAGGTTACTTGACTTTAAATCTCTATAACTCTGTATCCAACTGATTGATTTCTTCTGAAGTGCTTCCTACTAATTCGCAGGAAGCTACTCTACCAGATTGATAGACAATCCTACAGTGAGTAACTCTTGGTTGCTCTGAGTACCAGGATTTGAATTGCAGTTTTAGTATTGGAAATTATTTCCGTACCTACAGCATATTCCTGAACTCAGTTGTAACACTCCATAAAGTCCGCTGGCTTTAGTGGTAATATTCCTCAAAGTTCTAGACTCTTCTGATTATTCTAGGGTAGGTGCGAATATATTAGTTTCTTGTTAAGATCCTTTACTATTCAATATCATATCCTTATGCAAAACTGTCCCGTCACCTACAGCTCGTGCTAATGATATCACATCTTTAAAGCCTAGTAACTTTCTGAGTAGTTAATAGATTTACTCTTTTCTACTTCCCAGACGTAGCCAAAAGCCCTCTCTCATCCATCCTGCAAACAAGATCTAGTCGCATAAACGGCAGCAACATATATAGTGTTAACCCTGCACTTTTAGTTCTGTAGGATTATAGTCACTAGATACTACTGAGATTAATATATATGATAATATGCAGGCTCTGTTAGGGGGCCGGAGTGGGGTGTTGAATACCAGAGATTTTGATTTTGAGTGAGATTACCCTACTTAGGATAGTTTCTATGTATTAGATCCCAGTAATCCTAATATCACTTGATCTTTAGTATGCCTTAACTTTCCTACTCCTGATTTGTAAAACCAGAGTTATAGCAAAGTGAATTCTCTTTCATAAGTAGAAATTAAGGATTTAGAAAATGTTGTTCTCAGTAGGTTGACCCTAGCAGTGGCCGACAAAGGGTAGCCACATATTGCTTAAAGTCAATTCCTTTTACATCTTTTCTTTTGGCCTGTACAACTTTAAACATCTTTTCCTATAATGATTGAGCAATAGTAAGTTTTTCTTTCCACTCCTTAGCTATTGTCTAAAGGCCTCTTACAACTCTTAAAGCTACTAATTCTACCTCCTTTAATACTTACCACTCCACTGTCCCCCTCCATTCATCATTCAGCTGATTCTCCTTTCTCTCTATATTCTTATTCTATTCCTCTACTACTCGCTTTACTTCCAGATTCTCCACCTTTATCTCCTTAACCCAAACATGAAATAGACCTTTCCAATTCTAACCTATCATTTTCCAACACATAATTGTTATCTCAAATTTTTTCTTTAGTACCTACACAGTCTTTGTGCTAGTACTCTCCCTTCTCTCTCCAGACTAGGTTAACGGTAAAGTAAGCTCCAACCTCTACAAACTTCTCCTCTATAAATGCATAGTTTGCCCATAGCCTGCAGCAGCTAATATTCTCTCTTCATACAATGTTATAAATTATTAATAGATTAGTTACCAATAAGAGCTTCATAAGTATGAATTATTCTTACTAGTCGTATTTTTTTATTCTCTGATATGAAAATAAGTTTAAACTCCTCCTGATAAGTACCAATTCTTCTCTGTTTCAAAGAACGCAATAGTATACTTATACTCACATGTGGGAACTCAGCTTCCCATCATATATTAACCATATTTATTCTTCTTATATTAAAATCTCTTTTAATAAAGGCCACAAACCTGTCTTAATCCTCTGTACTCAGGAGAGCTAATCTTTCAGAACCCGTGTTGGCATTTAGATATGACGGTGTAATTAATTCCTGGAGTAATAGTGGCATATTGAGAGGATCTGGCATGCTAGTGAGAACTCAAGCTTCATGGGTATTCTTTACCGCATGCAGTCAAATATCATTAGCTGTCGAGGCAGTGACACTAGTAGCTTCTTTGATCTTTTTGAAGGAAATAGGGGTTGGGAGGCTCTGGAACACAATTATAATAGCTCGACGGTATGGTGATATTTCTTTCCCTACAATTGATCTTTATTAACACCTTGACTGAGCTTTCATTCTTATGTTTCTTACCTTGAGAGTTGCATACGGATGCTATATTCCTAGATTGTTGTGTATCTTAGTATCATGGTGTGAAAAATACGTGTAGAACTTAAGAGATAACTACAGGTTGCAAGCTTCCCTCCTCCTTGCACCTTGGCACTAAGCGCACTGACCCTATCTGAATACTTTTGAATTTGTCAAGTAGACATGCAATGTTGGATTTAGTAATGTACAATCATGTCCATAAAGTCTTCAAAAAACTTCCTACCCCAGCGCAGTAACAGTGTTGTCCTCTATCCCCACAGCAACCGCCTCTACCATAACCCCCCCACATACCTGAAAAGCTAGAGAAGACCAAAATAAGGAAATTTATACCCTGTGTAAATATACTGATATGGGGTATAATAAAATTTCTAAGGCTATGGGTATCTCTAAGGCAACTGTTCAATCAGTAATCAAAAGAGCTGAATAAAGAGATGGAAATACCCATGATGCCCCCAGATCTAGAAGACCAACAATTACCCCTTAAAAAAGAAAGATAGTGGAGTCTATTATTGATGCCGAGCCTCATTTAGCATTACATGACATTACCAAAAAAGCGAATATTGGTCTGGAAAAGACATCTGTGGATAAGATCATATCAGAAGCTGGTTTTAAGCTTCTGATACCTAGAAAAAAACCTTTTTGGAGGAAAGGACAGAAGGAGAAGAGAAAGGAGTTTGCTAGGAGAAGGAGGAATTGGAGGGGTGCATGGAATTGGGTTGTTTTTATGGATGAAGCCACCATTATCAATAATCCAAATCCTACTGGCAGGAAGGTCAGAGTTAGACCTGGTGAAGAGCTGGAAGAAAAAAACTTGAAGCCTAGCTTTAAGTCCGGGAGGACTAGTATTGTGGTCTATGCTGCAATCATGAAGAGTGGCAGAACTGAGTTAATTCTTGTGAGGAAGAGGAGGGAGGAAGAAAGAACCAGCAAAAGAGACAGACTTGGCCTTAATTCCCACCAATATGCAACTGAAATCCACCAGCCATACCTTATCCCTTTTATAGAAGGTCTGGATAGACCTTCTGACAACATCTACCTAGCAGCAGACAATGCCTCCTGGCATGGTGGTGAGGAAAACAGAAAATTGCTGTCAGACTGTGGTTATCAAAAATTGCCTTGGCCACCCAACTCACCAGATTTCAATCCTATTGAGAACACTTGGGCTCTGCTCAAAAGAGCCCTCAGAAATTGATTCTCCAGGTTGGATAGGAGGCCTCACAGTGCTGCTGAATTATTTCAGGCAGCAAAGGAGGAATGGGATTTAATTTCCCAAGAGAAGTTGGATGGGTGGATAGATAGGATGCCTGAGAGAATACAGGCTGTACTAGATGCAGATGGTGGTCATACAAAGTGGTAATAATATTTTCTTAAGGCTTATTAGTTCTATTCATATACTTTTCTTAATTGAGTTGTTTGAATTTTTTTTCAATTTTCCATGGAGAGGTGTTGTGGTTGTGTGGTTGCGCCGCCGAGGTATGAAGACTTTACGAACACGACTGTACCGGTATTGTGCCAAGACCTTTTTCTTTTCCGAGTTCCAACATCAACGCCTGTCTCCATAATTTTGAGCCGCAACTCGTCCACCATTCACAAACACCATATATATATCCCGAGGCCCTCTACTCGGCTCGACAATCAATCAATTCACAATGGCGGACCAACCCGAACCGGTAGTTTTCTTGGATGTGACTCTAGGCGGTATGTCCCCTCTCTCTCCACCTTGCCTTTCCTCGTTTTCACAGGCGATCACGATGGCTGATGGTACTGATGATGAGGGAACGAATAAAGGCGAACTCCTCGGCCGCATTAAAATCCAACTATTCTCGAAAATAGTGCCCAAAACCGCCGAGAACTTCCGTGTCTTTTGCACCGGCGAGACAAAGGGCCGTGGAGGTCGGCCGTTGGGGTATAAAGGATGTAAATTCCATCGCGTGGTGAGTTATGATTGCTTTATTTTTTTGTTTTTTTTGTTTCACTTATTCTTCTTCACACAGCTGACTGTGCTACTTGGTACGTGTGTCTAGATTAAAGACTTCATGTAAGTCCTGCCCACCTCCTAAAATAGTAAAGGGTAGGTAAGAGTGGGATTAACGAAGGAATAGGATCCAAGGAGGCGACTTCCTAAACAACGACGGCTCCGGCGCCCTATGTATCTACTCTTCCGAAAGCTTCCCCGACGAAGGCTTCACCGTAAAACATGATGCACCGGGAATAGTTTCTATGGCAAAGTACCCTTCACTCACACCCCCCCCCCTCCCCTATCGCTGGCTAAATCAAATACAGCTCTGGCCCAAACACGAATGGATGCCAGTTCTTCATAACCTCGAAAGTAGCCCCGTTCCTGGACGGGAAGTACGTCGCCTTCGGAAAGGTGATTGAGGGCATGGATGTTGTTCGCAAGGTCGAGAATGTCAGGGTCATCTTGGACCGTCCGACAACGGACGTGATTATTAGTCAGTGTGGGGAGATGTGACTTGATTTGATGTGCGAAGTTAGAGGGGTAACTGTGATACCATGGTCAATAGCAATGATGATACTGGTATGAACGAGGGAGCGGGTAATGAATGAGTGAATAAATAAGGGTGGGTATAGTACCGTATTCCCCACTGGCACATGGCCGAGCCGAGAAAAAAGTGCGTTTAGCCGTCATAAATAGAGCCGTAGATATGACATCCCGTACCGATACCCGGCACGATACGAACTCCCACCACGATATAAATAAGGCTACCATACCATAACCACAACCCTCAACCAATCCTGAATATCACCAGCCAAAAAATAAGGCTCACAGGCCGTCATACATACCACACACCAGAAGCCGTGGAGGAGGGAAAGCGCGTAACCCCACTACAGTACCCACCCTGATTACTTTCAATTTACCAGAAAGGCAGTCAGTCAGCTGCCGCTACAAGGACCACATCGAACTCTGCAAACCACCAATACGGTACTCGAGCACAAGCACTCGCACACAAGCCACCCCATGGCCAGGTACGATAGGTGGGGGGGCGGGCGGATCGCAGGTACTGTACGCACTTTCCTTTCCCCCCTTAACTTATCGCTACTGTCACCTCACCTCACCATACAATACCGTACAATTTCAAATCCCACAATCCCACACAATCTTCATACAGTGCTGCACACACCCGACCCGAACTCCTAACCCCCCCGCCTCCCCTAAGTCTGACATTATTACCGGCATGTATACATACAAGTACGGTGTGCGCGATATATTATGCAGTTTCAGCCTTCTTTCTCTGCAAGATGAGAAGGTGCGGGTTAGGGTTTGTAGATCATCTCATCTCATCCCATCTAGATTACAGGGTTTCGCACCCTCTCTCTACCTCCCTCTTGATTACCAAAGATTAGTCTGCGGTAGTACGGTGCTCGTGGTTGAACGGGCGTTTGTGGATACGATTACTGTTGCATGGCGCTGGGATGCAAGCGGGAAAGGCTGGATTTTGGTAGTGTGCATTTGGCAGTTGTGTTCACAAACGTCTTTCGATTACGAATGTCATGTCGTGCTCGAAGTTGTATTTCTGCTGGTTTGGATTACGTATGGACCTTTCGGCTGTGCGGTGTCTAGGACTTCGCTTTTGAGCTGAATAGGAATAGGGTGGTGGTATTGTTACCCCGGGAAGAGATGGATTAACTCTTCGGGTTCATTCCATTGGCCAGGTCCCTATTGAGTGACCAAAGCCATACCTTTATGAGCCTAGTTTTTGCGGATCGAAGGGGAAAATAGGCACTACGGAGTAAGGCTGTGAAATTCTGGAACGAAGGGATAACTCATTTCAAGATCAAGATGTGGAGCCGATTATATATAGTCTACAGCACAGTGCACTGGAGGATACCACGTTTCCCGCTGACCCACTGGCCTCCTCTTTTTTTGTTCTTCCCACACAAGATCCGGCCCCTCCAACGTGCAATACGTGCAATACGTGCAATACGGTAGTCGTACGGTTACATTTTCTCAATCCAGTCCGATCCACAAATGATATCCAGCTCCCCCCCTCACCTCAACGACCAAACCAAATAAAAAAAATACAGCGATAGATGAACAGTGTATAAGAGGAAAAATAATAATACCAACAAGACAAGGGAAGGGAAAGCAACAAAGGCATATGCATAGTAACAATAATAGTGAATAATCCGAATTATCCTCTCTTGGCCGGAGCAACCCCCGCACTGAGAACGCTGGGCAGTGGCTCATCACCAATGCTATACAGCAACCCAACAGCCCAGATTGATACAAAGATGATGGCGATGCCAAGCACAAGGAACAGGTTAAAGGGAACACTAATGTCTTCCTTCTGACACGCAGCCCCGGCCCACTTATCCATCTTCTTCCCATCGGGTCCCTTGCACGAGCAGGCCCAGCAGTCAGTCGGAAAGCTCGACTTTACGCACTCGCCACGACCGGAGCAGGCATTCGTTGCGTTTGTGCAGCTATTCTGGGAAGAGTAGCAGCGAGGGATGGGACCGAGGATTCTTTTTGGGTTTTCAGAGGAAGCAGAGGTTGCCTCAGCGGGTGGCGGGGAGTGGGCGGTGAAGGAGAGGGGTTCTTCCTCGGAGCGTTTGTATGCCTTGTGAAGATCTATCTTGAAGGCACTAACACCCGTATTGCTTTTGGTTGCTGGGAGGAGGAGGATGGTAGACCTGATATGTGCTGGGATGTCGTCAATTAGGGATAGGTATAGTTGTGCTGCGTTAAGTGCTTGTTTGGACTCTGGGCCGTATTGCTTGACGTATTTCTATTGAATATGAGTAATCTGTAAATCGTTTGGAAGAAGAGATACGCAAACCTCTACACCCGCAACATGGCAAGAAGCAAGATGTTGTCCAGGCAAGGACCTAATATCTCGCTGGGTAATCTTTTTGATGATGCCATATTCCCTGAGAAGGTTGGCTGCTTCCGAAGGTGTACCATAATCATCCTCGGAAACCTCGATGGTGGGTGTATATTCCTTGGGGTCAAGGCTGATTTCATTCTATTCAAGAATCAGCAGCGGTCCAGCCGTTTAGGGTATTTTAGTTGTACCTCGGAAACACCCACGCACATTCCGCCCCACGGTGACATATCCACAACCCTTGGCACAGCAGCCTCCAAAAACTGACGGTTCTTCCGGACGAAGACATCCATTAACTCGCCGAATGCCGACGCCTTGGGCATATCCCTGAGACCGATCTGTGTACTTTCCGGCTGAGTAGCTGTTTACCGGGAATAATCTGTCAGGAACCACCACATGATACCCCACAGGAACCAAGAAAAAGTGCAGGTACAAATGGGAACTTTGGAATCACACCTCCGATACCATATGCTCCGGCGATTGAGAGCACAAAGTCTTCCTCAATCCGCGCTCGAAACATCCTCGACTTTCCCCCATCCAAGTCCAATCGCGGTGGATTCCCTTGTGGCCCCAACTCATAATACCTCGAAACACCTAAACGCTCCGATAAAGAGAGAGCAAGTTCTTCAGGCGATACTGACGTTGCGTCATCGGAATGGTCGTGGTAGAGCTCGTAGACTGTCGATGACGCCGCGACACCTGCGAAACAGGAGACGACGAGACCAGGGAGAACCCTCATGCCGGGAAACAAAAAGGAAAGAGAAAAGGCTAGAGTTCTATTCGCGATGGTGGAAAAAGTGTGTGTTCGTTTAATGGCGTGTTCCAGTGGGAAGGAGTTTTGGGAGCTAGTAGAAAGGGTGGGTGCGGTTTTCAAAGCTGCCAGGTCGAGTTATGTTGATGCTGTGATGAGAATTACCTAATCAAACTAAAGCGAGTGCTGAAAGATACCCTACGGTATCCAGCTGCCCGTGGTGGATTATCGATATCTCTTTACTTCCTTCCCCTTCGGTTTCCTTGGGGATCCAATTTCTTTTTCTTCTTTTTCTTCAAACTTGCAACACTTTCTTTTGCCCCTTCCCACTTTCTTCTATACATTTACTTTGTTCGATCTAACCAACTCCTCGACTTCATTTGTTTTTTCCCTTTTAGAAGGGCTCCCTCCTTGCATCCGTAACATCTGACCTTCCACGCGGCAAAGCTACTATCACGATACTATCATCTTCCATAGTCTTCCTAACGACTCAGACATCCACCCATCTACCCATCCACCCATCCATCTCCACCTGCCCCACGACGTGAGCCTTTACAACAGCAAAATTATTAATTTTTTGAAGGAAAGCACAGCAGTCACCCCCGCGGCACTCCGTGCAATGTTCAAATCTCTCCGAACACTTCTATCGTGTTCCCGCTACCCTAGCCGCTTTACGAACGACGGTGGCGCAATATACCGCGTGCGCTTCGTCCCTAAAGAACGTCGATTCGGCACATTTACTCGAGCAATGATATGGCTTAGCGGATTTCAGCTCGCGGCGAATGGGCTGCTGCAGATATATGGGAACGGGTGGGAGAATCCAATTTTTATACCGCTCGGGTTTGCAGAGTTTGTCCCTGAGAGGGAGTATAGCCCCGATGATCCGGAATATTCTATGTATATGAAGTTTAGGAAGGACCCACAGAGGGCACTGGAAGGGAAACGTGAGCCTTTCCCCTCTACTTTGTTGGCCGGGGTTTGGAAATGTGGCTGGAGCTAATAGCTTTATAGGAAAGGTCGTCGACGCACTTATCGACTATCTTGGGAAAAGATATGGAAAAAAGTTTGGCGGTAACATTGAACCTGAGATTGCGACCGTATACTATCACTACCCGTGAGCTGCCCTTGCCAAATGCGTATCCTTTAGAGCTCCTCTAATAACAACCGCAGGCTCCGGCCTCGGGAATACAAACGCAAAGGGTGAGTTCACACCCCCTTCTCAACCCCGCAAGCTAACTGTCCCCAGACTAAAGATATCCCCACCACCACCACTCCCAGACGACACTCCCCCCCCCCTACGTATCTCAAACCTAACCTACGAATGGACCACCCGGCCTATCCCCACCGCAACAATGCACCGCCTAATAACAGCCTTCTACCCAACCTGGATGTTCTCATCAGTAACTACCTCCCTCCAACACACCTACTCCTTCCTCCACGCCACCCACAACTCCACCCAAACCTCCCCCGCTTCCTCCCCAATTGACCTCGGCAAGCGCGCAATCTCCCACGGCATCCAATCCGGCCTTGTACACCTGCGCCGCACTTACCGTCGCCCGCCCGCCCCACAAGGGCACGTGGTCCTTGATGGTCTCGTGCAAGTTGCTGGTGACAAACTCCGCGTGGCGATGGATGTAACGGTCAGCTTCCACCCGGAGGACCTCAATTCCATCATCTTCCACAAGATAGATGTGCGCTACGTCGCCAGGAACGACAAGCGACAGAAGGTTATAGCGCCCCCGGTGGCATCTCCAGGACAGGCACCCCCGCACCAAGTCACGACAATTAGAGTCGTAGTGGTAAAGTCCGCGACCGAACAACCAAAGACTGAAATCATCGAGGCCGCCGCAGCACTACAGCGGAGCAACGTGGACAAGGCGAGGAGCTTCATAGACAAGCAGGATAAGGAGCGGAAGAAAGTGAAGAAGGAAGCCGTCGAGGTCGGTGTCGAGAAAGAAGTCACGGCCGTGACACCCGGCGCAGAAGGGGCAGCGGTAGGGGGACCGACGCCACCGGTGTCACCCGAAGAAGAGAAAGAGGGGTCAAAGAGAACCGGGGATGATGCTGCTTCCTCGAAGTCATGAGCCCGTTAGGCTGGGGTTATCATGAACAGCGGGGTGACTTAAATACTTCTCAGCTTCTCCATTTCATCTCATTTTGCATTCTCAGGGTTTCTCCTTCCTTCTTCCTTCCGTTCCTTTGTGGGGTATTCGTTAGTTAACTGGCTGGTCGATTGGTAGCAGGAGGCTATCTCGCAAGCACGAAATTTATACCTGGCGCATCTCTTTTCCTCCTCCATCTATCTCGTCGCATCTTCATGTCACTCCGCACGTCCTTTAGTCTCTGGTCTAGCCTCTGGCCTCTGTAAGATTGTATACTATTTACGTTCCTCCCCCTCTCTTTCTTCCTTGCTTGTAGAATAGAATTCGCGGTTGATTCCTCTTTTTCTTTTTGGTTCCTTTCCTCGTTCCATGTAAACGATCATGGGATATCACTCGGTAGTTAATCTCAATGAATCCTGATGTTGTAGTTAATGTCAAAAATAGTATGATGGGTATACAGTAGTCTATTTTTTTTTCTTCTGTACTCGTACTCCTTCCTCCCCGAATTTTAATTTTAGCCTTTTCCTCTTGATAACCGGGGAAGTTGGAAAAAAAAAAATCAACGCCAACTTCGATATATGCATATCTCGGATGCCGTGACTTCGTTACCGCCTGCTTCCACCTCTTTCTGACGCCAGTTATATAGCTCGTGATTTCCTCCCAACTTTCTCCACCTTCACACATCCACTGTCTCTCTGTTCCTGGTTGAAATAAAGACAAGGACATTACAAGACATATGATATAAATACTCAGCTCCTCACCCTTCCTCCTCGTCACCCTTCCTTCTCCCCTGTCTATAAGACCCTAGCCCAGTGTAACTCATTTACCTCATCACTGTCTTCCGCTCGCACCCCCCCAAAAAAAAGAAAAAAAAAGAAGAAAACAAAAGGCACAGTTAAAGAAATCCCGGAAGAGAACACTAAATCATGCAAGAATAATTTATAAGATTGAAGTCTCAGATTGTTACGCTGCTCTCTCCTTCTTTGGACTTAGGGGGTGCGCCGCTCCGTTAAGGACTCGTGGGCGAGAGGCGGGTGTGTATGGAATGCTAAGGCATTGGATACCGAGGTAGCCGCAGATACCATCGATGACCAACATTGCCCAACGGAAATATACGATTGCCGCAAAGACGAAGTACCCACGTAGGTACCAAAGCTCGACGAACGAAGAAATAGGGGCACTATAGGGTGGATTAGCATTTGTATGTGGTCAAATCATGTAAAGTGGGTAAATATACAGCCCAAATGATGGCAAATTAGCCAACACGGCACCGCCAATGAGTGGCGCAAGAAGCACAGTCCAGTAGGGAAAAGGCTGATGGGTCAAATGCGCCAAAATGATCTTCGTAGTCATCCGGCCAAAAACAAAACTCATGGTCAAGCAAAAGAGGACAAGTCTGTTCTCTTCCAACAATGTAGTATGAGGAGAATACAACCAGAGCCCGCAAGAGAGCGTGAAGACTACCATTGGCGTCCATTCTAAGAAAACCGGGAGAACCGGGAGCTTCTGGCGCCGGCGGGCAATAACGACATTATAAATGCTGGTGGATATTAGATCCTGTCTAAACTGTGCGCAATATTTAAGGGTTTCAAACATACCAGAATGGGAGATGTGCCAATAGAAAGGAGCCCAGAATAACAGGGATCCAGATATCTCTAATGGAATAATCTTCGAAAAGCCACTCATGACCGAAAACATCGCTAATTCTATAGGTCCATATCTCAGGACCATAGTACCCAGACATAACCATCAAGCTACACGCAATGATCAATCCCTCTTGACTACCGTTAGCTCGCATCTCCTGTACATGCAGCGGAGTTATATATCTCACCAGTAGGGCCGTTAAAGTATCCGAGATATAAAACATGAGAGTGATATGTCTCCCAGGTAGAAAAGAACATTGGTAGAGTAGGAATCAAAGCAGTAAAGACACCAGCCCTGGTAGGACCGAGCCCCATGCAGGCTGTTTCGCACAAACTGGCTGAACAACCCCGTCAGTCTAGTTCCCAATCGTAGTATCCATGCACCATATATGCAATTACCCAAAGTGCAATTGAGAGAATCAATTCCATGACTATATCTCAGTGTCAGCAATCGTAGAGAGCCAAAGATTGACGAGCCCATACTCAAAAAGTTCTCCCAAAGGGGAACTAGAACCAGTCCTTCTAGCTTGCTTCCCGTCGATATTATCCATGGTCGAGTACCTACACCCCTAGAATCAGCCCGCCGAACCCTATAGCATCTCCCAAAAGTTTTCCAAACTTACGCCCAGAGACCGAAAGCGAAAGAATAATATAGCCAGCTAGGGCCAGGGCCCACAAGATCCGGCAGCCAAATTTCCAAGCATATTACATTCGTCAAGATAAACCCAAACCCAACGAGCGTAACAGCATTAGGTGCCAACCACCGAGGCAGAAGCTCAACCATAAAATTCCACTTCACGCCGTCAGCAAGGCCAACCCTTAATCATTCATGGTCCGGATAAAAACGTACGTAATGCTTTAGAATATATCGTGAGATCAAAGACTTATCAACACTCTGGTAACGGTACGTCTTCAAATGGACCAATTGATCTTCGGAAAGGAACTCAGAGCTCCTTCTCCGACCTAAAACATCCCAAGAAGGAACGAAGTCAGCATCACAATAATTGACAGAACTTCTTGTACCCCCTTTAGCATAAAAGGAGCTAAGCAATGATGGTACCTCTCGATCCCTTTGGCCGATTATCAACCCGGTTGCTAGCCATGATTTCAGATCCGTCAAAGAAATAAAAACCCAAAAGGAGTGGTCTAGAAGAAAGTATGGATCTTCAGTGGTGTAAACGGACAATTCAAGGGAAGAGCGAAGGAAGAAAAAAACGAAAGGAAAAGGGAGAGACCAACTTGTTTTTCCCGTGCATTATTAGGGCCAAATTATGGCTGCTGCAGATGCGATGGATAAGATTAGCCGCGGCCTTGAGCCCTGTCCCCTCCAGGGAACCAAGGTAAGGGGAAAGGACACGCCATTGTATGCGCGGCTCTCCTAAGTTCCCCGAACCTGAGAGGGAGCCAAGACTTAATTCTGCGAGAACCCTTACAGTATCCCTTTCTCACTTCTCGCTTCACCATCAAGCCCTGAAGCAGCTGTATCATAAGATTCATAACAAGGAAAGTCCCCTCAATCATTGGATGAGAGGATTTGCGATGAACACCCCGATGTAACGCATCTAGATATGGATTCACTGGACCTCTCCACTGATTGGCCCAGGAGAAAACCCATTTTATTGCTTTCAAGATTGAATAAGTTATGAAAATCGTGATGCCAAGGAATCATTTGTCATCTGGTGATACACAGTGTATGCGGGGGAAAATAAAAAAAAAGAGAGAGGGGGTGGGAGAAGAAAGTGGTGCGCGGTATCTCGGTACACCAATTTCACTCGCTCTACGTGTACTCGCACAAGTCACTTCCACAGGTTGTTTGTGCCGAGGTGGGGTGCATTTGCTCGGGGAAGCATGGGACAATTACCGTAATTCGGCTCCCGTGATAGGTTACAATGAGCCCACATTGGTGAGATACAAGTACATGCATAATATGCAATGAATCAACGCAAGGGCGTGATGTCCGGTGGACTCGTGATCCACAGTACATAGTACTGTACGAGTACTCGAGTACAGTAGTGCCAGAGAAGGATACCCAAGCATGTACAGTCGCACCTCGTTATAAAGAACGCCAAGAGTTTGGGGGGTTTTGTTCGTTATAACGAGGTTTTGGGGTGAATTCCTTATAGCGAGTACTGTTTGTATGGGAACAGGGGTCTTGATTCCCGTACGATTCATTCGTAATGGCGAGGTTTCTCATACAAAGAGGTCCATTATAGCGAGGTGCGACTGTACTCGAATACACGTGTAGAAAAATATGCGATGCAAAAACTACACGATTTGCAAATGCAAGGGGAAAGAAAGAATGCTATCATTATTACTACGAGAAGAGAATCCGATAGTCTCGGCTGTATCCATGACAAAAAATGTTGTAATTGATTAAAGACTCCCCCCTGACCGAACATCCCGTACATTATGGGCTGTTAGGCACAAATGGATCCTATGTAACTAACTCACCCCAGAAAATCAGGGTCCACCTTCAAGTATTGCGCTTCTCGTGAACGTCATAAGAAGCCCTCCTCTTCTTAGGGTTCCCGGCTTCGCCTTGCTTCTCCTTCTTCCCTAGCTCGACTATATGCACAATGTTGCCAATCTTGACCTTGATGGCATCGATAAGCAATTTCAGTCTCTCGACTTCGCTTTTACCAAAGATTTTGTCCCAGCAAGCATGAGTCTTCAATGCCTCAAACACCTCAGCTTTCACGTCTTTGTCTGGCTCCGTAAGGCTCCAAGCGAGAGAAACATGGAAACCATCAAGTTTGTCGCCATTTTCCGTGTATAGTGGCGGTTGTTCAAATGCTTCAAAGGTGTGATTAGCCAATTGGAGTAGACGAGGGAGCTGTCGCAACGGTCAATTATCGGCATAATGTCTAGCCTTGTGTTAAAGCGAGATTTTACCTGTGCATCATCCCCCTTGGTAGCTCTCAAGACAAAAAACCAGCGTGTTCGGTCATTATTGCTCACAAATTCAAAGCCTGTAAACTCTACCGAGAATCTGGGTCCACATCCGTTAGACATCCCGCTCTGTGAAATTGTGTGAGAGGTGGTTGGGACGAACGGCTTGATTCTAGTCTTATCGAGCCTGTCTTTCAAGAGCTCCAAAAAACCTTCCCTCTGTGCAGTGGTAAGAATGTTGGGTCTGCTTAAGCTTAAATGTAGCGGTTGTTCGCTGCCTAGATCGCTTTTGAGATGGCTCTCAAGCCTCACACCAGCTGTGGCAGTAATGGTGGATGCGGTATGATAGGCACCATTGAGGACATCAAATTCTGAGCGCGACAGATGCCCTCCAATTCCCGTCAGTTTTGCTTTGGCTCCGGGGCTCAAAAATTGAAAGTGGAAAAGGGTGAGAAATAAATATATGGAGAAAAAACATACACTCAATAAAAATATGAGTCGGCCAATTCCCCTGAATATGCGGAATGGACCTCTTTCTTCCACCATGAAGCGAAGGATCATCTTGCTGGCCTACCCTCGGAGCAACGGCATAGAGATCATGGAAACGCGAAGGAAGTGGGGGTAGCGAATTGGATGAGGATGCTTTTGAGTACTTGGAAGTGGAAGTAGGCGATTTGTTAGCTGGGGTTAGATAAGTTGTTTTGGCCATTTTAGCTGGGGGGGAGCCGTCAGAATCCGAATCGGAGTATTCGACGAGGGAGCTAGTTAATGGTGCCATTTTCGTTATGTTCTCAAGCGATCCTGGAGCGACAAACAGTGGGTTGAATATCGGTGGTTGAAGGACGCTAAGGGTGGTGAGCAGCCTTCACCTCGATGATGATGATGATGATGATGGTGAGGGGAAGCGTGACAGTGAAACTATACTCGAGTTGAATCGTGGTTTGCTGTGAGCTATGGTACTTGTAGGTACAGTACTCGTACAAGCACGGTGCTGCACAGTAAGTCGGCTACAGGGAAAGGTTTCATCCACCAACTTTTGCTCGAGTGCATACAGCACTCCAGGGGGCCCTCAAAAATCAGAAGTTCGTGAGATGCCTGTTCTGGTGGCCGTCCAAAATTGTAACCATCTTGGAAATGAAGGATCTTTTGGAGACAACACAAGTAGCACCTGGGAGTAGCTATCATACCTAGCATGATGACCTAAGAACAGTGCGATACCAACAAATAGAGGATGTAAATACAAATAAATTTACAAAATAGCCAATTCCCTATGAGTTCATTGGGATACCGTAATGGAAATTCCCTTTGTTAAACCTTTGAATCTTACCTGGGAGGCGAGGGGTTCCTGTACCGTACGATACTCGTGCCACGGTTGTGGCTGTCCAGCTACAACTCCCCAAAGCTCACTTCACTTTTAGGGGCACTCCACTGAGTGCCTGACAGCCCAACACTACTTGACAGCTCAACACAACTTTGTGGCTCAAAAGCACTCTGAGCCACACTATCACTTTGTGGCTACACTGTATATTCAAGCTGAATATGATATCATAGTACTTTGAATTTCAATGGAACTTTGGTACTCCAAGGTCCATTGAAGATCAATAGCAATGTGAAACTTAAAATACTAGAAAGTTTGTTGTATAAAATAACAGAATATTATCATAAAATATAGTCTGATTCTATCTATCAATAACCTTATATCCATTACTGTCTGTCATGCCACTACTACCATTAATTATACTCACCAGTTAACAGGTAGAGGCCTATTATGATGTCAAAATATGTATTGAGGTATCTCTTAGAATACTTCATACTTTGGAGTGCAATAAACAAACTCTAAACATTACTGCAACAACTTGTAAATATGAGGTACCTTTTAGAAAATAAAATACAGCATCTATTAAGCTGTCAGGCACTCAGTGGAGTGCCCCCAAAAGTGAACAAGTGAGCTTTGGGGGGTTGTGGCACGAGTATATAAGCCGGCTTTTGTCGGCGAGTTTTTATTTAAACTTCACCTGAGTTGTCACGTGCTTGCAGGTGTAGCGACAACTTGTTATCATACCTCTACGGTAGGTCAAACAAATACCGTATCATATTTTCTTCTGTTCGACCATCTTTTCACAGGCACGGACACTGGGAGTATTACCGGTAACAAGGGAATTGTAGATATTAAGAAGGCTTCATATCTTTCTGAGGGCATGAGGGCGTATCCCAGGGAGTGTTTCCTTTAACCTCATTAAAGTTTACCCCCCGAAGCGCTGGCGGGCCCGGGATATCAGCGAAGCGACCGAACTTATCAAAAATCTGAGATGATGGATTGGTACTCACATGAGCTCTCTTTCACTTGAGGGCCGAGTTGAGCGCAGCTACCAGTACTAGCCACCGGTACTTGATGGTGGGAGAGCGATAGGGCACCAGTATGATAGTGAGAACCAGCGCCCTGTCCCGAGTATCATACTGCTCGAGTATACCCAACTTGAATCAGGGACGCTGACTCATCCGATGGAGGTGGCGGTTCTCGGCGCCCTGTCAAGCATCATGGCCCAAGAATTGCAGCCGACCTCAAGCTCACTCCACGCAATTCACAGGATTTAAATCTGTATATGGCGCACTTCGAGAACTCTACCGGTACCAAAACATGTGCCAGCCTCCGCAGGAGTGACGTTTTTCCGGCCTTTATGATACTCATGCGCGTGCGCAGCATTTTTGATGCAAGTGAAATATTTTAACACTGTACTTTTTTCACTATCGGTGACTCAACGATGGATTTCGGTTTTCATCAGAGTGGCTACCCCCGGTGGGGTAGCTACTGTCTGAGTGTGGCTTGTTTTCTGTCCTCTCTGGTCGGGGACGTTCGAATGTTGGAAGAAAATGCGATTTGCAAGGAAAACGTCATTTTTTCTCCATTGTGACGAGACAGACAGGGTCTTTATTTCTTCCCACATGTTTTCCCGATTGTAGTCTAATTGTACGCAAGCAGCGGTAATAGCAGGCGTTGGGCTAGGACCTTGCGTGCAGATTCAGATTCAGTATTTTTTTCGTTTTTTTCGTTTTAGCTGGGTTTTTGGTGCCGGTATCGTGGATTGGAGCTCCCACCGAGTCTGTGCATTATAGCAAGGTCTTTAGTGCAGTACCCGAGTGCGTCGCCGCTCGTTGTAGTGAGGTGTGGCGGCAGTTTATCTACATTGACCCTGACTCCCTGCCGGTAACTTTAAGGTACTGTACTACTTGTACTCGTAGTAGGGGACAATACCAGTTTCAGAGTCAGGTCAGTCTCATGAATCCAGTTGACCGGGGGGTGTTGCTTTTCGGCTAGCTGGAACAGTCTTGGGAATGGCGGGGGATGGTGGGGAAACGGAAAGAATCGCCTACCCCCCTTGTTCAAATTACCGGTATGGTAAAAGCGCTGTGCGGTATTGACGTCGGGTGGGGCAGACCTGCGGAAAGCGTCGATCCCTCGTTATTAGTACAGTATTGAGGAAGGGCCTGCAGTGTGCTTGACATTTCCCGCCTCGCGATGGGCTTGCTATGCAGGACGGACGGGTTTTATTGGAAATTTCACCAACTCCCAAAACCTCTGTGAAAATCCATCCGTTCCTGCCTCTCCTTGGCCTTCTCTCCAAGGGCGGATTATGGAGCATCATAATCCATCACCCCCTTGCTGAAATTGCTGCCGGTTGCTGGGGGAGCTCAGACGTTTCTCCATTCCCAATCATCGATATCGTATCGTGCCATATGATAGGAGGTCTCATAAGGTACGAGACTGTTACGCAATGAGCATCACGTCACTTGGGTCGTGGAGGGTAAGAGTATCGTACCAGTAGTGTGACTGCGGTTGGCCAACCCTCTCTGGCTTCTGGGTTCGGCGGGGTGTTCACCCTGGGGACCCCGATTTGGTTGGAGGCACAGGTATTGCAGTATCATGCATACTCGTGCTCGTATGGGTGCCGTCACCACTATCGTAACTTACCCTTCTTTGTCCCCCTTGTCTCTGCGCTTCATCGGAAGCGCATCCACATATTGTATGTATCCGGGCACTGTACGAGTAAGGTACCGTACTACAGGACGGCAGTACGCTTCCCGTTCCCGTTCCCGTTCCTGTTTTTTATTTCATCGCCGGGAGAGGGTGCCCGGATAGGAGCGTGCGAGTAACCTTCGTAGTGACAGGTATGATACCGGTATGCTGGTAACTGCGAACGTTGTAATATTCATACCGCCGGTCAGGGTTGCCACGACATTCCATCCGAATCTGGATATTGTTGTGGACAGTTCGCAATCAATCATCAAAATCACTATTTATTCCCTCCGCTTCCTAACGGGGCGTCTGCCATCCTTGAATTTTTCACTTCACCCCCTCCCCCTCTCCTGACTCTTTCTGGTTTGTCCCTCCCTGTTTGTCCTACGTGCCAAAACTGCTCGGCAGCGGGTCTTGTTGAAACTCTGTCCTATTTTCTAACCCTCCCGAGGATAGGATACCGGTATCATATCATACCGTGGCCTTACTTAAGGGTCGTCATCAACTCATCTTGAGTCACTTACCGTAGCCTCAAAAGATTAGCAGAGAGCGCCCACGGACACACCTCATATTTTCTCTTCTCCCCTATCCCTCGACAAAGCGGCCACGGTGCTGCACAAATTTCGACGGGACTCAAAGGACCCGAGACATCAAACCTTTATCTACCTATCGCTGCCCTCTTTTATCCTGCTCGAGTACAGAAATGACTTCTGTCACTACTATGAGCCAACAAAATCCTTGGGTAAGTTGGTTGCTTTTCTGTCTTGCGCAAATCCTGTCCCAATCATACCCTCGATCCACTCTCCCGGCTCCCTGCATCTGTTCCTGGTTGGTGATGGTAGATCGACCCCGCTCACAAATTTTTAGTTGGATAGCCATATATCCCAACAACCCCGCCTTGGCCCAGACCACGTCCGCCGTCGAAGGCTAAGTTCCGGTCATCGTCCTCCGGGATCTTTCAAACAACCGTGGCCAGAGCACACGATGGCTTCACCTAATACTCACGAAGATGGCAGGGATCGACCCTCTCCTCGCCGTAATCCTCACGCTCGTTCTTGCTCTTATAATACTGGTATTCCCAGAATGGACAGGGTCAAACTTCAGGGCCCTCCTCCTCCTCCTCCCTACTCGTCACACAAGTCTCGACGCCGGGCGAGTTCCATTCCTGGTCCGGATACTATCGATCGATTAGACAATGGAGTTTTTGGCCTCTATTATCATCATGAAGGACCTTACGACTCTACACTACTAGCTAGACAGAACGGACCTAGACCACCTGTCGAGGCCCTACGTGAGAGCAATGCTGCTGCATTGGCTGCTACTCCCATGGCCAACATAATCGATTCCTTGGAAAAACACAAACCTTTGCAAGGAACGGCTATGATGGCACCGGGAACAGAACTGCCCAATGGCGAATTTATTGGTGACTACGAAGAGTACGACATGATGCGTCAAGGGCATGGGGGTAACTACAGACGATACCCTGGCTTTGTAAGTTCTTTGCCTTATTTTCGTGGATCTATGCATGCTGATCTTGTGACAGAATTACCTCAAGGAAGACCTCAAGGGTAAGGGTGAGCCGGGATATACCCAAGACATCTTAGACAAGAAGCGGAAGGCCAAGGGCAAAATGCCTCAGTCGGAACCTCAAGGCGTATACCATCAGATGGTGCCTCAATCGACTTCCGGCAAGCCTGTTGGAGTTACCCGCGAGAGATCTAGCAGCGCCTTGCCTCTAACCACTTCCGACAATCCTGCCTCCCAGACAGATAGTGGGAACTTTGGGGGGAGCAAAAGCGGTGCTGGCCGGGGTGGCACCTCGAAGGGATCGCTGAGCTCAAGGTTAAAGAAGAAGTTCAGTTGGGTCCCAAAGAAGGGTTAGCCTTTTCTGGGGGTTTCGGTGTATCACTCGTTCGCCTCACAGCCTAGGATGCCATATCTCGGGTGGGTTGCAAGTGGTAATGGCCAAACTGCGCGCCTTCTCGTTCCGGGGGGCTGGGGTTGTGTCTGAGCTGAGTATTTCTTTTTCACGAGGACAACGGGTTTTTACATGGACTGCATGTACCCGTTTTTTCCTTACTTTCTTGGGTAGTGGGGTTTTGGATATTATGATGTCTTTCCACGAAGCCGGCGATACGTTGTTGTTCCCTCTCGACCCTGTCGCGTCGTTTTTGTTTCCTTCCCTGAGTGTATCATTTTGCATTTATCTTGCTCGGGTTGCGGGATTTTGGCTTTTTTCTTCCTTTATTTTTTGCTCTCTTTTGTGATGTGTGACTGTAACGGTATCACTTGGTTGTACAATAGATAGGTTTGTATTAGGGGTCGATTTTGAATCGGGGGCTTGTATACTCTTGGTTTGAATAATGTACTAGTATCACACATGCAGGTTTGATATAAATTTGGTTTTAATGGGTTATTGAGGTGGGGCGATGAGTTGCAGTAAGTGATTTAGTGCGACTGAGAATGTCAATTGATGTCTGCAATTGCGATAGCCATTGGTATCGCAAGATCTCTATGCCTCGACCGATTTATGGGTCTCCAAATATTACAACTGCCTCCTTCCCCCCTTTTAGAATACACATCGTGCAATGCAGCCTTTCCCATTCCCTCCTCTAACTTATACCTTATCACCCACCTCCTCCCCACCCCCAAGCGGTTTAGGCTTAACCTCTGTCCCCTCAGAAAAAAACTCGATACCCCCTTGTGCCGTGACAACCCCCCTCTTCAACACCTCCCCCTTCTCCCGTAAAATATCCTCCAACGACCTCGCTGTCTCGCCAAATATCTGCCTCTCCCACCGTGTTAAATTAATCCTTTGCGTGTGGAGCGGTGGAACAGGGGGCGTACCTTCAAGTGATCAGTAATAACATGCCGAGAACTACACCCTGGACAAGTAACCAGTACGCTGCCGGCGTGGTATGCTTGCTTGCTGATATGATGGGTGGAGCGGTGGGTGCAGGGGCGGCAGGTGAACGTTAGCTGGTAGGAGGGTTTGTCGGGCTGTGCGGGGGGTTGGGTGGAGTTGTAGCGGGGGAGGGGGAAATGGTTGGGCAGTGGTCGAAGGAGGGAGAGCGGTTGTTGGCGGAGGAGGGGTTGGCGGAGGAAGGTGCGGGCTAGAGGGCGGAGGCGGTTCATTTTGTGTTTTTGTTTTTGTGTTGGAGTATCATAGATTGAATGAGAGGTGGGTGCTGGTGGCGATGATGATGAAAGGTTTGGTGAGGTGGAAAAACCAAGATCACGTGAGTTGCGGTAGTGGGATATTTGATATCATAGTATTACCTGGATATTTTTTTTTAGGACTCTATCCCATCTCCCTCTTCCCCCCGCACAAACATATAACGAGCCGGACAACAATGTTCGGCCGAAACTTCCAAGCATCAGTCCCCCGCGCCCGGACCCTCATTCTCCAAAATCGCCAATTCTCAGTTTCCTCCATCAGAAATGAAGAAAGTGGCAACAATAATGATGATAAACCCAGTCCTTCTCCCCATCCTCCACAACCTCCTCCGCAATTCACTAACTCATAAACTTTGTGATAGAAACTCTGAAAATTCCTGTCGACATTTCTTCACTCCTACGCATTCGCCGCACAAGCACTGCGCCGCCGGCCGAGCGCCGCGTGACTGCCTCTGCCGAAGATCTGGGACTTGATTCTCCGGCTCCCCCGATGACAAGGAGTGGTGGCTTTTCCCAGTTGGAGCATCATGATGGGCAGCAGCAACACCAACAGAACATTACAGGTGGGTACTCTTCTAGGCCGCCGCCCCTACAGGGGCCGGCTTCCGATCGGGGTCCTAGGATCATCGCTCCGCAGGGGGGATTTTTTCGCACGGACATGGGAGGGGGTTTTGGTGGTGCTCAGCGGGGTGGTGGGTTCGGCATGAACCGTGGCGGCAGCAGCAGAGGTGGGTTTGGGATGGGTATGGGAGCTCGGGGGGGTAGAGGCGGTGTTGGTGCTTGGGGTGGTAGAGGCACAAGAGGTAGAGGTAGGGGTCGAGGCCGCGGCCGTGGGCGAAGAGGCGACGATGAAAACGCGCCGTCTTCTAGATTCGCCCGCATCAGGAAGTCTCTCCAACCGCCGCCGAAATTACCCGAGAGCGTATACTCTCCGGCTGACTTTTCTGAGATGGACTTGATGGAGTATATCCCTGCCACGCAATTGACCGTCACCGGCGGGGTTTCTAGCGAGTTGATGGATAGAGTTCCTATCACTGAGAATACCAGGGAGTGGTCGAAGACTAGGTGGCAGAAGTATCAGGACTGGCGGGAGAGGGTGGCGAAGGAGGTTGTCGCCGGGGAGTATGATGATCCCGCTGGCGATGTCGGGCCGTACGGGGAGGTGCGTAGGCTGATTACAGTTAATGGGTCATATACGGATAAGGCGAAGGGGAAACTGTTTACAGAGGTTAAAAGGAATGTGCCGATTGAGTTGATCCCTCCCCCGCCCGGGCAAGTGAAGGGGGAGATTTCGGCTGGGGAAGGGAATTGATTAGGGTGGATCGTAGTGCTATATTTGGGTAGGGTGGAGAGGGGAGCCTATATTTATCCAGATCAACAATCAATTGGGCGGAAAACCAAAAATTCATATTCGTATTTTTTTTCCATCACCCTTTCTTTTTAGACTATCGCAACCCCTTGTCTCCTTTATATAGACATGTTGGTCCTGGGATATCTCCAGCTGTGCCAACTCCACTGTTTAATTAATTTTCTAAAGCCCCCTTCTTACCATCATCGATCACTTTTTTCGCCTCAGCATTAATCTTCTTCATAACAAGCTCCAACTGCTTATCCGCCTTCCGAATATCATCCGGCCGCTCCTTCTTGAGCCCTTTAATCAGCTTATGCGAATCCTGCCTCGCCAACCTCAAATAATTCATCACCCTCTCCCCCGCCTTACCCACCATCCTAGCGATCTCCGACCTTGTCTCCTTCGTCGGCGGGGGCAACGGGACATTGATCAACTGCGTATTCTTCGGATCGGGCATGGGCTGAACGTTCAAATCCGCCTTCTGTATCGCTGCTATGACATACTTGACATTCTGCCCACCCATCTTCATTAGCACCTACCCACTCACCCATCCTGTGGTATAACTCACCGCGGCATCATAAACACTAACAACGAACGACCGTCCCTTGGGCAGCACGTGCGCGATGTCCCGCAGCGAAGCGCTGGCGCCAGTGGACCTGTCCAGCACGACCTGTATGTTTTCGAGGGTGGCGGGGTCGTTGCGCCCGCCGGCGCGCAACTTCGCGATGTCCGTTCTCAGCTTGTCGATGTGTGCGCTGCATTGCGCCTCTAGGGATTCGAAGTGCGCGGCGTAGTCGAAGGGGGAATCGCGTGTTTTCCCTTGCGCGCTGTTATCGTCGCCGTAGGGGTGCGCTTTTGAGGACTTTGCTGCGGCTTTCTTTTGCGGGTGGGCTGTTGTGGTGAAGGTTTTTGGGTGGGGGAGTGGGGTGAGAGGGCTGTTTGGGGGGGTGTCAATTGGGGTAGGAGGGAAAGTGGGGGAGGGGGGAGGTTACCGGAGGAATTGCGGAGGAATTGGACGGAGTAGGGAATGGGTCATAGAACGGGTGATTGGTGTGCGGAGCATTTTGATGTGATTTTCTTTAGGAGAGTGTTTTTGTGGGAAAGCTTAATGTGGGGTAATCGAAAAAAGGCTTGTCACCGGAAAAAGGTTTTCCCGCGGAGGAGGGTAACTAAGTTGTACGAGTAATTGAAGTGTGGATTTCGAAAAGCTTCTCGGAGCTTTCCTTTGCCTACTTTAACTTTCTCCACATTCCGCGAACATAATGCTAGCATGGCTTCACTAGCAATATCCCAAGCAACGCGTTGGCTATCCCCAGTTCTTGACAAGAGTTCGTGATCCTCCCAAATAACCTGCTTACTAACTAACCTTACCTTGCCTTACTTACCCACAGCTAAACCAAAACCCCTCGGTCAGTCCCTCCTCCAACAGCTTTCCCAGACGCTCCCGGCGCCACCACCACCATTATCTGAGGGCGAAAAGTCTGCGGCAGCGGCAGTTGTAACCCACGCTCTTACCCTCCTCGCGAACCTCAAATCCGAGGCGCGAGCCCGGATAAGCGGAGAACGGATTGGACCACAGTTGATCAGTCCTGCGGAGGTCAGGGTGGTGGTATGCCTACTGGACCTGGTCGTGCTGGAGGGGATATACCCGTCGCTGACCCGGGGCGTTGGTGTCCCGATCGAGCGGCGGACGAGGAGCGCTGCGCCGCCTGGGCTTGTAACGGGACGGGGGAGCACGAGGGTCGAGGAGGTACGGGATAGGATGGATGTGGAGTTATTGCGACTTGTCGTTGGGAGATTGCTGGGCCTGTTTGGCGGGGAGGATATTGTGGCAGAGGGGGATTTGGTACGGAGAGCGGGTGATCGGGTTTTGGTAGATGTGATTGCTGGGTGCGCCGAGTTGGCGTTCAACCCTGAAAACGGGGATACGGGGGAATGGAGTGAGAAGTTTCGGGTCTTGATTGACGGGTTTGTCACAATTTTAATATTCACGGATAAATCACTCGAATATTAACATCCTCTTAGAATACCAACACCACAATTGCTTCCACTCCTCCTCCAACTATTAACTCCCCAAACTCCCTCATTTTTTAGAGACCCCCTCGCGAAGACGCTCTCCCTCATCCCATTTAGACGCCCCAACGCCATCCGCCATATAATTGATCTATTTCTGTCGACCGACACTCCGGTCGATTCTCCGACCTCGGCGCGCTCAAATATGTCTATTGAAGCGCTGAGTAAAGCCTCGAAGATTATATGCGCGGTTCCCAGCTCAGTGAATGCAGGTGAGTACTTTTCTAGGGTCTGCGCTGAACTGCTAGAGTTATTGGATTCGGAGGATATGTTGATGGTGCGGGCGGCCGGATTCGTGATAGCGGATGTGCTGGGGAGGAAAGGGAGGGGGATTGAGGAGACGGTGGAGAGAGTGTTGGTCATACCATTGATATCAAGACTGGATCCGGGTGTTTCAGCTAGGGTTGTTGAGGAGGTTGCTCCCGAGAAGGCAGAGGTGAGGAAGGAAGAGATGAAATCTTCCTCAGTACTATTAGCCTTTGAAGACCCTCCCCCTCCTCTCGCTAAATCGGCGATATCGGGAGTTCCACCAGGAAGGCCTCTAGTCGCCGTAATGGAAGATGACACAGCCAAAGACCCCGACATCAAACCCCTAGTCTCGGAAACGGACCTGTCAAACGCCCTTCGCCACCTGGAAATCCTCCTATCCTCCCAGCCCTCTCCTGCACTGCCGCAAAGACTCGTATCCCCAATACTGCTCCCCCTCTGGGCACTAACTAATTTTGCAAAATCCACTGGAAGAAGCACGTGGTACGAGCGTACCATCTTACTGCTGAGAACCTACATAAAGACATCCCCCGATGAGTCTGCCCTTCAGAAGATTCAAGGGCGGATACTATATTCTGGCGGGGAAGCATGGGAATTTGGACCCGGGAGTGAAGGTGGAATCGAGATTCGGTTTCGAGTTGGGGGAGCTGCAGGGTTCGATCTTAGTAAGGCCGATGCTAGGGTTCAGGAATTCTTGGGGCTGCTGGAGGACGATGGTGTTAGCGGTGGTGTCTTTAACGACTTCTTCCTGAGGATCTTAAGGGTTTGGCTTGGTCGACGGAACAGCGAGGTTGAGGATCCCGTAGAGATGTTTACTACGCTCAAGATCTTGCAGGAGGTGCTGGGCAGGTATGAGGAAATGCTTGCTAAGAATCCCACGCAGATATTGCAAATTGTCAAGGGGGTATTGGATGAGCATATGGAGTATCTTGAGGGCTTAAATACTTCAGCTGAAGCCGTCATCACACCAAGTTTGGACGGCCTGGGGAAGATTATCTCCAACTCGCCTCCACCATACCTAAAAGCGGATGGTGGGGGAGAAGAGCTAGGCGAAGAGAATGAACGCACCCAAACCTTAACAATGGCCCTCTCTCTCCTAAGTGTGATAATCTCCAACCCAACCACTAAACTAACACACTTGGACGAGCGTTTAATCCAAATCCTCCAGCCAGCACTCGCTCACATCACCGCTTCAAAGTTCACAAACCCGGACATCAAAACACTAATGCTGAACATAACGTCCTTGCTGACTCTCCACTCCCCCTCCACCAACTCCCCCTCCTCCCCAACCACCCTCCTCACCCGCCAAAAAGAAACCTACTTACTCGCCCTCTCTTACCTCCGCGACCCACTAATCCCCGTACGCGCCCACGGCCTACACCTCCTCCGAGAGCTAATCCTATCCTCATCCCCAGTAATAAACATCCAAACTACCCTCTCACAACTAATCAGCCAACTAAAAGACGACGACAGCTTCGTATACCTAAACACAATAAAGTGCCTATCAGCCCTGACAGACAGGCATTCCGGAAGCGTGACAAGAATGCTAGTAGAAGCATACCTGGACAACGAAGAAGAAGGACAAGGGAAATTAAGCCTGGACCAACGCCTCCGACTAGGAGAAGCCCTCCTAGCAACAGTACAGCGCCTGGGCGGGGCACTAGTCGGCGAGACGGCAAGGCTACTCAGCGAAGCAATGATAAGCACCGCCTCCAGCCGTCGCCGTCGCCACCACAAACACACACCTCCACACGATCCGCCCAAAGACGAAGAAGGAGAGAATCCAGTAGCAGCAGCAGAGGACGAACGAATACGCACAAGCGCACTATCAATCCTCGGCGCAGCCATAGAAACAAACCCGACCGGTCTCGGTTCGGGCATCATCTCGAACGCTCTGGACGTGTGCGTTTCCATACTCACGCTGGAGACCGCGGCGGAGGGCGCCACCCTTCGGCGCGCGGCTGTGGTTTGTATTTCTGGGGTTTTGAAAGCTCTTGTCGGTGGTGGCGGCGGCGGCGGCAGCGTGGAGGAGGCTGGGGTGGGGTGGAGAGAGGGGGTCTGGGAGGTTGTCAGGGAGCGGGTTTCGGTGATTCGGAGGGTCGTGGGCTATTTGGGGGTCACGGATGGGGACGGGTTGGTGAGGGAGCAGGCGAGGGTTGTCATGGAGAACTTGGAGGCCGTTGTTTGGGTTTGGGTTGGGAGGGGGGGGACGAGCGTGGCTGTCGGTGGTGGTATGTTGGGGAATTTGGAGGGCGTGGTCGGTGTCTGAATTTTTACACCCCTGGGCCAAATGTAAAAAAAAAAAAAAAAAAATTGATCACATCTCGGGAAAACACGACGTCAGTTACCAAAAACCTATCTAGAAATCTTTTTCGTCACCTGACATACATAGAAAAAAATTAAGTTAGGAATGAGGTAGAACTTGCTCTATATTATCAGAAGGTGTCAGGCTGTTTATTTTTTTCATCACCAAATTCGACAACATTACCACCGCAGTATGTTACCAGATGGTATGATAGTATTCAACAAAAAATATAAGGTGACGTTGACCCAGCAGTGTATGTACAGCGGTGAGGAATTGCTTTGTTTCGGGAAAAAAGGGAACCGTGGGGGGGTGTCATGGGAATTGAGAATGTTGTGATGGGAACTTCTACTATAAAGTGAATAGTGTTCGGTCAGTGACAAGTATTATTACGGGTTGAATTGTATAGCTATGTGTATTAGCCGTCCGAAATGTTTGTAGAGGAACTATGATAAAAGCAAAGCTAGCCCATATGAAATCTTTGAAGAGAAGAAAAAGAAAAGAGGTAGGGACATGAAAGAAAGAAAAAAAAAAGCAAAACCCCTGTAACCCGATTCCTGCTCCACAAATCATTTCCTCCTCTGCTCCATGTCACATTATGTACAGTACTACCCATCAATGGGCAAAAGCAATGGGCAAAAGCTAGCAAAGACATCACTCCCTACAAGAAATCACAAAACACCAAGTCACCCGATTAGAAACTCAAATCCATGCGAGCAAGAAGAGAAGTAAAGAAGAAACATGCAAAGAAATTCCAACTCTTCTCACACCCCACTCGTTTTCTCATATCGCTCATCACACAGATTGTCTTCGATGCTCTCGTTAGCTTTACCTTTCTTTAGCCTCTTTCTCACACTTCTTTCTCCTCCATCGCTTTAATTCATATTCGGTATCTTAATCTTCATCCCAACCGCCACCATACCCTCAAGTACTTGGAGTTTAACCTTCCACTTCCTCTCCACACATCCCACTACCTCCTCCTCCTCCTCCTCCTCCTGCAGCCCATTGAACGCCTCGTCTGTCTCTCGTGCAACGGCAACCCATTTCTCAACCTTGACCATCTTCCTCTTGATTATGACTACCTTTTTTGTCTCATGTTGCATTGTGGCGTTCCTCTGGTTGCCCAGTCTTTCCACCCACGCTCGCCTTTTCTCTGCCTCCCTCTCCGCCACCCGGTCAGCTGCATAGAACCTATCAACCACACCTGCATGTTCAATTCCGTAATCCCTCATCCGGGCATTGACCCCCTCCAGACCTCCAGCTCCATGCACACCCGTGACTACCGCGCACGCCCAGATAATTTCCTGCCAGGTTTTGACACTGGCAGAATAAGAATAGGTCCATAGCCAATCATACGTACTTATAATTTTTTTGATGTCTGACCAGATGGTCACTTTCTCACTGCCGGCATACTCATGCTTCCTATCCATCTTCACCCTCAAACTCCTACCACCAGTAGCAGAGGTAGGTAGAAAGGAGATAAGTGAGCGTAGTCTCGAGTACTGAGATAGTGGTGAGAAGTGTGCTAATGCGGCACTCAGCTTCGCTATTTCAGCTTTGATGGCTTGAGCGAAAGCTCGGTGGGAGTCTACGATGTGTAGTGCATCGTGGGCCATTCCATTTGGGCAGGAAGCTGATGATGAGCCTCCAACAGCTGTGGCGGTGCGAGAGCGAATGGCATTCCTACGAATATTGGCTTCACAAATAGGTTGATCCCCCGGGATTCGTGAGTTCGACCTGCGCAATGTGTTGTTTGTGTCTATTAGCTTGGTGAGGCTGTCGTATATGTATGTTGTTGTTGTGAGAAGGAGCCTTATGACGTCTTCAGGCGGTGGGTGTAAAAGTGATAGTTGTGGTGATATTGGTGTCGTCGCTGCCGTTGTTGTAGGGCCAGAAGAGGAACAGCAGGTGGTGGCAGGGGACGAAGTAGTTGGCGACGAAGTCGTCACACCAAATTGCGGTGATACATCCAGGCTTGTATGTGAGTTGTTGCGGGAAGCTATCGTAATCGAGGGTGTTCTGATAGCACTAGTAATAGCGTCGCTAGATACACTTGGGGTGGTATGAGGATAGAAGCTTGAGGCAGTACGACGAAGAGGTTTAGAGGATGGGTGGTTTCTGAAGGACGCCGGAGATGATGATGATGAGGAGCCCTCAGAACCTGAAAGTGAGGGTTTAACCGCCATTTTTCAATGGTATTTTTTTCTAAATTTTTTGCTTTCCAATTTTGTGTGAGAAGTATTGGTGGGCGGTTGTAGGAGGAACGAAGAAGTGGCCAGAAATTTAACCCTTCCAATTCGTTTTCATGTTTCTAGGTAAACGGGGGGTTTTCAAGAGGAGAGAAGAAGGTAAAGCCGCTTGTCGGGTATTGATGCTATTGTACATATAGGTGGGCTCCCGTTGAAGCTAATTTGACCGAGCCATGAGCAGAGAGAACAGCAAATAGAAAACAGAAAAAGGTACTAGAAGCCGTTGGAAAATGGAAAATCCAAACACAAGAGAGCCTAGGGTTAGGAGAAAAAAAAATAAAGCAAATAATCACAACCCGATTCAAAGACTCTAAGAGGTTGTTCCAGCATCCCCCCCTTCTGGATTTTTCTCGGTTGCCGGAGGTGTCGTTTTGGTATCCGGTGTTGGGGTATCAAGTTGCATCATCTCCGATGACTCGGTTGCTATGGGCCCCTTTGGGGGCTCCGGTTCCTTTGTATCAAGGTCCATATCTTTTTTGTTCTCTGGCTGCTGCTTCCCCCCATCGATCTCCACTTGAGCCTCGCCCCCTTCTGCTACTTTCTCCATTTCATCCTTCGCCTTCGCCTCCCTTACCTCACCCTCACCATCTTTAACCCCCTCCTTCCCGGCACTTTCAACTGCATCCCCCATCCCCTCCTCCTTCCCTCCCATGGACGCATGTCTAGGGCTCCTCGCCTCTTCAATTGTCGCCGGCGGATCTGGAAACACCGTCCCCTCCGGCTGCGGGCCCACATCCTCCGGACCCAACGCAGGAGGGCCCTCAGCATGCATACCTGCTTCAGGGGGACTAGAAACCTGAGCCGCGGGAACAATATTCAATTCTTGTTCCTGTCTCAACAGCTCTCCCTGGCTAACCCCATTAACCCCTTCAGTACCCTCAGTGAGTGGTGATTCCGCCAACCACGGGATAGGGCTCAACAGCGCGCCTCCGAGACTCTCGTCACTACCGAGGTTAAAGGACGCGGCGCCATTAGGCATACTCTCCACTACGCTCGGCGGAAGCGGGAACGCAGTAGTTGGCGAGGAAACGGATAGAACGCGTTGGATTGCACGAAGGTATTTCGACAGGGACTTGTAATGGGCGTTTGGATAGCGTATTAGTTCTGAGAGACGCTGGATGGTGTATGGTGGTGCCGCATCGAATTGAGTTGTGAGGATGTTAGATAGGGAAGCTAGTAGTATCTCATCCTCCGAATCTAAAGCTTCAGGTAGAGGGGGTGTAGCCTCCTTCACAAGGGGTGCTGGAGGGGGGGACGGGAACGCAGGGACAATAGGTGGAGGCGGCATCTTTGGGGAAGATGGTGACAAAGCCTGATCTTGACTGAAGGTTGGGGGAGTATTCCCAGTGGTTACCTGTGTATCTGGCTCCGTGATGGTAGAAGCTTCTGCCGGAATGGTTGGGATAGTGTTGACTTGTGAGGGCGAGGCAGAGACAATGTCGATCTCATCGGGAACGGTGGGGGCTTGAGGCTTTGGGAAGGAATTGCGAGCAATCTTGTATCTAAAGTTAGTATAACATTCCCTAGCAAACATCACAGCGAACACGATGGTGAATTCTCCTAATGAGGAAAGACAAAAAGAAGGAAAGAAGACGAACGTAGTCAAGTCTCTCAATCAACTTCTTCAACAACTCGGGCCATTTCTCGCTGCGAAGTCGAAACAACGGTTAGCAAACTCTCGGAAAACCTATGATCGGAAATGAGAAGAGAAGAGAAGAGAAACTCACACATTAACAGAACCATCCTTAATGATATCATCAAGTACCGTTTCGTCTAAACCACAGCCTCCCGGAATGAATGTCAGCCGCACTATGCTCGAGTACACACACACACGGATCACTTGCAGTAAAATCTGTAGAGAAAGGGGGGGAAAAGGAAGGGAGGGAGGGAGGAAAGCAATCAAAACATACCAGCTCTCATTTTGACAGTCAAACTGAAAAGTGTTGGTATACCTTGGAGGAAAAAGAAAAAGGTTTGGATGGATGGATGACCAAGAACAGTGAATCGGGGGAAATATACGAGTACGAATAGCTAATAAAGCCAAGAAAAGACTGTGCGGGTTTGATATGATAGGACAACCACGCAAAAAGAGCGTGACTTGACCGCACGCAAGGGCTTACTTACTTACTTGCAACAGAAAAATCGGTGAGCCTCCGGGTAAGTTAAGTTAGATCAAGCACGATGGGAAAAGGGGAACCGGGGGGGTGTGGCGAGAGGATATAACAAAGACTTTGTTTATGATAAGAAAGAAAGCTTGGTGAATCCCTGCCACTTGACTTTACGGTACTCTACTGTACCCTTCAATGCCAGTAACAAAATCACGCCCTCCTATGATACCTACCTTCCCATCACTGCACCGCCAGAACCTTCAATTTCTGAAAAACAAAACAGAGCCCCGGCGCGAGCAGAATAACCGTACTCGAGTTATGATACTGACATGCAGGCGCCACCGACAAAAGCCAGCTTAGGGGGTACCTAAACCGCCCACCACACTTGTACGAGTAGACTTACCATACCACCGGCTTGAACCCGGGCATTACTCCGACCCAGCCCAGCCCTCTTCCAAACCCGCTCTCTCTCGCGACGTTTTTTTTTGCATTATCTTACTATTGCATGCCACCAAATCTGCCCTTTTCTTTCTTTTTTTTTTTTTAAAAAAAAAAAGAGGCACGCATCGTAGGCCTAGATCTATCACCCACCCAACCCCACCCTTGGTCCAGCGCCGCAACTCGCACCGGTGCCGTGGCCAACTCCCTCGTAGCTAGTATCATATCCGTCCTTCTTTTTCTCGTGCGTCTTGTGTGACGGCGGGTAAGTCGTTGACGGATTCGATTTCCCTCGATGCGTGGGGCGCAGCACCAGGTCCCGCTTTATGGGGGGAGGGGTATCATAACTGCAGGATATCGATGGAGTCAGAAAGATAAAGGTGTATCGCGCGACATAAGCCATCACTCGTTGTCAGGCTGTCAGCTCGAGTCAGGGATTAGATGCGGGCGTGTGCTGCGGGGCAAGGAAAGGTGTGGGGTGTGGGCCCGATAATCGTGATGGGGTGACGTTTGTGAATACGACTGCTATTGCATACGGCTCGGATTGGAGCACAAGGGCCGAGTGTTTGGTGGTATGCAATAGCGGTCGTTTTCACAAACGTCAACCTGCTAAGAGTTGACTGGGAATGTTGGGTGGGGGTGGGGGGGCGAATCAATCAATGGATGAAGGGATGCATATATCATATCCATAGATGAAATCTGGGGTGCCACTACACCGGACGTTAATTTAGTTATTTTGTGGGGTGCTTGGGTCCCGATCATGTTGGGGTCGTGGGCGCACGGCGGCATGTGAGTCGCTTTGAGGGGGATAAAGAGAATATTACAAAACAAGGAAAGGTCTCTCTGGTGGGGAAGGGAACAGGGTTGACTCAGAAATCTTATTCGAACCTGACTAGACTAAATAAACGGATCACTATACGTTGTGGAACCGATACTCCGTCCCCTAAACCCGTCACTGGATTATCATACAGATACGTGACTCTGACTTTAATGAATAAAAAAAAAAAAAAGAGTTTAAGTTAAGGTAGTAAGAAACACATGGTCGAAGTGGAGGGAAAGCGAAAAAGGATATTGCACAAACACCACACACCCACACCCAGTCGAACACACTTGAAAGTGAAACAGAGCAGGAGAAATAAGAGAGAAAAAAACAAAATAACAAAAGGGAGGAGGCAACAAACGGGGGGTAGGGCTGTTTGCTGCTCCCCTTCCGAGTTTGTTCCCTCGACTACTATGATACCAATACCGGTACCGGTACCAAATTGAAAACAAGTGGAACGGAGCAAGAATAAGATGGGAAAAAAGCGCTGACACCAAACGTTCAATAAGGGAGAAAACACCGCCGGAACCGATAGTCCAGAACGAATCTCGCACAATATCTTAATTCACCGGCTCTCGTAAATTCATTTCTTGCCAGTAAGTTCTCTGACTTTCTCCTTAAATCCGTGAATCTTATTGCGGGCGATATGCCCATCGCGGGAATTGGGCGTGGCGTAAATCTGGTTGTGAACTGTTAGCAGCGGCTTCTTCGGGAGGTATGGATGACCTCGGTGAAGGAGGCGGTTAAACATACCGAGCCCTCGACTTTCTGGAATCTTGAAGGGGGGGTCTTGGAGGCGTCCCATTCCTTACTCCTATCATGAAATCAGTACGAGGTATGCAGCGAGGAGGGGCAGGAGAAGGAAGGGGAAGTGGAGATATCATACATTCTGCGATCCCTCTTCGACAAGGGCACGGAGTCGACAACGTCGCTTCCATCACTCCCTCGACGACCCACAGGGGTTTCAGGATACGCCCCTGGTGTAGCGGTGTCTTTGGTGGTGTGAGAGGTGTGGGTAGAGGTCATATCGAAAGGTGAGCCTGAGGTAGCAGTCATGGTTTAGGGGTTCTTCGAGTGATAGGAGGTGCTTTGGCTTGGAGTATGAATGGATGTGAGATACCGACCGGTATTAATCAGAGGATGCTTTTGGAAAGCTGTGATTAATCCTTTTCCAACCGGGGATTCCGAACCATTTTATACTCGACCTAAACCTTCTCTTTGTGCGCACAAGCACTTGAGCACGGTACTCGTGGTGTAGGCCCCCGTTTCGCCCCCCGTCGTCATTGGGTAAAGATTAACCTTCTACCGGTATTCGCAACACACACCAAGCTCCATTCCTTCCTCTCCACAAAGCCTATCAACGCCTATCATACCTTCTCAGAGGGACGAGCCCAAGTGGCACCCAATGACGTACGCTCCACGGAGAGGATCGACGTGAATTTTGCCGTATTGGGAACATCGACACAGCCCACCAATGCGGGGGGGGGCCTTGCCTTTTTAGTCGAAGACGCGCGGTAAAAGCAAACATGGCCGGTTGCCAAGTCTACAGACATACAGCCCTGGGATTGACACCTGAATTCATCTCTAAGGACCCAAAACCCACCCAAAAGAAATGTATCGACACTCCACCGCAGCAGCTATTTCCAGATATCAATCCTTTATATTGATCGGGGATCAATCCTGGGGGTTGACTCCTCAAAGTGCCCGTGTCCCGGTTGAGTACGGTAGATGGAGGAAATATTTGCATGGGAGGTACAAGTATGATATGATAATTTCGAGGTTGGTGAGTCTACTTGTAGGTTCCGCTGGTGTTGGGCTGGTAAGGCAATGGCGGGTCCTGTTTGGGCCTGGCCTCAAACCTGATTTGGATTATTGCTATGATAATATTACCGTATGTAAGTTGTCGAAATTTTGAAGTAGAAAAGCCCAGTCCGCTTTCCAATGCAGACACCTTGACACCAAAAAGTCCTCGACTGGATCGGTCCCTTTCGTCGATGGTGCAGTAAAACGCTTTCGAATTCAAGCACTGCCGTAGCATTGCCAACCTCTGGGTGCCAAAAGGATAAATGCCGTGATGCCGTATGTAAAACAACTCAGAAATCCCTCCTCAAAGAATTGTTTCCCAGGTCACGTTCAGGATAAGATCTCCCATCTTTTGTTTGAAATCCGGGAACAAAAGACGAAGGGATTTGCTTTCTACGAGCACAATGTACGAGTAATTTACCGGTAGACTTGCATCTTGGTGTCTTACTTTCCCCGCATCCATCGAGCCCTGCGATGCACGGACACTCAACGATTCGCGATGGCTGATCTCTTTATTTTCCATGCTTTGCCGAGTTCTTGGCTTTTTCAATTCCTTGGCAGGTCCCCTGTCTTCCTGAGTGATTATTCAGACGGATACCGGCATCGAGGCCTATCTAATGTCCATCATGGGAAGGAAAATTGTTCCCCCGTGAAATACTTGTAGACTATCTGCTCGAGTGCCGGCATCAACTGATCCACAACAGCGATCAAAGGGGTATGGGTGTGTTGATCAGATGGAATCGGGTTCTGCTGGAATCCCTTTTGCCCCACTGATCGATTTCTACAATCGGGTCGGGCCTCTGACCGATCAACGGTGGGGCTCCGGGTGGAACCGCGACCGGCACTATCATATGGTATCCTACGGTACCTACGATATCATACTCCAGACGCAGGAAGGACTCGCTCAAGGCAGCTCTACCCAACGCCTTTGAGGTCTCTGGCAAATATTTCCTGACCCTACGAAATTTTAAACTGGGATCCTCTACCCTACGATACTCGAGCAGTGGTCTGTGGGCTCGGGAATGTAAGATGGGTAATTTATGATGACACTTCGATTGGGGGGGGATTCCTATCAAAGGAGCTCGTTTCTTGGGGGAGGTGTCGCTTACGGTTACGGTAACGTTCGGAAGTGCAAAGCGCACTTGTGAACATGGTCACCCTTTCACTCCTGGGGCTGTACTGTACAGTACTCGAATAATACCATGGCCAATCAAGGGCCCAGTTGATGAAACTCGGAGGAACTACTCGAGTAGAATATCCTCTCGACCTTCTAGGGGTACTCAAGCAGAGGAAAGCACACGAGCACTCGTAATTGAGGGATATTTGTGGACGCGACCACCATTGTGCGGCACCAAGATCTGGGAATAAAGAGCCGAATTTCGGAGGCAGGCAATACCGGTAGCCAGTCATGCTCAGAAACCTCGTTCAATCATGAGTACCGCGACCTAATCTAAGCGGTGTAACTTCACGGCTCAGCTCGGTACGCTACCGGTATCCTAGGACATCGGAAGAATCTTTGCGCAACACCAAAGATAGCAGGATATCCGCCTGCAATGAACTGCCTTCAGTCCCATCGCATCACACAGGTACGTGGAAGTACTTGTGCAGTACAGCTTACGGGAAATTACAAGCCCATGCTGGGGGTACTGTACAGCTAGTGGGGCATGGATAACTCCTCGAAACCATAACTTTCGGGTAGGGCTGGATATTGAGCTCCAATTTTAATCAAGAGAGAATATCAGGATTAGAGGACCCAGCATCGCGGGTCACCGCGAACAAGCCTTCGCCATGCCTACCAACGGAATTCCTTCCGGATCGCCCGAACACATCTGTCCGTTCCACAAAACCAGTTTGGTTCAAAGAGTGATTTTTTTCGATCCGGTTTAGATTTAGAATAACTTGAGCTATGATATTGCACAGGAAAAGCAGCATGAGAGAATTAAAGGTCTTCGAGTTTGTAGACTTCGTACGCAGGTTCTTCGTACGGGTGTGCCCTATGTCATATGAGCATATATCAGACAAGACTGGATGGGCACGGCTGATCCGATCGCTTCAACAACATGAGGTTGCGCAATCCAACTGCGAAGGGAATCTAGTCGGGATAGAAAAGAAGAAAAAAAACCAACCTTTTCAACGCCCCCACCGCCTTCACAGCCGTTTCCCGATCAGTACAAAGGATTTCACATCTCACCTCCTCCACCCTCTCTAAATGGAAAGCGCTCCCATCAGCTAAAAGCTCCCCAATAGCCGGGTTGGCACCGGCGCCCTTCACTGGCAGGAATTGGCCAGTGCCCGTTGTCTCCCAGCAGGTCTGTTTGTACTTTCCTCCGGGGAACTCGCCCGCACCTGTCTTGAAGACTGCTGTCTTAACGGCCTCTAGGTCCCTCGGTGGGACGTAGAATATTAACTTGTAACATGCTGAGGCTGTGCTGGACATTTTGTCGCTCGTATGGGTCGGCACTGCGGATAAGCGTTGTCTTGGTTGCTTGGTGGGGGAAAAGGTTTGTATGGAGGTTACCCGGGGAAGAGGCTTTGGACCGGATACCGGTATTTGAATGAGGTATGTATACGAGTACGCTTTTGCCGAGTTTATCCTGGCCCCACCACTTATAAGACTGCGGTGTGACATTTGCTTGGAGATCATGGGGTCTCGTTTCGGCTCGTCGCGATGAGAGATGGGTGAAGAAGAGTCCAAGCCCTTTTTGGCACGCAAAACTTTGACAAGTGAGGGCGATAAAGGTACGAGTAGATGCCGGTATATCCGTCACGTGAAGCATGGCAGGGGAGGTTTGGTGAACCATTCGGGTCACTTGTGCTCGGGCATGGTCATAAAGGAGGGAAAAGCTGTGGTGGAAAAGCAGGGATTATGTTGATCAATCAATAAACATTCTAAAAGTCAGGCCAGTTGCATTGCTACTTACTTTCCTCTGGAGACAAGAATTGGAGATTCTAAAGAGCTAAATTACTCAGGGCCACAAGAAATCCCTATAGGACCAGTCTGTACAGTACAGTACCGTGCTTGACCCAATTTCATGATTCTTACCTCACACTACCGCACCTGAGCACCTCCTCCTGTTTGTAAGATGAAATCCGCATGGCATCCACTCTGGGCTGCTCGTGTCGGCCAGGCCTTTTTTTCTTTCCTTCCGCCCTTTATGACCATGCCCGAGTATAATAATACAAGTACGAGTAAGGTTTGTACGATTTGGGGCCCTCCCCCATTTCGCACCAAAAATGGATGATCTTAAGTTCTCACAACTCCCCTGAAAGCAATGCCGGTGTGATGTTGAATCAACGAAATCAATTTCATAACCTAGGTACCGGTAATTGGCCAGACGCTGAGATTTCTCCCACTCCGCCATGATGGCTGAGCGGACTATTGTTATTTCCGGTATCGCACCATGGACATCTTACTAGCGGAGCTTATCACTTATGGGTGGTGGTATCTAGAGTAGAGTAGATGGCCCCTAAAGGCAAAACACCATTGTTCTCCTCTTCTCATGACATCATATCATACTGTATCCGTACCTTGCAAAAGTTCTGCAAGTCCGTGTAAGTGCAAGCTGACCCAGCCTCAGGCGAAAAACCCTGTACCCTCGAGCCTTGAACGATAAATTTACCATGAGTCCGCGCCCAAGATCGATCCCCCACCTAGATCATGCCGGACACGCGTCGGCTAGCTATCATAGCTATATTCCAGCAGATGCGGAAGTTGGGGGGGGGGAGAAACTTGAACACGTCTCGATGTGCAGAACTAGTGGGGGTCTTAGATTTCAAAATGTATTTATTATCATAGTTATGCCTCATTTTGATTGGGGTAGGAAAGGCGTTCGCTGGGGCTGGGGCTGGCTGTAGTAAATTTAATTGTTTTTTTGTTTTTTTTACATCAGCTCGGTGAAATAATGATATTGCACCTGGCTTTTGCACAATATATTTTCCTACCTCTTGCTCCCGAACCAGAATCTAAAGGGGTTTTTCCTTTTTTTTTTTCCCTTTCTCGTGGCTGCAGTAATTCCTTCATCACAGGTCCAAGCTGAATACCAAAAAGGTGAAACGTTATCGACTATGATACCGGTAACTTTCATAGAGTCTATGGCGCCGGTCCCCCTTAGGGTGGACAAGGAAGGTTTGGAAGCCGATTCTTGATTGGATGTAGTATCGTAGGCATTGGAAGGGACCACACACTTTTTTTGATGCTGATTTGTGACGCTTCTGCCATAAACTCCCGTGCACGATGGGTGAATTATACGCCAGCAGTGGAGGACGCGATGGTAGGTCTCATACATAATGGGTATCAGTAGAACTCGCTCGGCAAAAAGCGAAAAACATGACCAATCCCAGGCCACCTAGATAGCTAAACCTGAACAAGAGATTTCCCAGTGCTTAATTTGAGGAAAAAAACTTTTGGCGGGAGAGAGCTAGCTATCATAGCTGGTTGCAGCCGGATTCCACCACATCAGGGCTTGTGTCGTGGATCCTTCGCTTGCTTGGTTGCTCGCGTCAGTGCTTGATCTTTTTGATAATCTAATCTTCCTCCCCGCCTCAGACCCCATGCCACCTCCGACGTGCCAGTGGCCATCACAATTTAGGCCTTTCGAATCCTGCATCGGTGGGGAAATGGTCTCCTTCTCGGTTTTTTCCCAATGGCAGATCCTAAAGATATATACATACACAAAAGGAGTATCACATACTCTCACTCGATAAATTTCTCAGCCACAGGTTGATATGTTACCAAACGTTATGATATTGTCCATGTTTACGAGTACCATTGCCATAAACTCCTCCCGATCCAAACATCGGTTGTATGATTCGTGTCATAGATATGGAATCGTGGTGAAAATTCTAACACATGCTGTTCTGTGTAGGGGAAACTATCCGGCGAGCAGCTGTCCATTGCTGTGACCGCCAGCCTATCGAAACGGCAAATGGGCACTAATTCTTGGAGCGGAGACATGAGTGCTGCATTAACTCGTAAAACCGAGCACCTTCGGGCAGCGTTCTAATCTCTGCACCAAGACTGCTTCCAGCCATCATTCTAACCACGCCGGAAACTTCGAGTGCGGCAACAACATCACTGAATCTAGTAGATGGCAATGGATGCAATAGTGGTTCCTTCTCGTGTAAGGATGTATAGACATCAAACGATTTCCTGATAGCGACACTACTGTTGAACCTTTTCCGGTTGTAGCGAGACAACAGAGGACGGCCTTTTGTTGTAGGCTGGGTATTGTATGATAGCATGGGTGATAGAAGATCTACCGGATGACGTCAATTTATCATAATCGCAAAAACTAGCAGGGGACTTCCGCAGAAATTGCTTGGAAAAGCACTGCTCTTACAACTGATCCTCGTTCCCCCCAATTGCAAAACTTCCAGAAATACCAACCCATCGTCAAACCCCGACTCTCTACTCCTCTTTTACTCTGGTGAATAACTATTCACTTGATAAACGGTGCCAGGCCTATCCAATCAGCATGATAAAGTTACCGTGTAAGCTGAAGAGCTTGGACCTAGGAGATGGGAGGATGGGCACCCAGCGGTAGTTGAGAATGACGAGATCCGACAAGAGTACAATTTTTTGAACAAACGATTTGTTATAAAATGCTCTACTATAGCAACCCACGAGGCCCTTTCACAGTTTTTTTCCACCTCGGGTTGTTTCTTCTCTAACTCAGCAGTTTGGAGGTGAACAAACAATGGATTTAGTCAGGGTTGGCTGGAATGAGTATGTTATCAAATTATTCTTTTTCTTAACAGAGCTAATACTTAAGCCAAGGTTGTGACATGTCGTCACAACTCCCGCTGCTTGTTTTCTTGTGAATGGGGGCACTCATACTGAGTGCCCAACCATTCAACCTGAGTGGACAGTTCAACATGAGCTTGTGGCTCAGTATAGGAAAGTTGAATCCTGACTTACAACTGAGTTACTCAGACACGGTCTGTTGCAGTCTAAGCACTAAGATAAGTAAGTTATATATGTTTATCAATATCATAATGTACCTAGTACATCATTATCCATAGCATCTCAGCTATTCACTTCTTTAGGAGTACTTGGTTGATGACCGTTTATTAGAAGTTTTATCAAGTGAAGGTTCCCGACCACAAGCTGGAAGTGAGCGACAGGCTGGAGGTAGGCCATGGCGGGCTAGGTGACAATGCGGAGAATGGGATGGGCATAAGCGATGAACAGATGGTGGTGGATAGTATTGATGGAACTACGATTTCATGACCTATCTGCAAAGCTCTGGGACCTGAATCGCCAAGGAAAGCTAAAGGAACCCTTAGTTGGCGATCTCCAAGGGACTGTGCAAATTTATAAGGCTAGTCAAGACAGTAAGGATAATACGGAATTCTTTAAAGCCACTCTGCTACCAAGATCTACAAGCAAGGAAAATGGACCTAAAGAATTTGGGATAGCATTGGAGGATCTCTTGGGGAGTAGTGTTCCGGAGGGCCATGACCCTAGAGATGAGATCATGTTTAATTTGGAAGCACTTGCATAATTTGTTACAATATCGATGCTAGCAACAGAAAAGCGTAGAAGCAGTGACCGTGCTGTGAAACTTCTGAAAGCAGCTGGGGTGTGAGAAGAGAGAGAAACCTGGGCACAAGGAAAAAGAAGGAGATTAAATCCGGAGTGGGAATATGGAAAGCGGGTAAAGTGGGAAAGCAGGTAGAGCGGGCGTGTGGTGGAGATAAAACTGCAGAGGTGTTTGTGTTTTTCTTCTTTTTCTATTTATTATTATAGGGATGTGATTGCGTTTTTAGGGATGGGCGAGGAGGAATGAGATGCGGAAAAACAGTATCAAAAGCTTGTATCTATACCAACCTTGCACAGCTCAAAGGTCTTAGTGCTTGGAAATGGCTGCGGCCCTTGGTGCCAGAGACGAATCCCGATTTTGTCGACCCCATAACACTCTCCTCAATTACCTATTCCCCATTGAACACAATGTTATCGTCGCTCTGCGATACAAGAATCCCCGGCAATCCTGATCCGTTGATTCTGCCATGATTTTTATTGTTAATCCTCGTGAGTACGCAGTTGTTTTTATGGTAATAAAGGCTGCGAGCCATATCCACCAGATCTCTACTCGGGAGGATGCTGACAAGCGAATGCGTGAAAGAATCAACACTATTTTTGATAGTGTCAAAGTAGGGATACGTCACGGGATCAGCGCCCTGGGAAACAGTCATTATGCGCAGACGACATAACGGGGAAGTGGGGATATCGAGCCCGGAGGAGTTGCTGAACATCCACTCCGGGTTACAGATACTGGTCCTATGGAGTGTTGGAATATCAACCTTCTCGGTCCGGAAGGAAATGCATACGTGAGATGGTATCTCACATCAAGGAAATGTATCATACCCAGAGCGATTTCCAGGTTGATTGGCCACATGGTTCAAAAGTTGAAACAGTCTTACTGGTGTTTTTTAGAAGATTCCACGAGCGAGCAAGGTGTCCAATTTGCTAGGCACGGGCGTGGTGGCCTGTATATAGTTTTTGTTAGGATAAGTTAAGTTTGTCATTTCCTGTTTAACGGTATGATAATATCATACAAAAAAACTGTTCTTTTTTGAAAATGCCACGCACCGTCAAAGAACAGACAGAAAGGGAAGAAAGGGAAAGGAAATGAAAAACACGCCCAACCCCATCATTTCCACCTCCAGGAACCAAACTTCCGAAAAAGAAAAAAAAAAGAAAAAATCCCCCCACAATAATATGATTTGCAGCAGAACACATCCCAGGAGACTTCACCTTCTCTCCCGCGAATCGGGTATAGTATGATACCGCCACCCATCCCCGCTCGCTCCGCGATCCCCGAATACCCGAGGCGGGGATCAACCTTCTGCCCGGGTATGATATTGTACAGTACTTGTAAGTAACTCGGGTAGGGAACGTAGGTTTGTAACCGGACAACCCGGGGGAATCAGAAGATGTCAAAAACATCCTACCAGTTTGAGCGATCCCCCACGCCATATATGACCAGCGAAATAATCCCCGTCTTGTAGTCTGCTGTGGACTACATTAATTCTCTTTGACTTTACGGGTGCTACGTATACTAACTAACCCCATCACGGGACCGATAAACCGATATGATAACGAATTGATCGATCGTCATACAAAGTTTCTTCTTCCCCCTTTCCCGATAATGACCCGTTGCGAGTTTAAAAAATGCTCTTGGCGGTTTGAACAAAGTTGATAATTTAACTCGTACTGTACGAGTACTAGTAGTACTGTACACGTGTGATACTCCCGTCTTGGACATCCGATACATGGCACCCCCCCCCAGAATAAAAAGATTTTCGTTGGTTTTTGGGACCGGGAATGGCCTCTTAGAGTGAACATTAACTTATGAGTGTATTTATTTTGGGGTTTCAATAAAACAAACTCCTCTGGAAGAGATGGGCTCATCCAGATCACAAGGCCACATCCTGTGCTAGTGGGTTGAAGGTCCGTGTGAGCACGTATTTATGGTATGAGTACCAACAACAATATGTACTCGAGTACCACCAACCGGAGCAACATGCTTGCACTTGTCCACAGCTGAATAAAATAAAAAGCTCCTGTTGGCCAGAGAGGGAGGGTGAGAGAGGGAAGGGGGCGGCAAGGTGCTGCGATACGAATGCAGTCTTGAGAATAGAGAGAAATTGGCAAATCTTATGATAGGATCTAGGTGTACAAGTACTGTACTGCACTGTAGTGTAATACCATCACGCGCATATTTTCAAATTTACAAGGCATCCCGAGTATTCGAACGGTATCATATCAGTCAAAAGTTGGGCGCAGTGCCGGTAATGTCCTTATGGAATTTCTATCTGAAAACGACATGAAGAACTCCCAGAGAGAAAAAAAAAACCACAGTTTTTTCTACACATCAAAGAACACACGGGGGGAGGTTGAAAGGACCCACGATGCACCGTTTATGAAAAAAAAAAAAAAAAAAAAAAAGGAAGAAACACCCCCGAGCAACCAAAAAAAAGAAAGAAAAAAAGAAAGAAAAAAAGAAGAAAAAAAAAGAATTCCATCATAATATGTTGAATGAAACCCAGCCGCCGATCCCCTATTTATCTTTGTTGAAAACGCCATTTTAACCCTACCGTACAGAATCCCATCCGCTCTACCGGCTCACATAATCAAACCTTAATACAAAACAGGTAGCCGAAGTTGAAGTCGCCCACCGAAGAGATATCATGAAAGATACAAAACCCTTGGTTGAAATAAAAAAGTAAATAAAAAATGAAAACACACATAGCAAAGCGAGTAAGAAGCTGTTCATCTAAAATACGAGCTTCTTGGGCTTCTCCCAAGAGAAGTTCTGGTTGGTAAAGTGACCTTGAAGAAATGTTAGAAAGCTATGAAACCAGCAGAGAACAGAAAATAACTTACCATTCTTTGCCGTCTGGAAGTAAATCGGCTTGGCCAAATCAAGCTCCTTGACAATCACACCGGGTCTCAAGTCGAAGTTCTTGTTGATGATCTCGACCAATTCTTCGCTAGTCCTGTTGGAGGTGCCATAAGTATCAACCTATTGGATTGTTAGTTAAAAGTTGTTCGGGAAAAGTAGCAGGACAGCTGACTTACGAAGATGGAAAGCGGGCGGGCAACACCGATGGCGTAGGAAAGCTGGACAAGGGCACGTCTGGCAAGTCCAGCTGCAACTAAGGACTTAGCAATCCAGCGGCCAACATAGGCGGCAGAACGATCAACTTTGGAGAAATCCTTTCCGGAGAAAGCACCACCTCCGTGAGCACCCCACCCTCCGTAGGTGTCAACAATGATCTTTCTACCAGTCAAACCGGCATCACCCTGGGGACCGCCAATGATAAATTGACCGGAGGGTTGAATCTATGTAGAGGGTTAGTGATCCAGCAATTGGGCTTCAAGAACGAGGGACAAACATGGTAGATGGTCTTCTCATCCAAGTACTTAGCCGGGATGCTCTTCTTGACAATCTTCTCCAGAATCTCCTTTCTCAGTTCATCTGTGGTGATATCCTCAGAGTGCTGTGCAGAAACGACGACAGTGTCAACACGCTTGGGAATAACAGCACCACCATCATGCTCGTACTCAACAGTAACCTGGGTCTTAGTGTCAGGTCTGAGCCAAGGGAGGCTTCCGTCGCGGCGAGCCGCAGACATATCGGCATTGAGTCTGTGTGCAAGCACAACAGTCAATGGCAGAAGCTGGGGTGTCTCATCAGTGGCATAGCCGAACATGATACCCTGATCACCAGCACCTAGATCTTCAAGAGCCTTGTCAATGTGAACACCAGTGGCGATGTCCTTGGACTGCTCCTCAATGGCAACAAGAACGTTGCAGGTCTTGTAATCAAAGCCCTTGCTAGAGTCATCGTATCCAATATCCTTGATGGCGCCACGGATGATCTTTTGGTAGTCAAGCCTCGCACTGGTGGTAATTTCACCAAAGACCATAATCATACCAGTCTTAGTGGCGGTCTCGCAAGCAACCTGAAAATTATTGTTAGCACTGGAGCCATAATGGAGAATTATGCGGTAACTGACCTTCGACAAAGGATCCTCCGCAAGACAAGCATCCAGGACGGCGTCGGAGACCTGGTCGCTGTTTCACTGTTAAATTTCACGGAGGTGGCAAACGGCTACCTGCGATCGCAGGAGCAGGACAGATGGCCACTCACGCAATCTTGTCGGGATGTCCCTCGCCGACGGACTCGGAAGTGAACAAGAATGTAGAAGGCATTTTATGTAGGGTAGGCTGAAAAAGTTGCTAGATCGAAGCGGGAGGGTGACTTGAGGGGCTATTGCTAAAACGCCTCGAAACGTTTGCGTTCTGTAAGCGTGGGAGATGGAGCGAAGTTGAAGGTGAGGAGCGAAGAAGAAAAAAAAATCTGGTTGAGGGTCCCTCTCCTTTTAAGTTTTGCACGGCTCTGGCACAGGGACCTGTTACACGACGTCTTGTTGGGATTGCACCATCGAAAGGACACCCTTGCGACACCCCGGCCCCCACAATCGTATTGTATCCACCTCTGTTTCACCTCTGACGTCGCTCAATTGCTTGAATAAACTGCTGCTTTACTCGGTCTCATACGATCAGGCTTGACGATAGTTTACCGACCCTTATTTTCTGAAAAATTCAATGAACGAGAGCAGCAAAACTCTAACTTTGTTTTGCACCTCCTACTCGGGGCCGACCATGGCTGACAGATTTCTCTGAAAGTAATCAAGATCGTTGGTGTTCAACGGGCCTCTGAACCAGGGACTCTTTCGGTCGGTGCGATCAACTTATCCTCCAGTGCTTTGTCTTTTACTTCTAGTCAATCAATACCTCAGAGGAGTTACAATAGACCTTTACTTCCTACAACCGATGCTATGGACATATTCTAGGCCCAGGTGAGCTAACTCTCGGCGTAGATCTTCGGGACAACAGCCACCTAGCTCTTTTGAAGCGAGGAATAAACGCGCTGCAATATCCATAACAACAAGACACGAGGAATACATACGAGTAGTCTATCGACGGGACAGCATTGTGGTTTACTACTCGTAAAGGGTGTCCAAATAGAAGGTTCCAAATATAGCGGCTGGTGTCTGAAATCATGTGTCTTTCGGGAGTAGCAGATCCAGGAGTGGGCACCGGTTCCAGACTAATGCCCGATAGAAGCCTGCACGGAAGCTAAGGGTTCGGGGTCTGTTCGATTGTTTCAATATAGTAAACTGGCCTGGCAAGGTCTCAAAAAACCAATACCAGTAGGGAGCAAGATACCAACACGAAGCGAATTAGAATAATGGTCAGAACGACGGGGGACCGGGATGGCTCATACTATTAAATCCTTCATGACCTGTGTATAGTATAATGACACTCACAAGGATCTTTCATCTTTCGTTCAGATGGCGCCTCGTTGACACACCTATTCAGTGTTACGATGGTTGCTGCAGAGCTGTATTTCACAAGTTGATGGAGAAGCGAGAGATGCCGTTTGTTCTGGCCAAAGGCAAACATAGAGGAGTTTTTTTCTTTTTGAAATCTTCTCGTGCATACCCCCCCATCCATGTGGGGGCACTGTCTATCATACCAACACCGCCTAGAAAAGGAGACCGTCCCCAAAGAAAATAGGAAGGAGGTCCGCTTCTCCAGTGGGTCTCATTTCCGCAAGTGTGCTTGGTCTAGGGGTAGAAACAGCTTGTTTATCTGATGGGGGTGTTAGTATGGGATGCCGCTCATACCACAGCTTTTCACCATAGTGCATAGTCATGACCAAAGAGGCGACAATACAGGAACCACTACTCTAAGGTTTATTCTTGTTTTTAGGGGAAAGTTTCTCCTCGGTTTCCATTTTAGTTCGAGCCGTACTGAGGAACTGAGTTCCTCAACTATCTAAATTGAATCTACAAGCTGCGGCCGGATGCCTAAGCTCTGGCAGCAACATTTTTGATTCTTGTATGAGGTGTAGAGGCTTTGTGGATCCATCGACTTCATAGTGGACGTCTTAAGCCTAATCCACAAATTGTTCTTATTTGGCACTCTTCTACGAAATAAAACGCTGAATGAGCGGGGTCGTAGCCACTGACTACGAAGCTTATGTATGCACCATTGTTGCTAGTCCCCTTCACATAATAAACACCAGAGGTATTTCGCGCCCGCTCGCCCAATTACACTTTCCTAGTAATTTAAAACGGCGTAGTGACGGCCGCTGGGAAGCTTAGGTTCCCCCCTGAGTGTAATGGATATTGAATATCATCGTATCTGCCAATTGAACTACCAAGTTGTCACAGGTTCCTATGAGAGACCAAGTGGATATACCCAATGAGTGGATTAGAATGATACTTTGTGATTCAGGCTCAACAATATGCTCATGGATAATCTCATCAATACAGCTTCTACAAATTAGGGTGGTTTTTTAATCACCACTAATTGTACAAGTACATTCTACTCAGTACCAGTACATGTATTATGGTTATGTTTGCTCTTAGTTATTATTTTTTGTATTTAAAAGAGTCTGAAATCCTCTAAGAACCCAATATCCCAAGCTTCACAGGAACGCTCTTCTGAATATACTGCAAATGGAACTCATTTCCGAGAATAGCTATCAAGGCTTCTTCCCCCCTTCAATCAGTATCTGAGAAATTCTTGGAGGATTTCAAAATACTTGAGAGTAGTTTATGGAATTAGAGACCACCCAAAAGTCCTAGAATAAGTCCAGACTGGCTTCGTTGAATTTTGCTGGAGCACTGGGAAATTTAAGTTGTTGCGGATTTTATTTCTGTATCGTTATTTGCATGCTAATAATAGCCGGGTCATAGTGTTTCATTCCTACCGGTGGGAAAATATTGGTCAGGACAATAATATTATTCCAAAAACCTTCATTTTGGGCTGATTATTGCAACTTTGATCATTGCGTTTCGGTGTCACCCCACTCCAAAGCAAAATAAAGCAAAATAGCGTTTTATCATACCACAAACCTCTGTCATCGGGGAAGCTGGACGCGCTCCGAGATAACATATCCTAGAACATATCATGCAATGTGATCACCCACCAGGAACCCACTCGAGTACGAACCGTGCATCTACAGAGTGGCAAGCAAAATTCTGCATGCGTGAATGGGATCTCGCAGTATTTCTCCGCAAATCGCGATCACCTGCTCGCGTGCTGCGAGATACTTCAAGAGCGGCGCACTAGAAGTGCAGCCTACCATACCACAATAATATCCTGTTGGTAGGTATACGAAAAGACTAACTTTCGACCCTCTCCTGAAGCTGAAAAGGAATACAATTACCCCCGGATATTCAAAACATCCATTGATATGGAGAAATTACTAAGATAGAAATTGTCTGGACCGTTCGTACCACAAAGAGTAGTACTGTACAACTTTCATGATGAGCTTCCCGCAGGGTAGAGACACAAAATCTGCGGAGATGGAGAAAGAGTACGATTGCGGCTTTGAGACTGCAAATAAACGTTAACCGCCGGGAGTGCAAACACCCCCCCCATATATCCTTAACTTGCACTATTCTCCTTACTATTTCTCAACTAGTAACTCTTACGCGAAGAATTTCGAGCGATTTATTCATAATATTATCTAAAGTTCAATCGCATCTCCCACATAAAAAAAAAAAAACAAGGGGCCCTTTTTCCTTCTTCCCCGGGCCCGATATCTTTCCTTTTTCCTTAACGGGCCGTCCTGGATGAGGTTAGGAATATGTACTGTAGAGTAATTACTATACGTGGTACAGTACCGATACTCAGTACAGTAACTTACTTTACCGTGGAAAAACGTCTTAAAATATTTTTCGACAGGGATGCCCCACCGTGAGCCTTAGCATCAAACCTTTAAAATTACCCCTCCACCCCTCCGTCGTTAGACGATTTGGCTTCCCTTAATCCCCACTTCCCTTCTTCCTTGCTACCGCTCCCTCCAAAATCGCTTCATCTCTGTGGAAATTTTTTGCAAGACCCCTTTCTAGGGTTTGTGACACTCAATTCCTCTCGGGAGCCTCGTCTGGTATTGGCGTGAACACAGACCTCTGTGGACAGAACCTTTCTAGAACCCGTCCTTACAAACTATATCATACGAAAATGAGCGAAGCCGTTCATCCCACTATTCAAGGTTAGCCCTGTTACATACACTTTACGTTTTCTTCCGGGGCTCTTTGGAAGCTAGTGAAGTGTTATCAATTACTAAAATATCTAATATTCTAGACGGCTGGTTCCGCGAGGTCTCCGAGATGTGGCCTGGCCAGGCCATGACTCTCAGGGTTAAGAAAGTCTTGCACCACGAGAAGTCCAAGTACCAAGATGTTTGTTTGATCCTTTAGCACAGTCAAGGCCCCTCCGGGATCACATGAATTGACCCCCTTTTAAAGGTCTTGATCTTTGAGAGTACCGACTACGGCAATGTTCTTGTCTTGGACAATGTTATCCAATGCACCGAGCGCGACGAGTTTGCGTGAGCATTCACTTTCCACCTGCACCTTGTAAAACAACTAGGGCTAATTATCCTACCTGCTTAGCTACCAGGAGATGATCACCCATCTTGCAATGAACTCCCATCCCAACCCCAAGAAGGTTCTTGTTATTGGGGGTGGTGATGGTGGCGTCCTTCGTGAGGTCGTCAAGCATGAGTGTGTTGAGGAGGCTATTCTCTGCGATATCGATGAGGCAAACTTTCACAAAAATACCACTCAGAGTAGACGATGCTTACCTATACTATAGGCTGTTATCCGCCTCTCAAAACAATACCTCCCTCACATGTCCAAGGGGTTTGATCATCCCAAGTCTAAGGTTCATGTTGGAGACGGATTCAAGTTCCTCGAGGACTACAAGAACGAATTCGACGTTATTATTACCGACTCATCGGACCCGGAAGGTCCAGCAGAGTCTCTCTTCCAGAAGCCCTACTTCGAACTTTTATTTGGAGCTTTGAAGGTATAATATCGATATACCAAGTGTTTTTTCAATTGCATATTACTAACTATAAATGACCACGTTGATAGGAGGGTGGTGTGATCACCACGCAAGGTTGTCGGTTCTCCTTTTTTATTGCAATGAATTTCCCCCCTACGACAAAGGACTTGAAAGAGCAAGGGAGAGATTGGAAGAACAGAAGTCTTTTTTATTCTGTTGGAAAGTGTGCTCTGTGGCTTACTGTGATACCCTTCGCTACAGTGTCGAACATTTTCTCCTCATCTCACCCTGCGCTCAAAATCTCGACTCTTCTTCTCCCTTCCCCCCCTCCTCATTCATATCTCCCTTTGCTTTCCTCAGCCTACAACGGTAACACGGCTGACCCAATTCCCCTTCTTTTCTTTTGACAGCCGAGAACCAGTGGCTTCACCTGCAGCTTATTACCGACCTTAAGAAGTCGTGCCGCGAAGTCTTCCCGGTTGTGGAATACGCCTACACAACAATTCCCACCTACCCATCCGGCCAAATTGGTTTCATGGTTTGCTCCAAGGATGCGAATAGGGACGTCTCCAAGCCTCTCAGGACCGTATCCGACGAGGAGGAGCAGAAGATGTACAGATACTACAACAAGAGGATCCACGAGGCAAGCTTCGTGCTGCCCACTTTCGCGGCGGCAGCTTTGAAATAGGTGCATGGAAGGTTTAGAAAATAAAAGTTTGTGATGGGGATTGATTTCAGGTTATGGGAGTTCTCTTTTTATCGTGTTCTAGAGAGGTCTCTATATCACCGGGTATCGGGAACGCATGATTTCGCGGCTGCGACAAGCTAGTAATTGTGACAAGCCGTCTGAACACGCAAGCAAACGCTCGCAAGATATCCCAAATTGGTATGATATCGTACGCAAAATACAAGCCAAGGAGACTTTCCCGGGCGGAAAATAGAAAAATGACTATCGTACACGATGAGGAAAGTAAAGCAAATTATACACGCAGTAAAGCATAAAACCCTTGTTTAAAATCTCACCCTTTGCAAAGTCGGCTTCCAATCGAGAGGGTGTGTCTCCTCCGTGGCATCCCCGTCTTGTTTCCAGACCTTGACTACAATCACCGAATTCAACTCATTAGCCACTGCAATACCGCAACCCCCCCCCCCAAAAAAAAAAGGGGAATGAGGCAGAAGAGAAACATACTAGTTTTATCCGCCTCCCCAGTGATCAGCCTCAGCCCGGTCCTGTCAAAAGTGCTGCAGAAAACACCCTGCTCAGCATCCAGCGATCCGGGCTGGGCAATCGTGTCAATCTTCTGAAACCTATGTCCGGACTTCCAGTCGAAGAAGCACATTTCTCCATTATCCGCTAGCAAAAAGCCCAAATCAGCGCCCCCCCACAAAAGGAAAAAGAAAAACATTGAAGAGGGAAAAGTGCAAACCTCCTGAAAACAAAACATCATCTTCATTAACACTAAGGGTATTAACGATCCCCCCGAACCCCTCGAAATTCTGCATGAATGCTCCTTCAGGACACTTCCACTGCTTGATACTTCCCGCGGACCCACTAGCGAATGTGAATTCCTTCGGATGCGTAGCAAGAGCTCTGACACTCTTCTTGTGATGGGTGAGCACGGCCATGCTCTTGCCCGCAGCCAAGTCCCAAAGACGCACAGTAGAGTCCATAGATCCAGTAATGACCTGGGGATCCGCCTCCTGTGCGACGACGGATGATACAGTACCCTGGTGACCGGACAGGACCATGACGTTTGTCCGCGTGCGCATGTCCCAGACTCTAGCTACGCCATCTCTGCCCGATGTGATGAGTACGTCAAGCGTCGGGTGGAGTGCGAGAGAGTAGACACCAGAGAGGTGGCCGTGGTAGTGGCGGATCACACGATTACTTTCGAGGTCCCAGCATTTCACCATTTTGTCCTCGCCGCAGGAGAAGAGGTACGGATGGCGCGGGGACACGGCTAGTCCCCGTACAGTGGAGATATGACCTGTTAGCGTCAGGCGGAGGCTGCCAGAAGCTAAGTCCCAGATCTTCACGGTTCGATCGCCGGCGCCGGTGCAGAACCATTGGTTCCCAGGCTCCACGGCGAGCGCCCGGACCCAGCCTAGATGTCCGGAGATTACGCGCATGAGCTTCCAGGGCGGGTGCCACATCGGCTTGATCTGCTGGGCCGCGGCGTTGTTCTTACGGACTAGGCTGCTGCCCGGTAATTCCCTCTGCGCAGTCCCCGTCCCCATTCCACCTCCTACCCCTGCACCACTGCCGGCTGGCGCACGCCCCCGTATCGTCAACGACGTCGACGTTGACGTACTTCCAGCTTTAGCAGTCACCCCCTCGATCATCTTCATGGTGCTCCCATCCACACCATCCACCTCCGTCAATAGCGGTTTTGAAACTACCGGAGCGACACCACCACCAATGCGCTTCTTGTTTTTCGCTGCGGCTTGTTTTGCCGCAAGCGCAGGCGGGAGTTCACGCACTGTTGCGTATTCGAGGCGGATTTTTGAGCTTATGGATTCCTTGCGGCTACTTGATATTAGCGCTAGCTGATACGGATGCATAGGTAAGGTGAAGATGGGGGGGCGTACGCAGTGTCATCATCCAGCAAGAACGGATTCCCAAAATCGGAGGCGAACACTTCACGTGTGCGTTTAGCGGATTCACGGATGAAATCCTATTGTCCCTTTAGCTTTCTCGCATATCCTAGAACGCGGGGGGGGGGCTAGTAGCCACCTCGACAGGTCTTATTGCGTGAGTGGTGCCTGGCGGTGCGATTGCTGTTGGTGAAGCCATGGTTTGTATGACGAGGGTGGATGGATGGGTGAGTTGGGATGGGTTGTTGAGGCATCTTTTCTTCTCGGATGGAGCTTTGGATGCTAGCGCATGATTTAGAGCCTCGTTCAACATCCTTGCGAGGCTTGGCACGGAGGTCTGATGCCAAGTAGTCATGGAGGAGCACTCGGTTTAATTGGTGGGGCAGGAATAGGCTCCTTTAGTGCTAGACTAGTATCATACCGCGCTCCCCTAAGCTCCGGAACACCATTCAATATTTGAAACTTGATAGACTACTTGATAGGGTGCCGAGAATGATAGGGTGGGGAGAATCACCGGCTCTCCCTGATGAGTCAGCCCTTCTCATTCAAGTTAAGCACCATATTTCCTCCAAGGGAAGTGATGGTTCTCGCTGCCCTATCGTTCTCGGCACCCTATCAAATGGTCTATCTTTTGGAGGCTTTAGCAGCCCCTCGGCGTCTACCTACAATCCCTCTAACAACGGAGATATATATTCCCAAAGTAACCACTAAATCAAGGACGGCTCCCTGATGCCTTTAGAACATTGTGACAAGAGACATCACATTATAGCGTGCAAATGGGGTTGGATCCATATAGTCAGTCCCGCATTAGTGCTCTAAGTTCCCCAGATCCCTTCCACCAAAGCCATAAAGTTAATGCCGGTACCAGGCTATATATGTAGGCTTAAATATGATGGACCTTCATGCCCACCTGCAGGACATGGCGGTGAGTAGCAAGCTCCCTCCAAAGGACTCGATCTTCCTTGCACTAAAATAGGAGTAAACCACGGAAGAGTAGGTAGACACCAGAGTGTTGGCAAGGGGTGATTAGATCAAAAAGGACGATCCAAGTAATTTGACAATTTCGCACAAACATGGGACATGCAGGGGAGCCAGAAGAGAGGAAGACCAATATGCCTGAAAAATTGATCCCTTTATCACTTTTTGAATAGATACACGATGAAAGTAGCCCAACCGAAAGCAGAAAAGAAAACCCTAGCGATTTATTCGTCGGGAACTAGAAGGTATTCTATCAGCAATTTATCATAGAGAGGCAGTGAAGAACATACTCTCAATCTCGCCAGACGAGATATCGTCAGAGACGTCCTTGGGGGAGCGGCCATCCACCTGGCACCCGACAGAGTAGGCGGTTCCGAGTATCTCCTTGACAGTTCCTTTAAGCTCGCGAGCCAAAGACTTGAATCTCATGGTTCGGGCAATCTCAATGATCTCGTCGAGAGGGATGGACTTGGTGTGCTTGATGTTCTTCTCCTTCTTGCGGTCTCTGGGAGGCTCCTTGAGGGCCTTGATAACGAGGGAGGATGCAGAGGGAACAACGGAAACGGCGGCCTGACGGTTCTGAATGGTGAGTTTGACGGTGACGCGGAGACCTTTCTATATCTCACAGAAAATATTCATATTAGCTTTTTGGTGCCCTGCGGCTAGCACACGTAGGTAGAGAGGAGGCATACCCAGTCACCGGTCGCCTTAGCAATATCTTCACCAACCTTCTTGGGCGAAAGACCGAGAGGACCAATCTTCGGCGCTAATGCGGACGAAGCGCCTACCTCACCACCAGTAGCACGAAGGTGTCTTCCAAGACCGAAAAATCCCAATTGTTAGCCAGACCTTCAGGTAAGGTACAATATGGGATAAATATTTTTCATGTTTTTGAAGAACTCTGCACATACATGATCTTGACTTCAGAAGGATCGAACTTTGGAGCTGCTCTTATGTTAGCCAATTTATTGTTTAGTAGGAGATTAAAACGTACGCATGGCGACTGATTTCTGGTGGGGAAGTTGGGTGTCTGTTAGTTTGTCGTGATGGCGGTCGTTGGTGGTTGGTCGCAGTTACGATAAGTCGCCGAAAGTTCGGCTCAGAACGAAATTTTTGGAGGAGTTCTCGCGGGTGTGGGGTGGTGTGAGGAAGTCACGGTTGTGGACTTAAAGGGTTGTAACCCTAATTGCCAAGACTTGGCGTGTTTCTTAAAAGCTTATCCTTATGATACGCCATCCAAAACCTGCACCAAGAATTTAGTCATTAAATTTTTCAAATAATTATACACTTCGACAAAAGTTAATATATAAATGAAATCAAAAAACCAATAATCGATTTTGAGATATTATTCCTAGTGATTCTATGAAAGTTTGAGGAAGAATCATTAACATATGGTGACAACTAATAGTAGGTTTAGGATAGTGCTAGTTTCTTGGAGGACTGGGTGTTACATGCTGCATAGAGCACGGTACACGTTATAAACGCACTGCACACTGCACCATAACACCAATTCTCACTATTATAATAAGTTGTGGACTGCCACAATAGCCAGGGGTCTTAGAATATCATACGAGTTGGTAATCTATCGTATTTGCGAGAAGGCGGGGATCCTTCAATTTTTCGCAAACCTGGGCGCAATCACATACAGCGCCCACACCCCCTAACTGCTTAAACAAAGTGGAAGAAAAGAAGAAAGCAACAACTTTTGCTACCTTGCTCCATCGAGCATACACATTCACGTAAAAAAAAACAATTTCATATATCCAACTTTAATTTTTTCCCAGTTTCAATCATTTTACATCCCCTCAGCCTTCGACTCCAACCCATTGAAATTTATCTTAACACTCGAAGGTTTCAGGGTCGTCAACGGGGAGGTCAAGCTCGCCGTCAGCATGGATGTAGCCGGTCGGCTCGAAATTGCCTTGGGCAAAAACTATGTTAATAAAACCACGATATAGGTATCTCATCACGGATTGAACTCACTTTGCTCGCTGCACCTAAGATGGCTATCAGACTTGCCTGTGCGGTGTCTTCATGGATACCAACGCCCCAGACTACCCGCTTCTCGGCCTCAGCACTACCAGAGATGTCGCACTCAATGAAGGTTGCTGCCTTCACACTCTTTCCACGGCCAATGGCGTGCTCCTTATAGTCCAGGACGTCAAGCTCTACGCCGACAGTGCGGAGGGCATCAGCCAAACTGGAGATTGGCCCATTGCCAACACCCCTGATGGAACGCTCCCTACCATCCACGGAAATGATACCATGGAATGTCCTCTTAGCGTTTGCAGATTGCTTGCCCAAGACTGGGTTAGGAGAAGTAGAGCGGTCCGTAGAAAACTCGTAGTCGATTAAAGTGATTCGGGGAGCCGATTTGAGGTGATATTCTGTTTCAAAAAGGGCCTGAATCTCCCCAGCTTCCAACTCTCGACCGAGGTCCTCTGTTTCTTTTTGAACAATCTTTGAGAAGACGATCTGGAGGCCACGAGGGAGATCTAAATCCAAAGCACGCTGGATGACCCAGGCAACTCCTCCCTTCCCGGATTGTGAATTGACTCGGATGACAGCTTCGTAGGTCCTACCAATATCTGCGGGGTCCAAAGGAAGATAGGGGATTTGCCACTCGTCATCATCTGCTGCGTGGGCCTTCTCGCGGAGCTTGAAACCCTTGCGAATTGCATCCTGGTGAGATCCAGAAAATGCACACACGACCAATTGCCCTCCGTATGGTGCCCTCGGATGCACGGGAATCTTATTGCAGTCCTCAACAACGTTAATAATGTTGGTGATGTCCGAGAAATCAACATTAGGGTGGATTCCCTGGGTATACAAATTCAGTGCGAGTGTGACTAGGTCGACATTTCCGGTGCGCTCCCCATTTCCAAACAAGCACCCCTCTACTCGGTCCGCGCCAGCCATTTGTGCGAGCTCAGAGGCAGCGGTAGCGCAACCACGGTCGTTATGAGGATGCAGGGAAATACAAACCTTCTCCCTTTCGCTAATGTGACGGCAGAAGTACTCGATCTGATCGGCATAAACATTTGGAGTGGACATCTCTACTGTCGCAGGAAGGTTGAAGATAATCGGGTTCTCCTTCGTCGGCTCCCATGCCGCCTTCACAGCCTCACAAATCTTAACAGCAAACTCCAAGCTGGTATCCGAGAATGTCTCTGGTGAGAACTCATACGCCCACTCTGTTCCCTGAGCATTCGGGTTATCCTTCGTCAAACTCCTTACCAGCTTTGTTGACTTTACTGCTAACTCTACTGACTGCTCCTCCGTCATTCCGAAAACAATTCTCCGGAAGCACTCGGATGTAGCCAAGTAGAGATGTACAATTGCCTTATTAGCACCCTTCAAGGACGCAATCGTCCGCCGGATAAAGTCCTCACGACACGGTGAGAGAACCTGAAGCCAAACGTCGTCGGGTATTGCACCAGGGGTTTCGATCAAGCGACGAGTGAAGTCAAAGTCTGTTTGCGAAGCCGAGGGAAAGGAGACCTCAATTTCTTTGTAGCCAATGTCAGTTAACATTTTGAAGTACCGCCATTTTTGATCTCCGTCCTGTTGGAGAGGAAGCTTGTTAACATCGTTTCCTGTAATTGCGGCGGCGAGGAAGAGGGAGAAGGAGCCCCACCATAGGGTCGATCAAGCTCTGGTTTCCGTCTCGCAAATCGGTAGACAGCCACCGCGGAGCTTTGTCGAGGGTTTTTGAAGGCCATTGTCGGTCTGGCAAGTGCACGGGCTTAAAAGCTTGATATTTCTTGGAGGGATCCTTAAGCCTGTAAACATTTCGGTTAGTCCGGAGTAAAAGAGAGGAAGTAAACCCCCAAAACTAGGAAAGAAAGTTTACTCACATAGGCATCTTTAAACTAATCCCGAGAATTTTTTATCCTGCTCGTGTCTGGCGGAAGTTTTGAAAAGGTAGAATGTCTGGAACAAAATTTGGGTTTATTTTTAGGGAGGTGAGCAAAAGTTTGCACCCTTAAATAAAGAAAAAATGGGCTCTTTGAGATTCGGTAGGTCGTTGCCTCAGGTAATTTAATTTAAACTTTTTTTTTCTCTCCACCACTGGCGCTGTGTGACTCATCAAGCAGCCCTTCTCTCGGTCGGGTCAGCCGTTTGATCTGGTCCCCAGACAAACCTATTACTATCCCATAAGCTGTCGAGACATTCCGGTCCATTTTAAAATCTGTAACACTAGCCTATTGAGGAATAGTCTTGAGCACCTTCTTGACCTCATCTCATCCAGCAATAACACGGCCAGGACAGGAAAACCTCGCAGCCAATATCAAAATGCCACCAAAGCAGAAAGCTCTTGCGGATATTCCACTCAATGCAGCGGACTCGGTGAGTAGTTCAACTCATCCTTTGAAAAGGCAACGAATACAGCAAAAGCAAGCTACCAGCTTGCCGATAGCTCCTACTCCTCTTCTACAAGAAAAAAGGTCACTATTGAAGCAGCGCGCCCATGCCCAGTCACTTCCTTCTCTTCCCCAATTCCAGCCGTTCCACTCCCCTTATTCAGAGCACTCCTCAGAGGTATAATCCTGCTTCTGCATAGAGTGTATTTGTAAAAGCTAAATCCAATAGTAGGCCTTGGTACCAGTAGAGTGCAAGCATGATCCATATGCTTTATTTTCACTCTTTTTTACCGATGAAACTTTTGTGGAGCTGGCCGCCAATACAAATAAGTATGCGGAGATGAAGCAGAAGGAAGTAGGAGGACAGCAAGGGGTAAAGAAGGCAAGACCGCAAGGGAAGTCGGTTTTTAAAACGAGTAGCCAAGGATCCCGGAAATGGTTTGCGACTTCTACTGGTGAGCTGAAGGTCTGGTTTGGATTGACAGTTAAGATGGGCCTCCATTGAGAACCATTTAATGCTCTTCATTGGTCCAAGGAAGCAAGGAATGGTTGGCGAAAGACTTTACTGCGTCCTGTACTCCGCCACCGCTATCTCTTGGTACCCCGCCACTATAGAGTCCCTAAAAATTCCATGTCTCTCACGCGATACCAGCAGATCAAGCAGTATTTTCATGTTTCAGATCCCACAATTGAACTCGATCGAAAAAACTGGTATAAAAAGCTTAGCCCATTGGCAGACCAACTCCGGGAGAGGTTTCAACAATACTTTCTTCCTGGAACCAAGGTGGCGATAGATGAAATGATGGTTAAGTTCTGTGGACGAAGTCTACATACTCTAAAGGTCAAGAACAAGCCAATCAAACAGGGCTATAAGATATTTGCCCTCTGCTCTCATGGCTACACATATGGGTTTCTCTGGTATTCAGTCTCACAGGGCATTGCTGAACTGGTGAAATTGGACCACCTAACCCCGACTGCCTCTGGTGTCTTTCAGCTTGCTAAGCTCTTACCAGAGAGAAAGAGATGGAATTTAGTACTGGATAATTACTTTACTAATGTGCCTCTCTTTCAAGAGCTACTAAAGGTTGGAGTTGGTGCAGCGGGTACCACAAGAGTAGATGCACAAGGCTTTCCACCTTGTTTAAAAATTGAGAAAGCAGAAGCAAAAAAGGTTCTACCTTGGGGCTACTTAAGTGGTGCAGTGGTAGAAAATACATGCTGCTTAGTCTGGCAGGATAATAATTCTGTTCTTTTTATGACCACCTATCACGAGATAGATACCACGGTTGAGCGAATTTGCCGTCGGCCTAAAAAAACAAGCACAAACGCAGCAATAGTACAAAGAATCTTTGGTGACAAGCCCCGGAAGGCACTACCCATTCCTACCTTTATTAACGACTACAACTATCATATGGGAAGTGTGGACATTGCCGATCAGCTGCGTAGCTATTACTGTACGCAGCAGAGAGCCTCCCGCAATTGGTATCCTCTATTCTATTGGCTTTTAGACACATCTATCATTAATTCCTATCGTCTGCTCAAAACTCTCTACTCTCACAACAAGGTGCGAAGTCAACACTACCTCTTCCATGAACAGCTGGCCAATAGACTCATCGATATTGGCTTATCGGAGACCTTGGACTCAGATATAGTTGAGCCATCACCACCGCTCCACTCTTCAGATTCTGCTCCTACCGCACTCAAGCCACCCACCCTGAGCCAAAACTACAGCTTTTCGCCTTCTTTCTCACCCATGGTCAATCAATCTCACCCGTCTCCTACGCCCAGTCAAACACCCCAGTCCTCATCAGCCAGTCAGCATACCTAGACCCAGACGACTGCAGGAGACTCAGAGCATATACTCTACATTTCTGCTCGGTCAAAACCTCCTGTACTCGTCAACTTCCCTCCCTGGCCGAGCCACTTTTATGACCAACAGCCAACCTATACTCGCTGTGTATTATGTAGATGGAAAAAAGTAACTGGAAGTGGTTTGAAGGTTCGGTCAGTAAATAAATGCTGTCGGGAGTGTAATCTTTCCTTATGTTACGAATGTTTTGTCGCATCTCACTGTAAATAGTCTTCTGTTTTATATCATATGACACTACACCTTACTCAAATAGGCTAGTGTTACAGATTTTAAACTGGACCGGAATGTCTCGACAGCTTATGGGATACACGGAAGCTTTCAACTACCGTATACTGTACGAAGGAGGTAGGGGAAAGTCTGGTGAACGTGGCAGTGCATGTGGCAGTACATGTGGTAGTGGCATTATATGAGAGTGGTTTGTGACGTAGTTATTGCAGCATCATTGGCCCCAGTGAACTGTGGTCTCCCCTTAGCAAGTGATATTAAAGACTTTGAAATTTCATATCTAGAGTCAAATTCTAACAAACTTGAACTCATTGGCCTGGAATTGGGTAAGTTTGACTGATATCCAGAGTGTTTTTTCAAAGTCCCTACTGACTCGAAAGGATATCATTACTTAGTCTAAAGATGAAAACTACTGGTACCCGCGAGGATCACTACGGTTCAGAAATACGAGGAAGAGAAACGACCCATGATGAAAGAGTCCGTATTGTTACATTACGCGACCACACTAAGCCCCGTATGTGGTGGAAGGATATTGCACAAGCGGTGAGACTGAAACTACTTGATGACCAAACTATAACTTATCAGTTAATGTATATAGGTAAATATCAATTACCGAACATGCCAAAAAATCTATAAAAAGACAAAGTTCTGTGGAGGACCAGAAAACGTACCACGATGTGGCCGACCACCAATTTTTGATGAGCAAGAAAAAAGTTGATTAAGGGACCTCATAACTCAGAATTGATTAACTCGGCGTATGAGTTGGGATATGATACGGGAGGAGATGGGCTATGGGTGTTCTGCTGAGCAAATCTGTCGAGTAATGAGTAGTATGGGCTACCACAAGCGTTAACCTCGGCGGAAGTTCAAAGTCAAACCCCAGAATCAACTAAGACGTGAACAGTGGGCTGAAGCTCACTTACATTGGACATTTGATGACTGGTCTAGAATTTTATTTTCTGACGAGTCCTACCTTTCTACTGTCGGTTTCAACCATCAGCCTCTGGTAATACGATCTGCTTCAGAAGAATACCATCCCGACTGCATTGATGATTAGGAACATTCTGGAAGAGATGGTATTATAGTTTGGGGAGCATTTTATGCTGAAAAGAAGTCAGATTTGGTCTTTGTTCCTAATAAGGTATCTATTGATTCTGCTACCTATACTCAACAAGTTCTTGATCCCTATTTGATCACCTTTTGGCATAGTATGTGTGAGGAATTAGGATGGACACAGGTAGTAGAGGATTGGGCACCAGGGCATCAGAAATTTGCAATCAGATGCCGAGAAAGGAATAAGGTTGACAGGATGATGGATTGGCCTCCACAATCCCCAAATCTTAATTTGATTGAAAAGATTTGGGGATGGATGGAGTGTGAGCTGGGAGAACAATGGGGAAGGATTGAGAAGCTTGAACCACTAAAGGTAGCTCTAAATATTGTTTGGAATTCTGTATCCGTTGATTTTCTGCAGGGCCTTATTAGAAGCATGCCTGAACGGCTACAAGCTGTTATAAATGCAAATGGTGGTCCTACACCTTACTAGTTCTATTGGATTTATTTTCTATTAAATTTGTATGATATTATATTGACTCCGATATATAACAGCTTGTTTGCACCAGTGTGCCACTACATGCACCGCCACATGCACCGCCACATGCACCGCCACGTTCGCCAGACTTACCCCTGCCCCCTTCGTACAAGTAGTACGGGGAACACTGTTTGAGAATCTTTGGTAGACTATTACCGTCTCTTGTTGCCCCCGTCCTGAGATGTCCGAAGATTTATGATTGTGTGTGTGGCGGGTTTATGACGTAGGTTGGGCGTCAACTACGATACTTCATCCCCGCTCACTCGGTGCTAATTGCTAAATAATTCGCTTAGACCCCAGGGAATGGGATACGGGACATTGAGAGATGGCTGACTGTTAGACTACCAATGTTTATCGAGCAACTTACAGGCTACAATTACGATAGACAAAGGGGTTACTATTACCGGTACAAGTGATTGGTAGTTCAGTTAGAAAGCTACTAAATTACAGGTATGATATGATATCATATATTCTCGAAGTAGGCCCCCGGCATTGGTGGGAGAGCTCCCATATTTGTCAAAAATGCTTCAGCTTTAGTCTTCAAACGAAAATACACAAATAAGAGTCAATTCAAACAACGGCTACCCCACCAGTCGGGATATCCTCCTCAAACGCCCTTTCAAACGACAGATATCCCCTACACTTTCTCGCTCAGTAAAACACCCCACCCACAACCCCGTTGGATCGCTGCGGAAGGCTACTATATCACTATAGAACTCGAATATCCCATCACGCGGGAAGGTACTCACCAGATATGCCACTCTTTTATAAGCAAAACCCTCAATTGCTTGTATACTGAAATATGGCAAAGTGATCAGGACCGGATTGGAAGGAGGGTTTTTCGTATGCCTGACCTGATTCGGCGGTACCGCCGCCCACGCCCTTATTCGGCTTCGGGTATTCGGGGGGTTGTTTGGGTATCTGGTTGGAACGGCATATAGAGAGATGGGGTGTTGTAGTGGCAGAATGTTTGAAGATGGCATGTCCGATGCTGGGGTTTGTACCGCAGATGTGAAATGTCTATTATATCATACTGTGCCGGTGCTAGAGAGCGGGAGCCTCAGGATTCGGGGGTGACTCACTTTCGTAGATGTAGGTTTTGATGGGTATCTTACGTTAGCTTCTCTCTCATAGGGTTTCAATAGGGAGCATTATGGATGGGGTGGAATGTAAAACTACTGAAAGTGCTGCTTGAAGATAGGCTATTATCCCAACAACGGGAACTTTGGTTAGAACCTCACTTCGTTCATGCACCGCATCTCGCTGGTGGGATTGAGGTTATCAGGGGAATTGGCTACGAGGCGAGGAGAACCCCTACTCGACCGGGTTCTCTCGCTGCTCTCCACCCACGATTTGTGCTACCAATAGTGAAACGCGGCGTGAAAATGAGAGATTATCATGCATAAACTGCAAAAGAGGGGTCAGGGGAACTAGTTGAAGCATTTTTGCTTATAAAGAGGTACAAGTAAATGTAACAAGCCACAAACGCCAGTATCTATGCTCTTATGTCCTATCCAATAGAGTACACGGAAGAAAGTAAGCCCGCAAATGCTACGCACCTAGGTTACCACTGCTGCCTGTTGCAGCTCTTGTTCTGGGATAGTTTTCGAGTGGCCCCCAATCCCTCTTTCTTTCCGTTTCTTTCCTCCATGCTTGACGCCCACCCCCGCTCCGGCAGCTTTAACCGTTGGTGAAGACTTGGCCTTCTGTACGGCTTTGGAGCCCACCTTTTCAACAGTCGTCTCCTCGACCCTTGGCGCTGGAGGTTCGTAAGGGATCTCCAAGATTTCGCAGATTTGTCGGGCAGTCTTAGACCTCGATATCGGAGGGTATAGATCTGTCTTTCCAGGTATAATGTGCAATAGGCAGAACTTGATATTCGAAAAGTGATTGTCCACTTCCACGGCTATCTTCATATACTCCCTGGCAACATCTCGCCACGGAAGTTTCTCGCCCGAAAGAAAAACGGATGGATTTGTTTCCGCTGCGCGAGCAATCATGCATCCGTCCACACCGTGCTTTTCGATAAGCTCCTCAGCATGCGCTCGAGAGGTAACATCCCCGTTTGCAAAACATTCGATCCCAGCTTCGTGACAAACATTAGCGATCTCGGAGAGAACCCCCCGGATAGCTGGCTCGCGAGGGCGCATAGGAATTGTCCGGCAGTGAACGGTTACTCGGGATATACCGGTCGTGCAGAGCCGTTGTACTAGGCCGATAGTGTCCGTGTGTGGCTCCAGGAGGCGAATCTTGACCGAAATAGGGACAGAATTAGGCACCCCTACTTCTGTGACGAGTGAAGTGAGGATATCAATAAGCTTATCCGGGTTCTTGAGTAAAGCAGCGCCCATTCCGGAGTGAATACTAAAATGCTACAGCAAATGAGTATAGTTCTAATTCACGACTCGAGAATTCATACCTTCGGGCATCCAGAGTTGACGTCTATTCCCGCCACATCGCCCACAATGATCTTCGCAGCCTCCACCGCCAACTCCGGCGATGCAGTGCCAAGCTGAAATATCAATTTCCCAGATTCTATCGCCGGGCAAGTTCTGAAAATGACTTTCTCGTCATATTGTCCTCCAGTCTGCGGTTTAACAAAGTCGATACAGTTGATTTTTGAGTTTACAACCCGTTGTGCTCCGATTATTCCCTTATCCACCGTCTCAGGGCCTACAAAAGTTAGAGCTCTCCTCTCAAAGGGAGATCCAATGAAGTAGTACCCCATACTAAATCTGCACCATACTTAAGGGCTAGGAGGCGAGTTGGAAGCTCCCCGGTACGCACCATCGGGGCCAGAACACATTTCCCAGACATGATTTTCGGATTAATAAGAGGGCCGGCCAACGTAGCGAAGGGTCGGGAGAAGGTTTTTGTGTAAAGGTTCAGGAGGCGCATTACACTACAGAGGAGCCATAGGCGGCGACAACACAAGACATTCGTTGAAAGAGATGAAAGAGAGAAATCTTTTTCGGTGGGGGTCAAACACCCTCCGCCGTAGCACTCAGCACAAGCTGCAATCTTATCTTATCTCATCCAATCAGCTTGGCAGTTAAACTTTGTAAAGTTTTCGGGTCAAATATAGCTTTAGGAACTCTAGCTGACATACGTTCGACCCCCCGTACAAACCGGTCCCATCGACCGAACACATGGCTGACGAAAACGATACCGGAATACCGGTTGCCCGCTCTAAATCATCCCAACCCTCTTCTAATGAAACGGAAACAATAGGGGCTACCGAAGCAACTTTAAGTATGGCCGTGAACGGAAACGCGCCAGACGGGGAAGACGGAGCTTCGGGGTTCGAGGACAAAACCGCTGGACGGCCTTCTCAGATCTCCCTAACCACTGTAGAGCTACGGGATAGGGAACTCCCCCCTCTACCGGATCCTCTCCCAGACCCAACGCCCGTGACCCCTAAAGCAGGTATTCCCATACCTATATCGGCAGACCGCCCACCTCCCCCCCATCAGGAAACAGTCGGCCGACCGCAAACCCCTATCACCCTAATGCGCAAGTCTTCTCGGAACGCCCCCATGACGGCCAGTGCGGGAGGGCGGGTTACAGGCTCATCGGCGTCGAGCAGCGGCAGCGCGCGACCGACCCTATCGTCGATGGTTTTTGTAGCGCAAGCTTTGGAGTCAATTCTTGCCTCAAAAGAAACGAAGCGACGGAAACCGCTTGCAGGCTCTGTTCACAGGGCCTTAGATTCTATAAAGCTAGCAGCTCCAGAGTTACCACCGGACCCTGCCGTAGTATTTGAACCCTTGCAAATTGCATGCTCCATCCAGAATACACAGATTACGGTTACTGCCCTTGATTGTATTGGGAAGTTGATAAGCTACTCATATTTCTCCGTTTCGACGACACCGCCTCAAATACCTCCAACTCCTAGTACCGCAGCATCCGTTGATGACGCACCAGGGAGCAGGCGGGCGGAGCCCCCACCACCTACAGCACCGATACCTCTCATCGAAAGGGCAATTGAAACTATTTGCGATTGCTTCCAGGGAGATACGACACCAGACCAAGTCCAGCTTCAGATCATCAAGGCTTTGTTGGCAGCTGTGCTAAATGATAAGGCCGTTGTACATGGCGCAGGGCTTTTGAAAGCTATCAGACAAACCTACAATATATTTTTGCTTTCCCGGAGTAGTCCCAATCAAATGACCGCGCAAGGTACATTAACACAAATGGTACATACCGTTTTTGAGAGGGTTAAGATCCGGATTGCTACGAAGGAAGCAAATCTAGCTCATGCGAATGGGGAGAACGATAGTTCAACAAACCTAGCCATTCCGATTATCCACGCGGATGATGGGAGCTCACATACGGGTGATGGAGACACCATTCCAGAAAGCCCGGACCTCGTCGTAAACAGGACATCTCAGGAGAAAATAACATTGCAGAGTTTCGAAAACAGAAAGAGTTTCGACGACGAGAGAATTGTTGATAATGCGCCTACAACAGTAACTCATACCCCGAAGAAGGGGCATCTTAGCGGAAGCGGGCCTGCGCCGGACGGTTCCGTAGCATCTTCAGAAGGCCATGATGAGGAGGATGAAATATTTGTCAAAGATGCTTTCTTGGTGTTCAGGGCGATGTGCAAACTGTCTATCAAAACATTGCCTGCGGAACAAATTGCGGATCTCAAGTCACAGCCAATGAGAAGTAAACTACTGAGTTTACACCTAATCCACACAATCTTAAAGAGCCATACGGTAGTTTTTGTTTCTCCCTTGAGCACCATCCGGAGCTCAAGCAGCGCAGAGGCTACCAGTTTTATGCATGCCATGAAACAATATCTCTGCTTGAGTCTTAGCCGTAATGCAGCCAGCGCTGTAGGGCTGGTATTTGAAGTTTGTTGTGAGATATTCTGGCTAATGATAAGCCATATGAGGGTCATGCTTAAGGTCAATATCCCCACACATATTATCACCGCATGATTTATAAAATCCTACACTTCTAACACCTGGTGGTAATGCAGAAAGAGATTGAGGTTTTCTTGAAAGAGATTTATCTTAACATCTTGGATAACAGGCATTCAAGTGGGCAGCAAAAGCAATATCTCCTTGGTATCTTACATCGCATTTGTGCGGACCCCAGAGCTCTTGTCGAGATTTACTTGAACTACGATTGCGACAGATCTGCCTTGGATAACATGTTTCAGAGGTAGGCTTCACATATGATCGCCAAAGGGGATCTTGTGGGGTGCTAACAATTTCAGAATCATCGAGCATCTTTCGTGGATATCAGCAACTCAAGTTACCATTAATGAACAGCAACAACAAAGCTTTAGAGAGCAGTATAAGAGTGCTGCTGCAGCTTCTACCCAAGGGTTCTCCCTACCACCCTCGCTTTCCACCGCGAGCATAGCTGCGGCACCCAGTTCTGCAGGAGACCCACCATTTCCCCTAGAGTATGCCCTCAAGCGGCAATCTTTAGAATGTCTCATCGAGGTCCTACAGTCGCTTGTCTCCTGGTCTCAAAAGGGGCTTGTCGACGCACTCCAGGAGTCAGCTAATAGAGAGTTGGACGAAGGAAGGGATTCATTGGATAATTCCCATTCGTCACCCCGACTATCTGCCGTCACAACGCCAATTCTAGCAACCCCCCAGCCAGAGCTGGAGAGAAGGACATCTTCGGTTGATATAAGCGGGATGGTAGATGACCCTAGCCAGATAGAAAAAGCGAAGCAAAGGAAAACCGCCCTAGTGGAGGCCATTAGAAAATTCAACTTTAAGCCAAAGAGAGGAATCAAGGAGCTGATAGAGAAGGGTTTCATTAAAAGCTCCTCTCCCCAACATATAGCGGATTTCATCCTCGTCAATACCAACTCGCTTGACAAGAGGACCGTTGGGGAATATCTTGGTGAGGGGGACGCGGAGAATATCGCTACTATGCACGCATTCGTAGATGCGATGGACTTCTCAAGAATGCGATTCGTAGATGCTTTGCGGAAATATCTGCAGGCTTTCAGATTACCGGGGGAGGCCCAGAAAATCGATCGCTTCATGTTGAAATTCGCGGAGCGATACATATCTGGGAATCCAAATGCTTTCGCGAACGCTGACACAGCATATGTCCTAGCGTATTCCGTCATTATGTTGAACACTGACCAGCACAGTTCAAAATTGAAGGGAAAGACACGGATGACTCCCGATGACTTTGTCAAGAACAATCGCGGTATCAACGATAACGCAGATTTGCCGGAAGAATACCTGCTTGCTATCTACGAGGAAATCCGAACAAATGAAATTGTTCTTGAGGGGGAAAGGGATCCATCAAAGATGGATTTAACGGTACAATCGGCGGGTGGAATTGTTGAAGGAATTGGAAGAGTGCTCGCAAATGCCGGGAGGGATCTCGAGAGAGAAGCATATGTACAGGCAAGTGAGGAGATGGCAAATAAAACCGAAGTAGGTAACTCCAAACTTTTTAATGGCTGAAATAACTTAACTCATGGAAATTGTAGCAATTATTCAAGACCTTACTTCGCGCTCAACGGCGAGGAGGCGCAAGGCCTGGGTTGTCAAAATTTATTGCTGCTTCTTCATCAAAGCATGTAGGACCTATGTTTGAAGTAACCTGGATGTCAGTACTCTCTGGGCTTTCTGGAGCTGCTCAAGATTCAAATGAAACCGAGACGATCCGGTTATGTATGGAAGGCTTCAAACTTGCCATTCGAGTAGCATGTTTCTTCGACCTCGAAACTGCAAGAATCGCATTTGTTTCTGCACTCGCCAAGTTCACTCACCTTAGCAACTTAGGTGAGATGAAGTCGAAGAATGTGGAAGCTCTCAAGGTTCTCTTGGAAGTTGCCCAGAGTGAGGGAAATCTTCTCAAGAGCTCATGGAGGGACGTCCTGACCTGTATCAGTCAGCTTGAGCGTTTCCAGCTTATCAGCTCTGGCGTGGACGAGGGGTCTGTACCTGATGTTACAAAGGGAGGGATCGTTCGCCCTGATGGCATTGAATCTTCAAAGTCATCACGCCCTTCAATGCAATCTACAAGACCGCGTCCGCGACAACGAGCAACTATCAGCACCCATTATCAGGCTGAGGTTGCGGAGGAGAGCCGGTCGAGAGAGGTCGTCGTTGCCGTGGACAAGATTTTTGCCAACACAAGCAAGCTAGGCGGAGAAGGAATTGTACACTTTGTGCGGGCTCTGAGTGAGGTTTCATGGCAGGAGATCCAATCTTCAGGACAGAGCGAGCATCCCCGAATGTTCAGCCTACAAAAGCTCGTTGAGATAAGTTACTACAACATGGGAAGAATCAGGGTGGAGTGGAGTAATCTTTGGAATATCCTCGGGGAACACTTTAATCAGGTTGGTTGGGTCCTATAGTCGGATATTTGGGCTGTGCTAACCGCCAAACAGGTTGGTTGTCACTCGAATACCAGCGTAGTGTTCTTTGCCTTGGACTCGTTGAGACAACTGTCGATGCGATTTCTAGAGATTGAAGAACTCCCCCATTTCAAATTCCAAAAGGATTTTCTGAAGCCCTTCGAACATGTCATGGCGAATAACCAGGTGGTGCCTGTTAAAGATATGGTGAGTCCTATAAAACCACATGTGCTGCTGCCTTCAACTAATTACGAGCGGTTATATAGGTCTTAAGATGTTTGAACCAAATGTTACAAGCCAGGGGCAATAACATCAGGTCCGGTTGGCGAACAATGTTCGGCACATTTACCTTTGCAGCAAAAGAGAATTATGGTAAGCCCAATGGCAACCTATCGTATCGAAATACACTAATTTTTCGTAGACCAAATCGTGAATCTAGCTTTCGAAAACGTCCGTAAAATCTACAGCAGCCGTTTCGGTGTTATCGTTGGGCAGGGAGCCTTCGCGGATATGATCATTTGCCTGACCGAGTTTGCCAAGAATACCCGATTCCAAAAGGTGTCCCTGCAAGCCATCGAGACTCTGAAGGGGACAGTGCCACGCATGCTCTCTTGCCCGGAATGCCCTCTATCAGAGAAGGTCAATGGGACTAGCGAAATCGAGGCCACCAATGGACAGCCAAAGAAAGTTATCCGGAACGTTAAAGATGATCCAATGATCAAGTTTTGGTTTCCGGTACTTTTTGCCTTCCATGACATCTTGATGACTGGGGAAGATCTTGAGGCTCGAACACGGGCGCTCGGTTACCTCTTTGATACGCTGGTCAAATATGGCGGCGACTTCCCACCAGACTTCTGGGACACTATTTGCCATGAATTGCTCTTCCCCATATTCATGGTGCTCAAATCTCGGTCTGAGATGATACAGATGAGCAACCAAGAATCTGTTGGCATGTGGCTCTCAACAACCATGATCCAGGCCCTGAGAAACCTAATAGCTTTGTTTACACACTACTTCGAGCTACTTGAGCGGATGCTTGACGGCTTCCTTGACTTACTAGTTACGTGTATCTGCCAGGAGAACGACACAATCGCCCGAATTGGGTCTTCTTGCTTACAACAGCTTATTTTGCAGAGTGTCAAAAAACTCAGGCCTGGACACTGGACGAAGATAGTCAATTCCTTTGTTCAGCTATTCGAGACTACAACAGCGGATCAGTTATTCTCGGCAGCCAGTCAATCTTCTGGGAGAACAGTTAGCGGGTCAAGTATACAGACTGTGACAACCATCCCGGTTAATGACATCAAGGGGCCTACCAACGAGGTTGTAAGCGATGAGGAGACTGATCGAGAGAATTCCTTGAAGATCAATGGCCTTTCGGAGCCTGCCCTGGACGAGGGGGACGAAGAATCTGGCGATAGAGACGCCTCTCCGGAAAATGCAAGAGTTACATTGGGACCACAAGGCTCTGCTCCTAATGTTGATCTAGAAGACTACCGACCGCAACAGCACACCCAACAGCCAGTTGTAACTGCCGCCAGGAGGCGTTTCTTTAACAAGATCATCACCAAATGTGTTCTTCAACTTCTTATGATCGAGACCGTATCAGAGCTTTTCTCCAATGATGCAGTATACTCAGAAATTCCATCAACCGAGCTCCTAAGACTAATGAGTCTGTTGAAAAAGAGCTTCACTTTTGCAAGAAGGTTCAACGGCGATAAAGAGCTTCGAATGAGGCTATGGCGCGAAGGCTTTATGAAACAGCCTCCAAATTTACTAAAACAGGAGAGCGGTAGTGCCGCAACCTACGTTAGTATCCTGTTAAGGATGTACCAGGACGACCAAGTCGAGAGGAGGGAGAGCAGAGGCGCCATCGAGTCTGCCCTGATCCCGTATGTATCCCCCTTCTTCTATCGCTCACCTTCCTCCTGTACTTGATGCTAATGTATGTTACAGACTATGCGTGGATATCATCCGCGGCTACACCATTCTTGATGAAGAAACTCAACAGCGTAACATTGTCGCCTGGAGACCGGTCGTTGTAGACGTTATGGATGGATACACCAATTTCCCTGAAAAGGACTTTGACCGCTATATTGACACATTCTTCCCGCTAGCTGTGGAACTCCTGGGTAGAGAGCCAGGTCCCGAAGTCCGAATAGCACTTCAGAACGTCCTCCGGAGAGTAGGGGAGGTCCGGAAGATGGGTGTGATGGGGAGGGTGAGAGCTAGGGATAGGAGGACCAGTGAGGTTAGTGGAAGGAAGTTGACGTAGTTAATGTTTATTTGTTTAAAAAAAACCCATAGAGTAACTTTCTTGTCTTCTTGTTTTTTTTTTTTTTTTTTCTTCACCCCTACCCTCAACTATTATTTGGTTTTCTCAAGAGATATTGCTTTTTGATTATTATTTCACTATTCCCTTTCTACTTTTTAGGCTCCATTCGGCATGTACCAGTAAAAAAACCACTGCTTATTCCTTATTTTTACATTTGGGCTTGGAAAAGTCACCGGGGTTGTGGGGTTCTACAAGTAGTATGATAATTCAATCTGTTAAAAATAAAAAAAAAAGGGAAGGGGACTGTATCTACTGCAACCCTGTAGAGCTTCGTGGGGCTGGGTAAATGAATACTCTAATTCCCCACGTTCATGCTACAATAGTGTACAGTGCCACAGATTCGACGTTACCACCACTGCCCTTACTTATCCCCATCGCTACCATATTGCAGTCCTTCCACTGCCGCGCCTTGGTCTGCGCTTCAGCTCTCCCCCTCAACACCACCGCGCTCCCAAACCGCCGAACCAATAACCCTTCTAACCTCCCTTGCAACCTCCTTCTGCGCTTCCACCAAACCACCACCACCAGGTGAACCCTCCCCACCCATTCCATCAGCCACCGCAATCGTCTTCACCAAAGTCTCATTTCTACACCGCCACCATCAGCCAACCACTCCCTCAAACCAAAAACAAAAAAAAAATACAAACAAACAGAGAACAAACATAACCCTCAACGTCCCCAAACTTTTCCTCAACTCAACAAGTATCTCTTTCTGCGTTTGCGTCAGCGTTTCCTCCCCTCCGCCGCCACCAGCGCTACCACTACCGCATTAGCCAAGCTCGCTCTCACTCGCGCACACTAGAAGGAAAACACACGAAGAAACATTAGCGGCCATGCTCCGGAGAAAACCCACAGCAATAAAATTAACCGTGGACGACCTGTCGATATACGAGGAATTTCGACGGGAGGCGGAGAAGAATGGTGGTGGTGTTAAGGAGGAAAGTGTTGGGCTGGGTGTGAAAGGGAGGAAAGGGGCAGGGAGGGACGAGAGGATTGGGGTTGGAGCTGCTGGGGGTGGAGGAGGGGGGGTGGGAATGGGGATTGGAGGTGGTGGGGGGAGGAATTGATGTTTTTGTTTTTGTTTTAGAAGAGGGTTGGTTTTAGGTTGATCCGCTATTTCGTTGTTAGATGGTGGGGGGGGGGAAGGTTGTCAGGTTGACGAGTGATGATTAATGAATATGGAATGGATATGATAACTTGCGAGGTGTGGTGCGGGGAGGAGGTTATGTCGTTAAGTTAAGCTTTGTCTTTTATTCCCGAGACTACTACTCGCATATCGGACCGTGCCGTACCGGTATCTGACGAGCACTAAAGTATTGTATGCAAATAACATCCTACTCCTACTCGTACATGTATGTACCAGCATGCACGCAGGCTTTCGATGGGGGGTAAATAGGTATGGTAGGTAGATGTAATATACCCAAATACCACCCGATCTGTGCCAAGTGATGGACGGGCTACCTTGCTACTAGCTTTAAGTTACTTAATCCAACTCAATCGCAATACAAATACAAGCACTAATTACCGCAACAATATTATACTTAGCTTGCACTATCGGCATCCTACCGGCAGTCGGAATCGCGGATACTGTATGATATTATCAACCACAACATCATGAAGTAAACTGCAGTACAGCGCAATACAGTACAGAAACGCAATTTCCGTTTGCAATACTCGTTACCAAGGCTAAAAAATCGTATCCAACCCTTTGACAAGCCCCACTAGGTAGGGTATAATACTACCGTCATAATTCAGCTAACCTACCATACAGTTTCATACTGAAAAAAAAAACCCAACTCTTTTTTTATCAAGAAACCCCCCCCGCGCCACCCTCCCCTTTCACATCGTTCCGCATCCCCTCCGACCAAAGTGGTGATTAAAAGGAAACGAAAAAAAAAACTTTGATTTCAAGTACAAGGAAGATAGGAAAGTGGTAAAGAATAAAAATAGAAAGAACGCCCAAGTTCCCAATTTATGCTATGATACCTATTTGCAAAAGTTTGACAATGGAAGGAAGAAAAGAAAAAAAGAAAAATATAAGGAGGAATATAAGAAGGAATATAAGTGGGGAGGCGGAGCCTATTCCGCCATTGGAGCCCTAACGATGGTGACGAAAAGTGGAGAGAAGGAAAAGATGTACAGCGGAGAAATGATATGAAGATGAAGATGAAAAATGAAAAATAGTCGGCTTTAATGATACACACCGTATGAAGCAAGTGAAGTTAAGTAAAGCTAAGTAAGTAAAGGGTAAAGCTAAGCTAAAGTAAGTATCGTAAACGGGAGGTGAAAAACACTCAAAGGACTTTAAAAAAGAAAGAAAGAAAAAAGATCAGGCCGCAATTAATTAATCCCCGCTATGCCCATCCCTCCTCTTTCCCCCACTTTCCTCCCCTAGCCTATGCTTACGCGTTATCACCATTCTGCGGCAACGGCCTTTTCAACTTCAACACGATCTTTGTCGGTCTCTGGGTCGATCCAGCCCCTCCTGCCGCTGGCGAGGCCTTTGGAGTACAAGACGCCGCCGTCTGCTTAGGTCTAGGCGTGGACCCCGAGGATTGCCTCTCTGTCTTGAGTCTCCTGGCAGAGCCCGAGTTGTTACGAGGTCTTGGGTTTGTGACAAGCTTTATTGGGCCAGAGCGAGGAGTTGAGTTCTGTGCGTACGGAGAGTCTTGATGGGTTGAGGTAGCAGGACGTGATGGCGGCGGTTGAGGGCGTGGGGCGTACCAGTTTCGATATTCGCTCTTGATTACCATCCTACACTATATTTCCAATGAAGTTAGTCAGCGGTACTTGTATCTCCTAGGCTAATTACGATGCGTATGAGCGGGGGAACCAACGTTTCCGAGGTGGATGCACTTCAAGGTCTTCGACTTCTGCCTGAGTATAACCACAAGGGATGACTTGGTCTCAAATAGTAGACTGCAGATGTCGAGGAAGTTGCGGACCTCAATAAGGCCAATGTCTGGAGAGCTGCCCAAATTTAGCATCATCGTCCTCAGTAGCTCCGTGACGGTCACTTACATAGCTGCAGCCCACAAAGCTTGCTTGAAAGCTTCGTTGTCCGTAAGTTCCACCTTCAGGTTCTTAATTGCTCCAGCGATTGTCTCTTTGGCAAGCTCACTCCGCCGTTCATGTGACATATCAACCGAATCGTCAACGAAGGTCATCTCTCCGAAGCCAGGATTGGAATTATTATTCACTGGTTTGGTGCTTCCGACAGCAATCATGCCAAGACCCTTTCCGAGTACTTTCCACAGTCGATGGCGCAGGTATGGCGAAGGGTCGGAGCTCATAACTTTGGCCAAGTACTTGACAAACCCAGGTCGGTGCATCGCCCCGAGCTCAACCAGACATTCGAAACACTTGGCTCTCAGAGAATCTAATGTCCCTTCACGGGTGTATGACAGGAAAAACTTGGAATCTTTGTCTTTGATACCCGACAGAATCCAGTCTTTCAGAATCTACCCCCAAAGTCAGCTATATTCACATTGCGCTTTTGCATCCAGTCAATGACTACCTCGACAGCTGTCTCAGATAGGACATTCTGATATACAGACTGCCACTTGTCTATGCGGAGATATCGCTCAATCTCGTTGATCGACTCATTTTGAGTCTGAATAGCTTCCTCATCCTCATATCCGGAATCGTTATTCAAATCAAACTTCGTAATTGTGATAGTATTGGCAAGTGCTTTCATCAACGTTGCAATGTATAAACAATCGTCATACTGTTAAAGCACTTGTCAGCTCCTAATATAAGTGCCATCGCCAAACAATCACCGGCTTACGTTGTTATTATTGTTATCGTTCCAACGCAACACATCCAGAATCCAGCGCTGCGCAGATGTTGGACAAGCACCAGACACATTTCTTATGCGTGACACCGCCGTGGGAATCGCTTTTTGAACATAGTATGCAGTCGCATCCGCGAAGTCGTTACTTTTGGGTACCGAAGATTCCGGAAAACAAAAGAACACCTGGAAAGCCTTCATCAAATGGAATTGGCCTATCCAATTGAGCTCCGCCGTGGCACACTGAGTCAATTAGCAAGCAGTTCTTCTCCTCCCCCCCCAAAAAAGGATGGCAAAACAAACCTTTGCGAGCCCCATCGCTGCCTCAACGCGTATGGCCCAGTAGTACCTTCGATCCATCAAGGTTCTGACAAATATTGAAGAAATCAAGGCTGACTCTTTGACACTCGAGAAATATTGCAATGCCTAGAAAATTTAGCTACCATCAGCCAATGCATCCAAGTCATGAAATAGATATCATACCTCATACTGTGCGATGACATCCCTGTCTTGCTGCAACTGTGAGAGAAACATGTAGTCTGGCTGGTTGACCTTGAGAGTACATATCCACTCGAAATCTGCGTCCATGCGTATCCACTCGAAGGACTCCTGAGCCATCTTGTCTTCTTCCTCCTTTGACCAATCTTCCATCTTCCAATCGACAACCTCATCCTCAGCCTGTAGGACATCGCCGAGACAGTAGAGCAAAACATCGTCATTCTGTGCATCTATGCTAACGTCCACACCAGCTCCAGCAGCAGCCCTCTCTTTCTGTCGTCTGGAACGTTTTAATCGCTTGTACTTAGTGTTGTACGGTATATCAAGCTTTGTATAACCCTCTTTGATGTCGACAACGTGCTCATATGGGGTTCCATCCGCCTCATGAATCCGAATAGTCATTGGTCCAGTATAGACAGGCCTTGTAGGACCAACAACAATATGGCGCTCGTGATTCATCGCGTCCTGCATAAAGTTTTCAGCCGTCACTCGTGCGGCCGGAGTCTCCGACGACTGCACCTGTCGAATACCCATCTCTACAATCATCCTCTTCTTATTAAAGCGCTGGGAGACTTCAAACCGTGGATAACCAGAACCGTATACCCACTGCTGAAAGAAGGATTCGAGTTTGGTGTGACTGTTCTTCTCACACAACCGGGTGAAATGTTGAGTGCTCATTAAGCCATTCTTCAAATCGCCTGCAATTGCTCCAAGAAAGGTTTTTCGAACCACGCGGTGCAATACCATTGAGGAGCTAACCTTCCACAATCGCTTTTCCAATATCGTCAATACAACTGGCGCCTTAAGTTTGATAAAGTCCAGGGCGGATGGCTCAATTGGGACTTGGAATCCTTGAGCGTAGAGGGATGGTCTTCCGATGTCCAGTTCGCAGATCTTCTCCGCATCTTTCTTGAGGTTGAACCGGTACCAGTTATTACCCATCAGGGTCTTCAGAAAACAGTTGGCCATCCAATATGCCATCCCAACAATAACCCATGTATCAGACCAATCCTTTGGAACTACATGAACCCCGGCCCATTGTGCGGCAAGCGAGTATGTAAGTGTTCGAGTAACTGGCTCAATAGGGTCGATCAGGCTCTCCGGGAACAAGAGGCGGTTACTGCATATTACCAAAGAGGCCGACTCGGTGGTATCACAAACGAGGTCGTCAACGAAACAAAGGTTGAATGATTGGAAGACGTATTGGCCGAACTCCTTGAACATATAATCGAGGGCCTTATATCCCGTTAACACACTAGCCAACACCACTAGATATCATAAGGAGGGTGTATACTCTTGGAATGAACATGCATGTGCTTCTGAGCTCTGCTTCCCGGCTAGGAAGGCAATAGCCCATCACATCCACAATCATAATTCCCATAGCTTCCTCGGCCTCCACATCACGGTACTCGGAGAGATTGACACGTTCGAAGGGACCTACGGCAATTGCGATATGTTGAGGAGATACAGCCACTGTCTGCTCGAACTTCCAGGTCTTCTTCCAAGGTTTGTCTCCGTCAACCTTCACAAAATCAGCAACTATACATGCCCAGCAGACTAAAACCTCCTAAACAAACCTCGTCTTTTAAATTTGCGCTGCATATGACAATAATATCGAGATCATTATCATCGTCAAGCGTTTCATCAACATCTTCGTCAGAAGTATGATTGCCATTAACACCGTTAATCCCATTAGGCAGACCGTTAGTCCCATTAGCCGTCGCATTGGTATCTCCCCTCTTCTCTTTAGTCTCGGACAAGTTCCCTTTCGGAATATCCCCAAGAGTCCTCGGTGCTGTGATCTCAAGTTCCCATGTCCACCGTTCATGAATACCGTCGAGAGTAGGGAAAAGGCCGCAGGCAGTTCCAGGGAGAGGCGAATGTGTTGTATAGGCGTGTGGGTATCGCATATCCCCTAGGTTACAGCCAACAAAATTGAACCCATCCCTGATGTTTTCAACAACAAACTCAATCTTAATAGTTAGAGGTGCGAACGGGCTAAGTGAATTGTCTGTCCGGGATGTAAGCAGTGACGAAGTCATTATCCCAGTAGCCGCATTCGTAGTAGCATCTAGAGAGTCCGCCTTGAATTGCCCCGTTGGAGGCTTTGGAGTTGACGAATGTTGCACGCCCGGAGTGAAATATTCCTTCCCGAGAGCAAACCTGTAAGCAATCGAGCTACTGTCGAGCTTCCGGAGGTTTTCCAGAATTCAGAAAGATTTGATAGAATTAGACTTACTATGGGCTCGATCTTAACCCTGGAAGGTAGGTTGATTACAAGTTCATGCTCAGGAGGGTCGTGTAGCACTGCATCCAACTTCTTCCGGTATTGGTGATGTTGGTGCACGGTAGAAGTCTCATGCATCTTAAAATTCTGGTATGGATCAGTATGTTGTGTAGCCGTTGCTCTTCCGTTAACATAGCATCTAGTAATCCCTACAAAATCGCACCAGAACATTAGCTATCTTGCAGAAGGCCGAGGTACCGCAGAAGCACTTACTGCACTGTCTGCAGTTCAATCTAAATTGTCGCAATGAAGCATCTGTTGGGTAGACCGTGATTTCGGACCATCCCTTGTATAACCGTCAGCACAAATGTTCCGCGCCAGAGGGGAGTCTTTTCAAAGCGCATTCCCGTACCTTCAACGTCTTGCTCGCCATGTTAACATCCAATCCGACCTTCTGATGGCCTGTGCAGGGAATTGTCAGCTTCTCCATCGTGACGTCTTGGGTTGTTGGTTGGAGAAACTTATATGTTAAATCCCCGGCTATAGAAAACAGGTGGATGTGGTGGGGGGGGCGCCTGGGTCGACTGTGAACCCAGGTTTTGTGAGTGCCCAGTGGCGCTGGGCTCTGTAGCGGCGGGCATCCTGGCGCTAGGTTTGGAAGCAATTATGGCACTGACCTTGAAGACTGTTTTTTGAGTTGTCGAATGTTGGTTGTGGGGCAGAGTGTTGGTTGGGTTGGAGGAGGAGAGAAGGAAACAAGCAAGGGAAAAGGTGATGACTTTTTTTTCGACTCCTCCTAAGCCCTGATGCTCAGGGCTTGCATCCTATGTAGACCCTCCTCTCCGGAAAAAAAAAATATAGAATATAGAATCTATATTATAATTGTAGTGTAGGTTCTGGTGCAGTAAAAAAGAAAGAAGGAAAAAACCTCTCCCCCGAACCTACTCCTGCCGCTTATCCTTCCTCCTCTTAAACGTCCCGGTGAGCTCGACCGTGAAGAGCACACCCCGACGAAAAATAAATTTCAGTATGAATCCCCCCTGCTGCTTTTCCCGGCCTCGTAGCCCGAAATTTCCCCCACTAGCTCGAACTTGCCCCCAAACCTATCGAAAGTTGGCTCCAACCAACTTCACGGTGGAGCCTCCCTCGCGCGCGCGTCAAGCAGCTGTGTCGCCCGCGATACCGAACGCCTCCCAACCTACAGGAGCTAATGTCGTCGAATGGGATCACGAAGGGTTGGCAAAATGTCGAGTTTGTGCTGACGACGTTCAAGCAGACGCGGTAAGGTCAAAGGGGGGAGATGGACCGGCGGGAGATAGCGGCGGGGGGAAATGTAATAACGGGCGCCGTAGTGGATGTGCGGGAGGGGGTTTTCGAGTTGGCTCAAGTGATAATCGGGTCGTCGTCGGTGCTTCGTTGATTAGTTGTATTCTTTCGGGGAGGGCGATGTTGGTATACCGCTCAGTCAGAGAGCGTCATTTGAGAATGCAGCGCCGGCCGTCGATACAGAAAGGTTGTGAAGTCGGTTAACGCTTTCATACTAACTATATCTGGTTTAGACTCTCTTGGCAGAGGTACAAGGCTCAGACTCTTTTGGCAGAGGTACAAGGCTCACAGGTGATTAATCTAGCTCAAGCAACAGGTACTCGACCGTGCCACCAAAGTATTGGAAAAATTAATAACGGGAAGCAAGAATCGCCATAGAGAGATTCAATTCATTTGGAGACCCACAAGAGGCATTTCACGATATAAATAACCAAGTGTATATCTGATACGAGTACCCGTGCTTGTAGACCCCTCTCTCACTTCGGAGGCACATTCGGACACATCTTCCTGCAGTCACAATCGAAAAACCGTTTTTGTCAAAATTGTCATGATATTCAACCCGCAGGATCGATTTTCGACGAATCAATTATGGGCTTTAAACAATTGCTACCTATTTTCTTAATCCAGGCAACAAAAGTTCCGAATTACCCGTACTAGCCATGCATGAGTGAAGGCTCCCCTCCCCTAGCGACGCAAGGAGCAAGCAGAGTACATACATATGCCACTTAAAAAAGTACAAGTACAAAAATACAAACCCTCGCAATGCAAAAAAGCGTTGACTCTCGCCAACCCAAGTACTACCTACCCAGAAAGAGGTGGGAAGAATGAAAAAAAGTAAACCTCGAAAGAAAAGATAGACAGATGGAAAGGATGGAAGAGAACCCAAGCTGCCTGTACAAAAGAAGCAGAACCCGCTGAAGGAAAAAACAATCCGTGTATCTTTTAAGTAAAATAGAAAAGGAAACAAGGAAAAAGATACATGGGAAGCTACAAAAAGAAAAAGAAAAGGGGGAAGAAGAGTAGGACGGTACGCCAATCGCCAGAAGTACCATCACAAAACTATGTTGTGACGGATAGAAGGAAACCTTATAATACATAGAACAACATGGCGAGGATGCGCCCGGGGTTTAGTACTTGGGCTATCGTGAAACCCTTCTGCGAGCTCTTGTATGCCTTGCAGCGGCATTAAGAATCTCATCTGGCAGCTTGAACTCCTGAGATTCAGGTTCTGGCAGAGGTTGGCCAAACGCTGATAGGTTTCGTCCCGCCCTCCTCCAACCACTGACGGCAGCTTTCCGGTCGTGTGGGTTTTTGTAGAATGAGGTGAAAGGTTTTAGTTCTGGTTTAGGAACAATAGCGGGTACCTTCTTTGGCTTTAATTGTTTAGGTTTCCGTCGACGTTTTTTGACAGTGTTGGGCGGATAATCTATTTCATCGCCCGTGGTCCCTCCGCCACCACCAGCACTTGCTTCACGGCCTGATTCGTCCTCGTCATCTTCATCATCGAGAGGAACTTCGTAGTCTTCGGTGGAACTCTTCCGCGTCTCCACATCCATGCTACCCACAGGGCTCGCACTGGCCCTTCCACCCTTAGCTATCCGCCGTCTTCTCTCCTCCTCCTTACAAGTGTTGTATCTTATTAACATCGCCTCGAGGTCTTTGATCATCGCGGCCCTTCTCTTTTCGAGTGCCTTCTTGTCAACATCAATGCCAGACGCCACTAACCCGGCAAGACCAAATATCTTCATCCACTCCTCGGATTTAAGATTCGTCAATTTCTTCTCGTACTGGGCCTTCTGAAATACCACCCTCTCACGCTCAAGATTGCGTTGACGCTTCTCTTCTCTGACTTTCCCTTGATGCGGTTTGAGGTACCGATCAGCCGAAAGCGGATCATAGGTATACCTTGTCGGGAATCGGTTCTTGCTTGCTCGGACTTCGGCCTCAAGGTCGATTGTCACAATGGGCTTAGCACGGGGCGAAACATCAATTGCTACAACGGGTGTAGTACGGTTGGGATATGTGAGGTTGTTGACGGACGTCTCTAGAGCACGAGGAGGACTTGTGATATTTGCATCACCAACACCCTCACTCGGTCGATTAACATCGCCAACAGTGCGGTTTTCTGAACCCCCAGCAATGACGTCGCCATTGAAGGTAATCGCTGGGATGTCGCCTTCAATAAGTGTGATTGGTGCGCTCCAGTCGATAGCATCTAGAAAGTAGTTTCCCAATTAGTTTATGTTCAATCAAGACATATGGCACAAGTCTTAAGACATCAATCAAGAACCCCCCATACACCAGACAATCAGGGAGAATGTTGGGAAGCAAAAAAAAAAAAAAAAAAAAAGGAATACCTCTATCTTCTGGCTCCAACCATTCAGCATACTCGGTAAGCTTTGAATCTTGACTTCTAAGGACCCGTTTATCCTCATATTTTTTTCCCTTCTCATCCAGTGAGGAAGCTTGACCCGCATGCTGCTCGGGAGCCGCAGACCTCCGGGCTCTCTTCGGAGGAATTGGCAGATCCCCTTTTCCCCCTCCAACACTCAAACCATTTACACGCTTTCTCTTGGTGGTTTGCGAGCCCGGTGGTTGAAATTTGTCGACTCGCGCCAGAGGTTCGAGGTTATTCGATTTTTTGTTGCGTCCACTAGAAGACTTCAGGGGAGTAGTGCCCCCGTTACGTTTGCTGGTTCGCGTGGCTGCATCGGATTGTCGCGCCATATCGTTTGCTGTTGTATCAGGCTTTGTAGAGTTTGTGGGAATGGTATTCTCAGAGGGAGTATGAGCAGCAGCAGCGGGGACGTGTTTGCTGAGCCGAAGGATGATGTGGGGGACCTTTCGCTTCATTGTTAGGGGGGGATTTCATATTCTCCTATATCCAGTCAATGTAAAGATTTTTCCTTCCTTTCAGGGCTACGCGCGAAAAGAACGGATCATATGAGGGTTCGTCCTTCTGAGGAAAAGGGCCGAAGGCAAATACAGTATTTGCAACACTCGGTCCAGAGTTGTTGCTAAACTTCTGTAGTTATGGCTATTGCGACTCTTCGGGGTCTTTAGAGAACCCCGGGGGGGCTCTTTTCCTTTCAAGACACCCCTAAAAGTTGCAGCAACCGAGAGGCGCGGTTTATCTCCTGCGCTCTCCGTAGAAATAATTATCTAGGCGAAAGAAGGAGAGAAGACAATATAAATGCCCTTCTATGCCTCTATGCTAGATGGTAAAAACATAGAACAGTTGTTTCAATTTGGTTCACTCCTGAGAGCTCATATCATACAACCCTCCGATTCTCAGCCGACGACTCCGTTTTCTAGCCAACCACGAGAATTTTTACAAGCATCGACGCCAAAGAGAGAGAGAGGGGGGGAATTTGGTAGCAATCCCACAGCACGCCACCGGTACGGTACCAGTACAATAGTGCCGTACGAATACGGCACCCGCAGACCGAGAAAGCCGCAACATCTATGATACATGGAAAAACATTATCGGGAATTGAAGAGTAAATAAAATATATCATTAACAAAATAAAAACTGTCTGGTGAACTGGGACTGCAAGGGTAACTTGGGGTTGAAAAAGCCAAAGTGCTCAAAGAGAAGGGAGATATTATAAAGAAAGGCGGAAACCGTATACGGTAGAAGTGCAGGATTTTTTTTCTCTAGTCGTCGTCGGTGCTAAACAAAAAATCCTTCACGAGAGGCGAACCAGCGAACTCAGGATTCAGGAGGATGCACCTTCAACCACCAAATGTCAGCCTAAAAGATATATTTCAAAGGGGAAAAGCATCATATAACGCACGACAAAAAGTACGACAATCCCTGACGCCGTACTTCGAGGAATTTTGGCCGGAATTTTGCTGCGAAATGTCAAACTCGTTTTCGTGTTAAGCGTGTTGCATCATTCGTGGAGGACTCACAAACAACACTCTTTGGCGGCAAAGTGGGTAACGAAGCCAGAGATCTTGGAAAGGTCTCCCGCAGCATGTCCCTTAGGGTTACAAATTCCGAGTATCTATTCCGTTGGCCATGTTAGACATATTTGGCATATTTGTGACAGGAGTGATTAATCTCTATCAATCCTTCTCCCCATAATAGTACTATTATGATCTTTCATTTTTATTTTTATTTCCATTTCTGTATTTTAGCATCGGGCGGCCAACGCACACTGTACTCTACCTTTTGCGAACTGTGAATTGGACCCCCTACACACGATGGCAAGGCAACGTGAGCCCCAAAACCGCACTTGGACTAAGTGAAGGAAGCAAACCTCAAAAGTCTCTATCGAGCAGTTCCACGCAACATAAGCCCCCGCTCTTGTCCTACTCCCAGCAACGATAACATAGTCGACAACTTTCGCACTTCTGGCCCATAGCGAAGGACTGTTCTCACTCGGTGTGATCGTATGATCAATCAGCGTTATAGGCATCGGTTTGAGTGCTTCGCCACCATCTTTATGGAAGCGATCTTCAACGGATCGTATGCGGCTTCTTCCTGAGTGTGATTTCCCTTGGTTCATGATTGCGAGGGATGCTGCTGTTGTTGGCACCAGAACATGGTGCGATAGGGGAGCTGTCGTGGAAATTATGTAGGGTTAAAAGGGATCGATATCGGCCAGTATAGAAAGTCTTGTAAGTTAAAGGTCAGTTGTTACGTGGGGGGTTACGGGGGCGGGGGCGGAGCACTCTTAAAGTTGTGCATTGTACTCGAGTACAAGTGCTAGTACTTATACATACCATAAATTCCATACTGACAGGTAACCCGCGATTCAGAAAGCGAATCGGATCTCCAGTGAGCTCTGACACCCTGAGTTCTAAAAAATGCAGCCCAATGAATAAGTCTACTTACGGTATTCAGCGGGCTGGGCCCGGGAAGGAAGATCCAGATGGAATTCAATAACTCAATACAGTATCCCAGTTCGCCGACCCGGGAACAACGGATGGAAGAGGCAACACAGCGCTGAGAACGACTCGGGTGAGGGACGTCTGTAGCCGGAGTGCTTTGCCAAGAAAATATAGCCCAACTTCAATCCCCAAAGGATTTTCAACAGCCACTCCCATGAGAATTATGGCTCTATTAGGTGATGAAGTAGGTGGTTCTATACACATTAATGGAGAGAAAATAAAAACATCTCAAGTTTTTGTGGAGATGTTAGAATTTAAAAGCGGGTTGAACTTTGGCTAAAGCCAGAGAATGTTTGGGACATGTTGATTACCGTTAACTTTTCTTGGCATAGACAGTTAATGAGCTATTTTCAAGGGATTAACCTATATTAACGCCATGATTGGCACATTAAAAATCTATTATCCAACCCCTGCACGTTCCGGCCATAAGAGGTCCCTCACCGTAGAGAGGCATGCACACACACGTACACCAGAAGTGGGCAAGTGTAGAAATGGCCGTTAGCAAGCCCCGAGAAGAAGCGAAGGGGGGTGTGAAGGGTTGCCAAGTCCACTTTTGATTGGAGGGATTTTTCAATTCACTGCAAAAGTCAAAGCTACAAGCACTGTGGACGGGAAGTCTCACGAAAAGTCCCCCCCCCCTGTTCTCTGGATTGTTCCCCCAGTGTTTTCCTACCTTTCCTTTCCTCACCTTAGACGCCTCACTCCATCTTCGACCTCCTTCTTTACCCTATTCCACCAGATACCTGTAGTACCGGTACCAGTAGTAGTAACTTAATAATTCGTCCACTCGTTCCTCCACTTATTAAACAATCTTTTGCACCACCTCTTCTCTTCTCTTCCTTTTCTTCCCCTCCTCGTCCTCTTGCTCAGGCTCGACATCTCACACTCGTTTAGAGAACTACTCCCATTTAATAACCCCCCTTCACGATAATCACAATATTCTCTCTTGTAAGTGTACCGGTACCCCTATTCCCTTACTCCCCTCTATTTGAACCTCTTGATCACGGAGGAACGCGGAACCATTGCTAATTAATTTTTCTACCCCTACCTTACAGGCGAGTCGACAATTCCTCTTAGAACAAACAAACGCCGAAATTCAAAATGAAGTCATTCGTTCTTACCGCTTTTGTTGTCGCCTCGTCTGCCCTGTCTGTGTCCGCACAGGTGTATCCTCCTTTTAATGTCACTGCTGTGTAAGTCTACTATCAGATTGCTATTAGCTATACCTCGGATACGACTAATACGAATCTTGTTACTAGCCCGGAGGCCGAAAGGATTCAGTGGTGCAAAGCCCAGACCGCTGCATGCCCTCTTTTGTGTGGTGATCAGGATAAGACTGCTGCGCAGAACAAGTGCTTCCCAGTGAGTTGCTGCTATTGTTCATAAATCCTCAAATATAGTCTTACAAATTTCTAGGATAATCTCTATTTCACTTGCGTTTGCAACGACGGCACCTCGCCCAATTTGACCGAGTAAACTTTTCTTCCTTTCAACCATTCAAGGGTTTGCTAAGAATACATAGCTAATTATTCACTCCAGGTACTCTCAAACTATCCCTTACTTCCGCTGCCAGGCCGAGGTCAAGGGTTGCTCCGATGCCTGCACCGGTAACTCGAAATGCCAGTCCGCTTGTACCGCGAATAGGCCATGTGGTGCCACCGATCCTCAGCGTCTCAATACTTCTACCATCACCAGCACCAAAGGTGCCTCGAAGACTTCCTCGCCCACAGGGCTCATCACTACCACAGATGCCAATGGTTTTGCTGTCACTGGTACTGCCGCAGCTGGTTCATCCGGATCAAACAATGCCGGAAGTCTTATGATGGAGGCTGGTAGCGCATATGGGCTGGGATTCGTTGCTGCCGGTGTTGCCATCGGAGCTGCCCTTATTGGTGTTTAAGTTCTTGTGGAATGGTAGAGAGTGTGGTGGAAATCAGGGTCGGCGTGGTTTGATATAATGGCATGAGCAAATAATTCTCTTTGATGTTTCTGGCTTTATACTCTTCGTGATCATATCTTTTTCCTTTTAATGTCTTTTTCTCTCCAATATTTCTAAGCTTTAAAGTTCCAGATCATTGAGCAGAAGCATCGCATGCTATTTTTTTTCCCTGCTCTCGGTTTTTTTTTTTACTACTAGTATGATACCTCATAGTCATGGAGCAGTTTTTTTTTTTCAAAAAGGGCATATATTTGGACAAACGTGTCAGCTCCATGAGTGTGGTAAAGCGGATACGTCCGGACCGTTTATTGTACAAATTTGCACATTGTGAGGGTGATTTGATTCGCTAAGTTACTTTGATCTTTTTCTATCCAACGACAAAAAACTGCCACCTTAAAGTCTCGGAAAAACTCTTCCCGCCCGCCCGACCTCTTGCGTTTGGAGCTCCAACGGAAAGACGGAAAGAACGGCAACCAATCCCATTTCCGGGCGGTGTGGTTGATCTGCAGCAGGAATCAGTGCAAGTATGATTTGATGTTGCGGCCCTCACCCGCCCCTATGTTTTCAGTCGCTCACGACGTCCTATCAAACGAGCATGTGCCATGGGGATCTTCGGGCTGGCACGGCTATCACAATATCATGGTGGTATGATAGAAGCACGGCAGAACGAAACGACAATTTATCCATTCCATTCCACCAGGGGGCCGAAAATTCCTCCCAGGCCGTGTAACCAATATGCTCATCCACTGGCGTGTTCATAAGTATGATATGATACTTGGAAGTCAGATGGCGCAAGTTATCGTGGCTGGGGACAGGAGGTTGGGACCGTGGAACGCGAGTGATTGCCAATGACCAAGTATTAGTTTAATTAAATTTTATGATAATTCAAACTATGATACGATATAATAGTTAATTTTTTAAGTATGTATCAATCCATCCATCCATCCATCCATCATCCATCAGAGCACCATTCCTTCATTCGTCCTATGCCACCCCCATCCCATCCCATCCCAAAAGAAGAGAAGGATTACAAGACAAGACCAGCCATGCATGAGGAAAAGGAAATGCGAAAAAAATGGAAAAATGGAAAGGAAAAGAAAAGAAAAAACTCCAAAACCTATCAATATCCTAGCCTACCCTGAACACCGATATTCTGTTATTTTTTGTAGTTTGGTTGTTTGGTGATTTTTGTGCGCTGAGGGGAGAATAGGAAAAGAGAATGCAGGCATGAGTAAAGAAGTGGACCGGTAGCCCGAATGTAAGGGATAAGAGGGTAAGGTTGATTATACACTCCCCACCTGACCAGCGCCTACGAATTCCTTTACCGTTTCGTTCGCCCCTTCCTTTGCTACGCCTGCTTCTGTGGGCAGTGGTGGTGGTGGGGATAACAAAGGGAGAATGGTAGCGGAAGTAGGAGCAGAATCGACCTTCTCCCTCCTCACCGGCTCCGGGGGGATGGCGGTGGGGAGGGGGTGGATAACCTCATGCTAGTCGGGGACTGCGGGGCCTCAGTCGTCGTTGCAGACATCAGAGAGACGGCTTTTGAGACTGATCCCGAGGACGGGAGTGGGGCTGAAATTGGGTCCTTTTCTTACACAATTGTTAGAGAATCACGCATACATGAAAGATTTTAGGAGGAGGGGCTCACAGGGGAAGCAGCCAAGCCCCTCTGCAACGCAAGTTTCTTCGCCGCTCCCCGCTTCCTCTCAATCTCCGATTCTTCGTATTCTCGGGCGGTTTGTTCTTCAAGGCGCAGTGCATCGTCGTCCGATGGTAATGGCGGGGATGGGGATGCCTCGTCCCGGGAGCGGACAACGACCAGGTCGCCACCTGTGCTATTACCAAGGAAGTCATCACTGATAGGGATTGCGTCGTCGTCGTCCTCGCTAGGCCATAGGTCCCCCCGACTACGCAGGCTCTCGCCGGCGCTCTCGCCGGAGCTATTTGTGGCGCTGCGTTTTCGTCCCCTTCCAGCCCCTCCTCTCCCACCCCGGATGCCGGGGCTGGTGGAGCGGTTCCGACCAGATTCCTCTTCTACGGCCGTCAGGCCGGTGTGGCGTTGTGGGTGTTCTTGAAGGTTCGCGGCGGAGGGTTTATATCGCAGGCCGCGGCCACGGAAACTTGTGAAGCGGGCTAGGAAGCCGAACATACTTGTTGTGGGAATCACCGTAGGATCTGATTCATTCGATAAATTGCACTTTCTCTTCCCACCGAGAGCTCCAACGGCACTTGTTGATGCTGAAGATCCGTAGTACATTCCCCCTCCAGCCCGATACCCGCTACTACTACCACTTCCACCACCTCCACAATCTCCAGCTCCACTGCCAGCTAGTAACCGATCTAACTCGTCATTCCCCCAGGCCAGAAACCCACCACCCCGTCGAGACGTCTCCTCATCCGAGTAATCGTCGTAATCGTAGAACCCAAAAGGGTACTCGCTGCGCCTGTGGTGTGCATTGTGTGGCCGTTGCCGGGGTAGACAATTTGATAAGGAGGCTAGACAAGGGTCCAAGTATGACTTTGCAAACGTGAAGCAGCCCGTGCGAGCGTTGTCCGATGCGTTCTCGAGAGAGGTCGAGATGCGGTTTAGGGACTGGCGGATGCGGGGGTCTGTACGCATTTTGACTCTTCTTTCCTTCCTTCCTTGCTTTCCCCTTTTTTTTTCCTCCCGATTTTAGATGTGTGTGTGTGCCGTATCTCGATCGACGATGGATGAACGGAAGAGTGGTGGGAATACCGGTAGCGGCGGCGGCCGGGGGTGATTGTTATTTTCTTGGGGGGGTTGCTCCAATCGGGAGGAAGGGGGGACGGTGGTGGTTGGTTGGTGGATAGTTCTTTGGAGCGAGATTTTTATGGATTATTAGCCGTGCTCTCGCCGCCCTGTGCTGCTGTGTCGGACAACTTGATCTGAGTATAAGTTACCCGCGTCGTTGGGATGGTCACCGGCTAAGGGTTACTGCTGAGGATGGCACGTCCAATGGGGGAAGCACAAGGGGGTCGATGCTCGAGTTGGGAGTTTTGAAACCAAACTGTCAGAAAGAACAAGAATGAAAAGAAAAGAAAAACAAGAAGGAAGGATTAAATCTCGTCGTCGTTGATGATGATACCGTAATTAATAGTAAGGCCAGTAGCAGTAAGGTTCAATGGTTCGCGAAACCGATGTTCTCTCATCACCATCATCATCACCATCTTCATCACAAAGTATTTTTGTTGAGGCTGAAAGGAGGAAAAATAAAATAAAAAATACCCAGCTGAATGAGAAGGGAGGGAGAGCGGGAGGGAAAGGAAAGAGAAAGAAGGGTCGATTATTTGCATGGATTGGTTCGAAACGCATGTATGTAAGCGAAGCAACCGACACCTTCCATTCATTTCATTCCGGAAAATAAACTGGCGTGGCCAACCCAACCAACCAAACAGCACAATGTCATGATGCACAAAGCCTGAAGGCGACAAACAGGTTGGGATAAGGCTACGGGTAAGTCCCTTCATTATGATACAAGATGTCATAAAAGAAAACCTCCTAAACCCCGTTACCTGGAACCTTTTTCTTTTTTTCTTTCTGCTTTTTTCAATCCGTCACATCATAATTATCACATCATAATTATCATAGAAAAAACCTCCCTACTGTAATTTGCATACCTCCCTCCCTCCCGTCTGTACTAATACTCGAGTAGTTAGTCTACCATGGCCCGCACTATTCTCGATTCATAGATTTGAGCCCTCGATCCTCGATAGCTGGCAGCTTGTTGATAAGGAAGAAGCAAATAGTGCAGTGCCGTATTACTGTACTAGTATTAAAGTACCGTATGGTTGCGGCGGGACGAGCGACTCCGAGATGGTAGAGATAGATATTGTATCATACCCAGATAAGTAAGCGTACCTAGTTTTCGGCCACCACAACAACCGGTTCCACAACGAAACACCATTCAGAAAACATCGCATCTAACCACCACAACATGAATACCAAGGAGGAATCAATCATCCTAGCCCTAGCAGCCATTGAGAATGGTATGTCCGAGAGAAAAGCAGCAAAAGAGTATGGTATTCCTCGTACTACATTCCAAAATTGTCGTTCTGGAGGGTCCACCGTACACTCTGGACATCATCATCAACAATGCTTCTCCCCTGACCAAGAAAGTTGCTTATGTGACTGGATTATAGACCAGGAAGCATGTGGCTATGCTCCATCACATGCTAGGACAAGAGAAATGGTGACTCTGGTGCTTATCATGGCAGGAGACACTGAGGCACTAGGGAAGAAGTGGATTCCTCACTTTATGAAGCGAAACCCCCGTATCGCAAGTTTGATTGGCAAGCCAATTGATTCTGCTCATATTCGGAGAACCCAGCAACACCATATTCTCGAATTCTATGAACGGTTTGACACTATTCGTACCTGTCATAATACCCAGCAAGTCGATATTTTGAATATGAATGAGCACGGAATTGTCTAAGGTGTCTGTTCCAACTCAAACTCCTAAACATCCTCACGACATTCATTATGCTGTCCAAAAGCTTGGCCCCCTCACATGTGATCAGCGAACTGTTTTTCAGAAGGCTTAGAAAGTCCTTGGTGAAGTCACCGTATAGCATACCCTACTACATGCCACAAATCAATGCCTACAACTACAGTTAAATGAGTTGGAAAGTAAGAAGAAAAAACGAAAGGTTATTCTAGATCCAAATACTATGTTTGTAAATGTAGAAAGCAGAAAAAAGTCATTGGAGGAGGCAGAGAAGGCTCGACAGGAGGCAGAGATAGAGAAGGCTAGAATTGCAGAAAAAAGGGCTCAGGCAAAGGTAAAAGAACCTTCAGCAGAGGTGACAGCATTAAACACCTCTAGAACTTTGCAAAAAGCCCAAATGGAATCATGTATGTTTCAATGGGAGTTGTAAATTAGAAATACTTTTACTCTGAGCGGGAGTGCCAAGGTGGCCGAAAACTAGGTACGCTTACTTAGTATAATCCCAGATTATTCCAGCGAGATCTAACTTGGGTCCTTGGGTCCTGTTTTCCTCTCTTTCCTCCTCATTTTACTGTATGGTATTCAAGCGTGGTACGGGTACGTAGGTGAGTATCATACCATGTAGCATGTATAGTCCATACTCGACGGGATCGAGGAACACGCGCTGTAATTAAATCTATGGGAGGAGAGATACTAGTGGTCATGCTTCGCATGATAGCTGGTAGTCCGGGTCAATAAGGCTCAATTGAGGAGGAAGTTGGAAGGAAAAAAAAAAAAAAAAAGGCCCAATATCGACAATTTACCGTTTCAACCTCACTGCTGTTCTATCTACTGCTACACCTAATACCGGTATGCACACCTCCGATCAGAAGACAAAAAAGAAAAAGAAAAAAAGCGTTCCAGATTGACTTTCAGTGGACAGACAGCTCAGACACACTGTCAATCTGTCCATTGTATAACATTCACAATACCGATGGAAAGAAATTTTAAAAAAGCCCAACTTACAATATCATGCCTCTTCTCGCGTCTTTATTTATTTAGAATATTATCATAATGGTATACAATACAATATTATGGTACTCCTGGTCAACTAGTCCGTCTCCTCCCTTGATTTGCGATTGCCGATAATGAGCGCCCGAGAAGACGCACAATACTCAGGGATAAGTTTTTTTCCTTCCCCGCGCTTTCATTAACTATTCAATGCCTTACATGCCAACACCCAGATAGAGGGGATCTGGAAGGAAGAGAAGAAAAGAAGAAAAGAAGGGAGTGGGAAAATCGGAAAAGTGGGAAGAGGAAAGAGGTTCAGAAAGGGATGCTAAGGGCATAGGGGAATACGGCAGCTGATGGAATGGATGGATGGATCGGGGCAGTGTTGTAACGAGGAAATGCGAACCTGGTGAGTAACTTAGCTGAAAAATAATTACCATATCGTACCAAAACAGGAGCCGAATAGAAACGGGCACGGAGGACAACCTTTCTCATTTTGGGTAGAATGGGTGAGCACAACAAACTTTAATATAGACCAAGAAGGCTAAGGAGAAGGGAAAAAAAGTAAACTAAGAGAAAAGAGCCGAGAAAATACCACACTATCAGAGGCACGGAGGAAAACAAGTCGATAGAACGTAAAAAATGGATATGCATGTAGAGGAGCGTATGAGAGGGTGATCGTGGGAAAACGGACATAATTGTAGCCATGATTCAAGAAAACTAAGAACAAAGAATACACTGGCAACGCCTCGCGTCGATTTGGCCAAGTGTTTCTATTTGCTTACATCTAAGCATGGGATGATGATCCATGATTCGGTGTCGATGCTGCTCTTCGAACGGGCTCGAAGTAAGGATGAGCCATAGCCTCCTTTGCAGTCAGACGTTCCTAGATACGAAGGCCCATTAGTATTGTCGAGCGCGTGTAGAGCATGGTCCGGAGTGTACCTGATGATCATATCTTAACAATTTGTCCAAAAAGTCGAGAGCGTCGTTGCTGACGAAACGCTGGTTATCGGCATTAACGAATTGGTGCCAACTCTTCTTGGGGAATCGCCCTAGAATATCGTCGTATTGGGTATCGAGCTCAATGTCGTATTTGTCGAGGTAGTCGAACAATTCCTCCGTGCCTAGGACCTTTGCAATCTTGACGAGCTGGTCTGAGTTAGAGTTTCCATGGAAGAAAGGCTCCTTGCGGAAGATCATTGACGCAAACATAGCACCTAGAGACCAGAGATCGAGGGAATAGTCGTATTCCTGATAATCAACAAGCAATTCTGGGCCTTTGAAATATCTCGATGCAACGCGGACATTATATTCGGTCCCAGCGTGGTAGAACTCGGCGAGACCCCAATCAATCAATCTCAGCTATTGGCACAACCATCAGCTAACCGTACGATCCGGGTGTGTTTGGGATTTGTGAAACTAACCTTCCGCTTCTCGTGGTCGATCATGACATTGTGGGGCTTGACGTCTCTATGCATGATACCCTTGCTGTGACAGAAGTCGAGTGCCTAGAGGATTCCAAAGGTTAACTGCCAAACGCTTCGATCCATGTTGACACCTTGAAGGAGGCTAACCTTGAGCAGCTCGTAGATATAGTAGCGCACATCGTAATCTTGGAACTTCGGGTAGAGGCTGCGAAAGTCGGTGTTGTTTATGTACTCGAATATTAACGAAGGTGTCTTACTCTGATGTGGTAGAGCAGCGACGTTAGAGCAGCTCAGACGTAATATCGATTAGAACTGGGCCAAAGCGACAAACCTGTGGATCCCTAACAACATCTAACAGAGCGACAATGTTTGGACCTCCAGAGAGGTTCTGCAGGATCTTGATCTCGCGCTTAATCTTCTTCTTTTTGACTGGCTTCAAAACCTTGATAACAGTTTTCTGGTAATTTGTGATATTTATTCCTTCGAATACTTCCGAGTATTTACCTCGACCTACGATAAGGAATCAAACAAGAGAATATGTCAGCAAAAGCCGGGTTCGGAAAGCGGCAAGTCTTAGAGAATAAAGAAACTAACCAATTTTGCGCACGACCTCGTAGTTCTCAAGAACACCCCACGGAATATTGACCGAGTCATAGTCCCAGTATGTCCTGGGCATATGCTGATTGACCTACACCGTGTTCAAAAACTTTAGATCAGCCACATGTTCCGAGTTTTCTTATCGCCTCCGTAGCAAAAATATCGCGTCCGGGACTTTTGCTTGCTCTGTCGTAGTCTCGCTTGCGACATCGAAACTCCAGCAGGGGATCAGAAAAGTTAGAAAACAACCAGGGGTATCACATCTGCATAAACGCGAGCCATTGTCCTGGCTCCACGACTAAACGCCCGAAGGAAAGATATCGGAAGATAGGTTTTGTGACTGTTCCAGAAATTGAGATAAAGAGTAGCGAAGAGGCAGGAAATTTGACGCCGTGATGGGGGATTGTTGGTGTACCAGAAGCGAAAGAAAGTGGAGAGAGAGGTGGATTTAAGCACGGTAGATGATAAGGCAGCGAAACAGGGAGCAGATGGTCAGTCACCCTTTGGGTGATAAGGCTCCTGCCGGTGGTTGTGTGTGGGTGTGGAGGCGGTGGTGTTACGGTGAAGCTAGGCCGCACTCTGTTTGATAGAAGGAGGGGGGTAGAGGGGCGTGTAGCAACGCCAGTAGTTAAGGGGGTGGGGGGAACGTTGCGAGGCGGGAGGAGAATGAGGAGGAGGAAGCGGTGGTGGTGGCAGGTGGCAGGCAGGTGGTACTCGTATTATAGGAGGAGGGATCTCGGAGGGAAAGTCAGTACGGGCCCTTGCGAGCGAGAAGGGTAAGACAACGACGACAACCTAAACCCAAGTCTACTCGTAGGTTACAATGGTGTGAGGCCTCTCGCAGTTCACCTATTTCTGTTTCCCAGGAACTATTGCAAATTTGCGTATTCTGTGTAAGCAATTTTCAGCAACAGCTAAATTTCTTGACGAACCCTAGAATATTGAGTCCCGCGGCAAGCATAGGAGGAGTAGAAGTTCCATCAGGGGCAGCAGGAGCACATAAGGTAAGAAGGAGGGGTGAATATATGGTGGAAGGAACTAAAATTAAGTTGGCTTTCACAGCTTCGTTCGGTTTAGAATTTCTCTTCAAAACACCGCACAGCAAATTTCCGTCTTCTCCCTCCTCACCGGTAGCGTTGTTAGAGCGGTTTTGACAGTCCCCAAGATCATTCTTCCGTCCGAATATCGCGCTCTTCTTTCAGAAGAAGTGAACATGGCCACGACATATCATAGAGCGCACTACATTGGCTCCACTTTACAGAGTCTACTACTGGAGCCCGCGGTCGGGTCAAGACACATCTAACCGCCGCGAAGAGCTGCAGCGAGAATGGCATCCGGTAGACAGATAGGAAAGGGAGGGGAAATAGATGTGGGGATTTAATCGTCTCAACTTCTATGGACCAATATGTGGTTCCGTATGGAATGGTAAGGAAGGGAGAGTGCTGGAGATTGTGTGGTCAGAAGAGTTGCAGCGATAACTTAAAAAGTCGCACCCCCGCGCTGCAATGGGAAAGCTGGCCAAAAAAATCGTGGGGTCAAGGGAGTCAGTGATGGACACAGAGGCTCGAGCACAGTACCGGTACCGTCATCCTCGCTATTTTCCGAGCTTTCGGCAATTGTACTGTACCATTTCGCAGCAAATACAATTCCGGGAAAATTCAATACACTCGAGTACTATTAGTACATATTGTATGGCTCTCGTCATATTCGGGTAGCTATTCGAGTGTTTTGCGGCGATTTCCAGCTGACGCTTGGAGACGGCTCGGGGTGATGGATGATGACCTCTTGGCACCGCCTGTTGGAGTTGACTCGCTAAGAAAGAGCGGCAGCCTCCTAACCGGTAGTCCAGCCCATAATAACCCACAGTCATCGCAGCCCCCGTCGTTGAGGCTCTTTACTGGCGTAACAGGTTGCCTTACTGGTACTGGCACCTCAACCCATTAAAGCCGCACATTCTCTCCCTTGTCTCAGCACCTGCATTTCGAATTGTCCTACTCAATCCACACAAGCTATTCCCACAGCTGGTTTTCCACCACTCAGATGTTCTACGACCTCAACGTTCCCTGGGCCCCCACTTCTCCGGATCTTCCGCGAACTGTGGCTTTCCTGAACGAGCGTAAGTCTTCTCATTTTTTTGATGTTAAGAAAACTGACCATCGACAAATAGTAGGCTACAATGTGATTGCTTTATCCCACACCCACTCGGGAAAATTCCCGCAAAGCCAAGTATGTCTCTCCCACCACCATCATCACCACCACCACTTCCGCCGCACACGAGCCTTTCATTTGTTCGTTTATCTATCAGGGGAATCCATCTAATACACTCATTCTGCTCCAGCCCAATCCAATCCCGGAGAACCCGTTTCCCAAACACCCGAACCTCCAAATACTCCGCCGAATAACGGTTATCCTTGATGACCCCTCCCAAAACCACCGACTCGCCGCCCTAACCTCTGCCTATGACATTGTTGCTCTGCGTCCTACGAACGAGAAGCTCCTACTGCAGGCTTGCAAAGAACTGGATTGCGATCTCATCTCTGTCGACCTCTCACAACGCATGGGCTACCATTTCAAGCATAAGACAGTTGGACTGGCAATCCAGCGGGGGATATTTCTCGAAATAAACTACTCTGCTAGTATCAACGATATCACAGCACGGAGAAATCTGATAGGAAACGCAGCAGCATTAATACGAGCAACAAGAGGGCGAGGAATTGTTATTAGCAGTGAAGCAAGGAGAGCTCTTGGTGTTAGAGGTCCATTCGACGTGATCAATCTCGCAACACTATGGGGGCTAAGCCAGGATAAAGGCAGAGAGGCAATGGATGGGCTTCCTCGCCTGGTGGTGGTACGGTTGTCCCTGGATCTTGTGTTTTTAGTATTGCGGACTGGACTGAGGTCACATTACTGGATAGGCGCAAGCGAAACTGAAAAGGACCTCTTTCCGAGGTGTTATAGACGTTGTCGTCAATGAACCTCCTCGAGGGAATAAGCGGAGAGCAGAGGACGCTGCCGGTCCATCAGATCAACCAGAACCAGAAGCAAGCCCAGAAGGTAACCAAAAGACCGAGGCTCCACCAAGGCTATCCAAGAAAGCCCGAAAAGCATTAGCCCGTGCGTCGAAATCATAAACCATTCATCCACTCAACAGGGCCGTACTGTTGGCACCGTATTATAATAGATCGCCGAAAAGAGTTTGGCGTATATTTGAATAGACCCTTTGATACATATCTCAAAGCTTAAATTTCAATCATAAGATGTAACAACATTTTGTCCTTTCCAACCCTCCTAGATATATTGTCTCGCCCCAGACCCATCAAACTCTTCTCCCTCAGACAAGCTTTTGAGCCTCAATGCGCCCCCACCCTGTCGCCCACTCCTTCCCCATCCGGCCGCCGGTCATCGTGTGGGGTTGTACCCTGGTTACGCAGATTACACATTACTCCGTACATAACGTACGTTGCCGGCATATGTGGAGCTGCTCGAGTGCTTTACTGTGTATGCACGCGTACTCGCACAGTACAGCCTTTGGCGGAGCATGATGGTGATGGTGATGATGATGGTGAGTTGGCTTAATGCGGGAGCGGAAAGAGAGAGAGATAGGTTAGTTAGGTAGATACTGTATCACGCTTGAGCACCGGTAGCGGAGGGGGGTGGCCAAAAGATTGGTTGCGAGTGGATTGGTTATCCTTTCTTCCTTTTTACGTTTCCCCAATGAGGGTAGGGATTGGGCCCGGATGATTGCATGTGCTCATCTGATGGGGGAGAGGGGCGTTTTGGGTTTTATTCCTTTTGTTGGGGGGTGGGGTTGGGGAGGTGGAAGGGAGGTGTTGGTGCTTGGGAAGTTTAGCCATCGGGATATCGATATCGGACGATCCTTCTATGATGGGTGTCCATCCCAGATTGATGCCTGGTATGTAGTGAGGGGGTAGTCTTGGTCCTAGTGGGAGACTTGTTGGGCCGTGTTTGTGTAGTATTTTTTCTTGACATGTTGCTAGGGAATGCAGAAACACTTGTTCAGTTCGATTGGGGGCGGTTGCAGAGATGTTGAGGTTCCCATAGCACTGTACTCGAGCACTGTACTAGTACTGTGCAGTACCAGAAAGGTACAGTGCTAGTACGGACTCATTACTTTGCAGTCCCTGTATGCCACTTAAACTCCAGGAAGAAACGCTTTGAGACGAGGTAAGAATAAATAACTTGCTGAACGCGGGTGCGGACGGGTTACTGTGTGGGTTGTGGACCATCGTTCCGTTCACTCGCAATTCACGCGACGATATCATAAGGACTCGTATAAATAGGTTCATATGATAATATGATAAATGACTGCTTGAAGCCCCTTAGCCGGTAAAACGACCGATCCGTTGTTGGGACGTCCATATAAGCTTTAGGTCGGACCAGCCCTACAGCTAGCCAAGAGAGTCCCTGCGCTAATAGCATTTCCGGCTTAGAACCCGCTACGCTACCGGAGTATCTTGGCGAATAGAAGGGCATCAAGGGCCCCCACCTTATTGAGCCGCACGGATGAGATCGTCAGCTAAAGAAGAAAGGCAACGTACACAAGTACTTTCCTTGGGGGTATCCGGGACTCGTAATAACGGCTGCCGCGTAGTCACTGTTTTTGTTATTACTTTCGTTTCTCGTGCCCCCTCCCTCCTCCTCCTTCTCCTCGCCTTTTCCTCCTCTCCAGTCTCGAAGTATTTTTACCCCCCCTCCACCACTCCTTGCTGCTTGACCTTCCCGTGGATTCCTCCTACTGTACGTACGCTTTGCGGCTTTTGTAGTTGTAGGAAGGCTCCCCGCATAGGAACTGATCAGCACCCCCGCCCAATCCTTCTCGCCAAAGGTGCCTGGCTTGTTCTAGGGGCTGTTATCCATTACCGTGGTGCAGTTTTTCCCAGGGAAAACACAATGGAGCCCCAATGGGAGTCGAAGGCTGCTCAAGCTGCAACTGAGGAGGATTGGTCTGTTGCTTTTGTCCATGCCGGAGCCGGTTATCATTCCGTCCCTAATGAGCCTGCTCATCGCGAAGCTTGCGCCTCGTCAGTAGCCTGTGCCTCTCCTTTTCCTTTCCTCTTCCCCGCTAGCGGGGAGGACTGCTACGCGATATGACGTTTTTCTAACATTTTATTTTATCTTTCTGGCAGGGCTTGCCGGGTTGCAATTGCGTTTCTCAAGAATGGTGGGTCCGCGACGGATGGTGTTGAAATGGCTTTGAAAAGCTTGGAAGATAATGAGATTACCAATGCTGGTTATGGGAGCAATTTATCTTTGGATGGGACAGTTGAGTGTGACGCCTCTATTATGGAAGATAGTGGGCGTTCTGGTGCTGTGGGAGCCGTTTGGGGTAACTGTTACCGTTTACAAATCTCATTGGCTATTGCCCTCAGTGTGCTAACCGGTTCATAGCATTTAAAAACCCTTCGGCACTCGCCCGCCTCGTCCTGGACAATGCTCGTAAACCATTATCACTCAAGAGGGTCCCTCCTATCTTCTTAGTCGGCCATGGTGCTCTTGCCTATGCGAAAGAACATTTCTTCCCCGAGGTTGATAACAAAGCATTAATCACTAAGCATGCACACGCTCGCTGGAACAAGTGGAGGAAAGAGCTTGATACAGCAGAGCAGGAGGAGCGAGCAACGAATAAACGCCAAAGAGCGGGCCGACGTCCCACCTCCGCGGCTAAGCCAGCGGTGGAAAAAGCCACTGTGAGGGCACCAATACAGCCAGACAACGAAGATCTGGTTACAGACACTGTCGGTTGTATTTGTGTTGACCGTTGGGGAAATGTTGCTGCCGGAAGTAGCTCTGGAGGAATCGGGATGAAGCATCGTGGCAGGGTTGGGCCGGCAGCATTGATTGGCGTTGGAACCTGGATTGCTCGTGAAGGCCAGTCGGTTGTCGCAGCCACATGCTCTGGTAAGATCCTTATTCAACTCTTTGGATTCCCGTAGGTAAATGTCCCTAACGATGATTGATGTAGGCACTGGTGAACAAATGGCTCATACACTTATTGCTTCCAAAACTGTTGACCGGATAATCGCTATGGAAGACGAGATTGAGGGCCTGAGGAATAGTATTGAGGAAGACTTTATGGGTTGGTTGGCTCAATGATGGGTTGAACATGTGGGATATTGTTTGCTGATGGCTGATAGGTTCGAGAATTGTCAAAGAGTCGCCCATGTCTTCTGCAGTAGGTATCATGGCTGTCAAGATTGACAAAGACTCTTCAAAAGGTAGAATCAAGTTTCTCTACGGGCACACCACTGACAGCATGGTATTTCACTCTTCCATCATTTTTCCTCGTGGTTCAATATCAGCGCAAGTTGATTTCTCGTATTCTAACATGGTTATCTATAGGTAATGGCTCACATGACCCCATCCATGAAGGACCCCGAGACTATAATGTCCCGCAATAGGAATAACCCCGAAACATGCATTGGAGGGAAATCTATTCGAGCTTCTAAGCTTGCAGTGGAGTGAGCCCCCAATGAAATTAGTGATTGGCAAAACACCCGCTGCCGAACAAAGGTGAGAAAAGACATGGCGGAATCCGCAGTACTCAAAGACCCGTTGTACTAATTATACAATTATATGGGCAAAGCCTAACTGTCGATAGACACTGTTTGACCCTGTAGTAATATTACTAGCAACCGCTCTTATCCTCTCGCTTGCGCTTTCTCTTCCTTGCTTTCTGGTGGGGGTGTAAAAGTTTTTGCTTTGCATTTCATGCATGGGTATGGTTGTTGGTTTAGCATGAGCAACGGAGGATCATTTTTCCTCCTACGAAGCTGGAGTTCCTGGAGTACTGGTGGCAGATGCCTCGTTTGAAAAGGAGGTGGCTTTCGATTGCTTGAGTTTTTTCGTCTTTTTCTTTTTTGTCAATACCACAGCGGGTTTTCCACCGAAGTTTCCAAGGGCGGAAATGTCGAGTTTGGTGTTGCATGTGGTGCAGATGGCGCCTTCGGGCGGGGTGCAAAAGACTATATGGGGACCAGCCAAGCGGCGGCCATGGGCGTCAGTGCTCAAAAGCATGCATAAAATAGAACAAATAAACAGTGCTACGAGCAATATGTTCGAGGAGAGGAGTTGTGAGAGGGCGGTTTTTCCAGAGCTTCCGGTTCCTATATTTGAAGATTGCTCGCGAATTTCGGCCAACGCAAGGAATTGTCCTGCAAAGGCGCGATGCATCCAATGGAGCGAGACCATTCTGCTCAGCCTCCCGTCCCTGAGGATATAAGAGCCAAAGCATCCTCCGCATTCACATTTCACTATTTATACTCTGCCCCCTTCCTACCTAACCGCATCCCCAAAACACAGGGGAACAGGGACGGCTTACTTGACAAGCATATCGAGCACACAAACCCAATATCCACCACATTCTTATGGCAGAAGCACGCGGCGCGGAAGTCTACATTAACCTGCGTTGGTGGAACCAGATGCCGGCGAGTAGCAGTGTCCGGGATAAAGCACATCTATCCAATCAAAACTTTAGCTAGTGATCTTGTGAGGAGATGGGTGTGTCAGTAGGAGCGAACCATCAAATACTGCAAAAGGCTCTCCGGATGTTCCAACTGCATGTATATACCTCTAGTAGTATCGGACGCCTGCTGCAGAAACACGGTCTCGCCAGCAACCTTACATATATCAATTGGTATTTTCTAATTCCGTTAGCCATCCATCCACCCATCGTCTATCCAATGGACTACAAAAACGAACTTTCCTCTGCGCCGCGAATATCGAATTCATAACAGGAACGTACTGCTCCGCCAGGTCGCCGGAAACACTGACCACCAAGATTCTAGCATTCATGCTAGTAACCTCCCCGACAGCTCCCGCCGTCGCCGTCGCCGTCGCCGTCCCCACCTTCCCACCACCATCCTTCCCACCCACGACGCCACCACTATCATCAACCCTAACCAAGCGATTAACGTACCCCAACGCAAGCCCCAACGCACCGGCCATCATAGTCTCCTTCGCATCCACCAACTCACTGGCCGTCGTCTGGCGCATGAGCTCGGCGAACGAGGCCTGCACTTGATCCTCTATCAGGCGGAACTGGCGGTACTTGTTTGCGTCGCGGAATGGATCTTCACTGCCGCCGCTACCGCCGGCGGCGGTGGTGGTAGAAGTAGTGGTTGGGTAAAGGAAGCGAGCAGACCTCGTATGCGAAGCGATGACCGCGACACGATTCGCGTGCGAGAAGGCCATGTGCACGTTTAGGAATATAAGTATGGAAGCTAGAGCTCGCTCTAGCGGGAGTGTCGCTGAGAGGGTGGACCAGGCGTAGGGGTTTGTGTCGAGGATTAGGACTAGTAGGGAGGGTTTTTCTGGGGCCCCCGTTAGAATAGTTTTGGAGGAGGGGGATGGAGGAGGGGGTGGTACCGTCGACGGATTGGGAGTAGTGGGCTGAGGCGTCTACTGTGTCCATTTTGAATGTATTCACCCGTTCGTGGGGTGTTGAGTGGTGGGGTTGGTATTATATAGGTGAATGGGCAAGGTGAAGAGTTGAGGTTGAGATAAAGTAAAGGTGGACTTGACCACACGCAAGGATGTGGTCGGAAAGGCTTGGCGGTGGGTTCTGGTGAGGGGTTGACGAGTGATCGGTTATGGAGTTACTAACAGACTTATCCTGAGTTGAATTGCTAATGAATAGGTGCGCTCATTCTCGATATAAACGCCCGAGAGTGTATTAGCAAATAAAGAGCCCAGATTTTGGATTAGTAGCCTTAGCTCTATTACCCCCGGATAGCGAGTCTCACAACTACCGGCACTCCAGCAGTGGGCGGCGAGGGGAAAAAAAACCGTGTATGATATGATAGTCAAGCACCATAATTCGGAGGATATATCTATAGCTAACCCAGCATCCGAGGCCCATCCTCCAGAGCACCACCGCCCAGAACCCTACGAGTACAGTACAATACAGTAGTACACTTCCCCTCCTATCATACATCACTTTGCCCCCCACGCCCGCGTAAACACTGCAAGCATCTCCTCCGCAAGCTGGCCTCCAACCTTTCCATCCAACCACTTCTTCAAATCCCCCCAAAATACCTCATCCACAACGACCCCTTCCCCCCCCCCCTCCTCCTCCTCACCCCCGCCACCACCACCGCCCATAATCATAACACTAACCACAACCTCCTCCTCCCCTGCCTTAACCCCGACCTCCTCCAGCGTCTTCAAGTCGCCGAGTACCCTCCCCTTCAGCAATAACTTGATCTTTTCAATCGGTATCTTGCCCGCCGTAGATAATTGGTGCTTCAGCGAGATTATGCTAGTGGACAGGGGCGTCGCGGGGAGGTTGTGGGTTATCGAGGTGCCGCGGAGGGAGCGGAGGGTTATGTTCGCTTTGGCAATTTAGTAATGGTGATTGATAGTTGAATGGGAGGGGGGGGATAAAAGTACCGGTTGGGGTGGAAGAAGCAGTGGAGGAGGAGGTGGGGGAAGCTTTTTTAGACTTTGGCTTTGCAGTTCTGGGGAGGGTGTACTGGGTTTTGGATAGTTAGTATTGGATATCGGACGGATGGATGGGTGGATGGGGGGATGTACGGGAGTGCGGGCCGGGAGCTTGCGCGCGTCCTCACAAAAGTCGGCATTGGTGCGGATTGGTCGAGAGCTCAGGGTAGAGAGGAATTGCTTGGTGAAGCTGAGTTCCGTCATTGTGGTTGGAGATGTGGGATAGGCTTGGTTCGAGGTATGATAACTAACTTCGGAATGAGGTGGGGTTGAATGAAGGTTCGGAGTTACCCTCCCTAATACCGTGGGGTGTCAAATAAACGCCCCATCATACGGGGTATGATATCCCTTCGTTTGATGCCGAATTTCACGGCTTTTTAGCGTGCATCCGGCGTTGTGATCAACAAAAGCCATCCCTGGATACAGCTAAAGTATGACATCGGGTTAAATAAGGGGTACTAAGTCACGCTAATAATGGTATGAAAAACCCTTGTGCTTGAGAAGTGGTGTAGTGCCAATAATAGAGAAAATTCAGTATCGTACTGCTCAGCAATGGCCATGATGGAAATAAGATGATCAGTGTAGACTAGATTCGTTCCCGATTACACAAATAGGTTAGTATTTCAACACTCTAAATTGGTCTAAACGCCCCCAGTCATTTGGGGGATAATCCGGGAGATCCATTCTCTCTCTTCGAAATACTCGTAGAATCTGGTTTGGTGTAGCACTAATCTAGACTGGTGACCTTTAGCTTAAGCAACAAAATCAAATGAAGGGATGATATGATACGTCGCAACCAAAGTAAATTATCACACTGGTGCCTTAACAAAACCCTGTAATCTGTCGGCATCAGGGCACTATCCTCCCACCCTACAATCTCTTGTATCATATCACCTCTGGGATATAATCCCTTCGTTCGTATGCCGAATTTCACCTACTTTTAGTGCGCGACAGCGTAAGGATCAACCAAGGAGTAACGATTTTAAGCAAAGAGGCTATACCAAGAAAAAATTAAGTGAAAGGAAAAACTAACCGTAAAGAGAAGAAAGATAAACGCTGCAGACACCTAGTAAGAAATTTGAAAGTCATGATACTTTTGCATACAAAAGGTTTTACATAAGAGCACTTTACAAAATGAGCATTGAAAATTGCTATATTGAACCCACCATTTTGGGCCATTGGGATTGTGGAATAGGGTGGTCAATTCAGGCTTTTTTGAAAGATACTGGCAGAAGAGATAGTAGTTCCTTTTGTGATGGGCTTTTTCTAAGCTGTGGTCACCAGGTAGAAGACGGTATGAATTCAGATCATAGTGTTTTGTAATATAAGAGCCAGCTCCTCAGTTGCCTCGGTGGTGAATTCTGGATGAAGAAGAGTGTAAATTAGGAAGTGGAGCAGTGGGGGCAGGTAAGATCCTTGAATGGTGAAATCCTTCAAGAACCAAGTTTCAAGCAAGTCGAGTACGGTAAAAACTATGAGCAGACCAGGATTTACACTTAGGACTAAGGAAGAAGTATGTGCCTGTAGGAGAAAGGGAACTTGAGGATGAGGATGAAGAGATGAGACTGCTCAGAAGAGTAGAAAAATAAACCTGCAATAGGAGGAAGGAATTTATAATAGAAGTGTCAAGTAGCTAAAAAAATAAAGAAAACCAGTTACGACAGGTAAGAAGTTAAGTGTAATAGTAGCTGTGCCGCTGGTCTGTAATATCAACACCTCTCATATAGTCATTATAATTGACTGATAAGAGTGGTATTCACACCTGTTGGACATGGTCTTCATCCTATCTAACCCTAATAAGTTCTGAATTAGCTGGAGTAATGCGAGGTCATTTGCGTATTTGGGTAGAGAAATTTCTTTCCTCCCGCATACACTCATGATAGGTGGTGAGAAAGCAAACAACATTCTTATCTTGCCAAACAACTGCAAGAACATCAGTAGAAACAACTCCTGATAGAATATTCCAAGGAAGTTGAGAGGTATGCTTATTAAACTTAAGGATAGGAGGATATTTTGCTGAGTTTGGCCTAGTAGTCTCACAGGCAGCAATGGAATATTCTTGTAAAGCTTTAAATAAAAGGATATTTGAAAAGTAGTTATCACAAGAGAGAACAAACTGATGGTCGGCATAGGGAAGTGACATCATTAACTGAAAAACTACTGAAGAGGTGGGAGAGAGAGCCTGTTGACTGGATCCATAATAGAGACATCTTCGTAGATCAGAAAATTTATCTACCCAAGATGTAAACATGAAAGCATATATGTATTTGCGCTTACACCAAGCTAACATCTTAAAACCCTGTGGGATAGACTTTGCTTGCATTATCACAGTATGTACCAATTTTCCTGTGAACTATGCCATCATTTCATTAATTACAACATGAGTTGCTGAAAGCAAATATAACTGAAATCTTTGTTCTAAATTGGCTGTAAGAGGTTGTAGCTTTTGAGTTTAATACTGGCATGCTGGTAGCTGGCTGGAATTCAGGTGATCAGAATTGGGCTGGAGTGGGGAAGAGATATGAAAATATATTTTCAGTTGCTTGAATTGAAATTTAGACATATACTTGGTGATTTCATATCTTGGAAACTCATCACTTTTCTCCCAATACAGTTCTATTATCATTGACTTATGAACTTCTATCTATATTTAGAGGCTCATAAATATCATCAGTATTTTAGATGAAGTATCCCATTACTAGTGGTGTCATGAATGTGGCTTGGCATGAAAAAGGTTTTCACATGACGTATAATTATGAGTCATAGATATGTTATTGTTTTGTGTATATGACTCATTCGGGTCATATGATTTGTTATGTTATTGTTTGGTAAGTTTTGCACATGACTCGAGTATGAGTCATAGGAAGTACGCCTGGTGAGTATGTCTTGCAAGTGTGCCTTGCATAGATGATTTATGTTTAGCACATGACCTCGTGAGGAGGTCATGGGTTTCACACAGGTGACTCATTCGAGTCATCTGACTTGTTTATTGTGTTATGATTGGTGTATGAGTTTTCGCACATGACCTCGCTACGAGGTCATGGGTTTTGAACATATGACCACTTTGGTCATATGACTAGTTTGTTATGATTTGGTTTCGCGCATGAGACCACTTTGGGTCACATGACTACTGGCGGAAAGAACACTATATAAGGAGGCCAGTATAGCTGAGGAGGATAGGTTCTTCATACTTTGTTCTAAGTAGTTTTCCTTCTTCTTTCATCTCGTGTTGGACATGAAGGTTCGGTGTCGATCCAATCAGAGCCCTTGATTTCTATCTCACGATAGGCTTTAAGTCTTTAACTTTGAATACCTTCTGGAGGCTTCGTTGTTATACTTCCTCTCATATTTGCTGGAATTTTTTTCTTCCTTTTACTTATCTTTTGGGTTATTTACTACAGTTGCCTCCTCACAGTCACAATGGCTAAGCAAGCCTCTGCCCCCTCTGCCCCCTCTGCTACGTCCACTCTATGTTCGTCAGTGGATTTCTCTTATACCGTTGAGAAGAACTTCACCCTGGGGGCGGAAGTCTCTCGCCTTTGGCATCACATCTCCGTTCTTTCTCGGTGATTTCATCATACTGGGAAAGAGATATCTACCATGTCTACTGCCCTCGAGAATGAATGGGCTATTAATCGCAGTTATTTCACGATGTTGGTGGCTGAAGCTCTTATGGTTATCTCCTTTTTACCTGTCCCCTTGGTCGCTTTGGTTACTATGGTGGTCTTGGTTAGGAGGGGTGGGCTAGACCCTGAGAGTTTTCATGGGTAGTGGTGTGGGTAGACCGGTTCCTGATTCGTCGGGGCCGCTTGAGGCCCTTGCTCCTGGTGTGGATGGGGTGGATCCTGGTGTGGTGACACCAGCTTCGGTAGTATCACCCCCTTTGGAGGGGCAGGTGCCTGAGTCCTCTGTGGCTGAGCCTGTGGCTGGTCAGAGTAATGCCTCTGGTGGCATCCCTCCTGTGGTGGTGGGTGGTAATAAGGGTGTCCCGTTCACTCCTGTTACTAGACCTACGCTTGGGAGTGGGAAGAGGAA